CTCCATTTAAACAAGACTTGCTACGAGAGAAAAACGCAGAAGAGCTTGTGTTGAAGCTATGCTTCATGTATATGCGTCTATTGGAATCACGGTAAGTGTTTTACGTCACATTAAAAATTTATTGGTTTTATAAAGGTATTATTTCTTTTCAGAGGTCTTTGAGTGGCAGGTTGATCGGCACTGCGGTGTTTACGGTTTTGTTAGTTTAGAGCTTAATAACCTAAGCAACGGGCGACGGGTGCCATTGTCGTTGGCGAATACCCACATTCGTGGCCTGTATCCCTTTGTGAAATCTTCCGTTAGCCTATCGGAGCTTTTTTGGCATTTTGGGCCAGTGAAGTAGGTGGAGTACCCGACAAACCGAAGCAATCCGATGAGTCGGCTCTAAACTCCTACTCGCAGGCCATCGATCTTTGCCCGGACACGGTGGCCTACTACAAAAATCGCGCCTCGTGCCACTGGAAGATGCTGGACTACAACAGTGCCCTGTCGGATGCCCGTCACGCCCTTTGCATTGATCCTGGCTGCGAGACCGCCCACTTCCAGGTGGCCAAGTGCTGTCGGGTACTGGGCGACATCTTGGGCATGCAGATGGCCGTGAAGAAGAAAAAAACAAAACTCCAAATAATAAATAAAAAATATAATAGCCACTGAGAAAAATACAAAATAGGAGGGCCCCCAGATTGATGGTTGCCCAGGGCCTGGTTGAGGGTTGATCCGGCCCTGAATAGGTCGAGTTTGGTTTTAAAGCTTTTATTTGTTTGTATTGCTTGTATTTACAGGGGGACTCAGCCGAAAAGAGGTGGCAAAATTAAAAAATATATTTTATGAACGCTTTGAATAAAATAAATGTACACATCAAGTAGAAAATTTTGCAGAGCTTTAGCGAATCTAATTTTCAAGATAATTTTAGTTTAGGAGATATGAGCAGCGATAACATAATTTATTTTTATATATTGTATTTATTTCCCACCCCACCCACTCTGCCCATTCCTCAGTTATGTTGCGGCAGGCCAGCTCAGGTTGCTACATCAGCCCTCAAAACAAAACGAAAAACCAATTCAAGCGGCAAAAAATTGTAGAGCCCACATACAACACAGTATGTGTGAATAGATAACACACACACATTTACGCAACCTGGAAACGAAACTCAGAACAAACTCAAAACGGTTTCGGAAAATAAGAATTCATAAATATTTGGTCGTGTCTGCGTACACACACACACACTTGCAATTCTCGGCTTGCTTTCGCATCTCGTCATAAATCGAACATGTCCAAAAAATGCCGAACGTCTCAGCACCACAGCCAAATGGTCCCAGCACCCTAGCCGAAGACCTGGGGGTGCTGGGACAGAAACCTCAGCTGCGCCCCTTTCGTTGTATGAACTGGCACATCTATATACTGTATGGTTAGTGGTACTGCCTTCCGTACAGAGCCTAGAAAACAGTTTTTGCCGTACAAAATTTCTTATCGGTTTCATACGAATATCAACCCTGATTCTGTTCGCGAGGTGTTTTTTCGATCAGAGTACTAGGCTTTATCAAAACAGATATCCACTCCAATAAATTCTCCTCGTCAATGTTAGCCGCATTATCATCATCCATGTCCAGCGTGTGCAAGAATATGTTTTGCTGCTGAATCACATTCACAACCATTGCAATGTTATTTATATTCATTTAAATTATAGATGTGAACAAATTTTTCACCGCACGCAATTGTGAGTATCAGCTCTTTTCTCATGGATGGTGGATGGAGTCAATGTGAATCGGTGTTTCACATCTTTGAAAAATTCCCACCATTCCCCGGGATGGGCTCAGTGTGCAAAGGGCATTAGTTTAGGTCAATATCATTCATATAATAGTTACCCTAATCATATGCTCGTTATTGTTTCGCCCGCTGTTCTTATTGCTTATGTTCAAAAACTTAACTTTAACGTTCTCACACGTGTAGCCAAAACGCGCAGGTGCACGCAAATACATTGATGTGCACCGTCTTTATTGGAGCCTCTCATCGGGTGATCTTCTAATAGCCTTTTTACACTGGGCGCGTCTGCTATCGATATCGGCATAGACGCAATGAAGCAGAAAAGGCGTTTACATTGGAAGACGTGCGTCTTGAATTTGGATTTGGGTGTTTGATGACAAGGAAAGATACACAAATTTTTGAAAATCAACAGAATTAAGCAAGACGTCAGGAAAATGGACGAAAAAGAATTGATTCTCATATTTAAATATTATTTTCAGACATTTCATTGTAGAGTTTGTGGGAGTTCTTCTTCAAATTATGAAAACCACCGAAGTTCGTCTCCAGCAGTGTCTTAATGGCATCAGGGGGTCAGAAAAATTTCATATGATAATAATACAATCAGTTTCAAGTATTTTATTTAATGACTTTATGTATATTTTCACCTTTTGCACAATCATACATTTTTAGCGCCAAAATTTGATTTTTGATTACAATTTTTTGTTGTTATTAGTGGTGATAGTTGCGCTGATAGGCAGAAAATACCAAAAATGAGCAAAATCAATCGAATATACCGAATAGACGCACATGAATCAGACACTGACGCAACTTTTTGCACCACTAGGGCCCTATGCTAACCTATGAAAAAAACTGCGTCTTCGCCAAGACGCAAAGAAGCATGACGCAGCCCCAGTGTAAACGGCCTATAATTCCCTTTTGGGCTCGACTACATTTGTGGTCGCAACCAGGTTGCGTTTCAGTTGCGTTTGTTCGATATTCCGATAATTTCAACCCTGTTCGCCTATCGTGTGAACTATCGCCACTAGAAAAAACAAAAAAAAAACAAGCTGTTTACATAGAAAAATAAAAGAAAAATTTAAATTCGCATATATTAATTAAAAATAATACTTTTAGCCAATTTTATCATTAGAAGCGAGATTTTTAAAAACACGTAAAACGTGCTGTTGCCAAAACTCATAACTCAATAACTCGAGTTTGTGCCAGTGTAGACGCCAATTCTGAGTTATTGAGTTAACTTAACAGTCGATAGGTAACTCATGTCAGTGTAAATAGGCTATAAATTTCGGTATATTTCTGAGGGTCAGACGGTATATTGTATCGATACATCCTCGGTCACACTGCCGGACATCAAATGATAACAAAATAATTAAAAATCGCCTAATTGACGATTAATGGAAGCAATGGGGGACCAACTGATACTGGCCACCGGTGGATACGATCACACAATCAAGGTGTGGCAAGCCCATACCGGCAACTGCATCAAGACCATGCGTTTTGTTGAGACTTCCGTGAGTGAACCACAATGCATATAAATATACCGCTGCACTGCGACTGCGATTCAATATTTAACCTGTAGCAAGTAAATGCCCTGACCCGCACGCCAGACAAAACGCGCCTGGCGGCCTGTGGCTATCAGTGCATCCGTCTGTACGACCTGGAATCCAATTGCACCGCTCCGGTGATAAACTTTGATGGCGTACAGAAAAATGTGACGCGCCTGGGCTTCCAGGAAGACGGTAACTGGATGTTCACCGCAGGCGAGGACCATCATGTGCGAATCTGGGACATGGTCTCGGCACCTCCCCACTGCTCGCGGGTATTCGACTGCGAGTCACCAGTGAATGCCGCATGTTTGCACCCCAACCAGGTGGAGATCGGCATGGGCTCACAGAACGGCAACGTCTTCTCTTGGGATGTCAAGTCGGAGAAGCACGAATGCATCGTTCCCGAGGTGGATGCATCCATTCAGGACGTGGCCATCTCCCCCGACGGACATTACCTGGCGGCGGCCAACAACAAGGGCAACTGCTACATCTGGTCGCTGTGCAGCAGCCCCGACCAGAAGATGAGCACAATGCGGCCCACAAAGAAGATACCGGCGCATAGCCGCTACATACTGCGCTGCAAGTTCAGCCCCGACTCGCGCCTTCTGCTGACCACCTCCGGCGATGGGACGGCGTGTCTCTGGAAGACCTCGGACTTCAGCAAGTGGCGCGAGCTTTGCATTGAGAACTACTGGGTGTGGGATGCCGCCTTCAGTGCAGACTCCAAATGGCTCTTCACCGCGTCCTCGGACGGGGTGGCTCGTCTGTGGAAGCTGGAGACAAAGACTCCCACCAGGGAATACACCGGCCACACCAAGGCTATCACTGCCCTGTCCTTCAAGGATGAGATTATAAGAAAGGTTAATCATTAGCTGCTAGCATCATCGATATAGAACGTAAGTGCGATTGTGACTGCGTCACAGGTAAGAAAAGAAGAGCCTTCCCATTTTGATTGTCTCCTTTTCCTCCACCTCCCCACCAAAAAGGTTCTCTGCTGTGGTCTTGTTGGGAATATACTACCTACTCTTTCTTTAATATATTCATACAGATATTGCATTTAAGTTCTGGTAAACGATAATCTGGAGCATCTACTATATATCCCAGTCCTTCTTTGATTTGTAGGTCCTCTTACTCTCGACCTAGGGCCTAGTTTTTAAGGTAAATTGTGTACTGAAATCAAATGTTCTTCAAACGATCTAAGTAAGTCTGAGAATGCTTCTGAATTGAGTAATTTCCAAAATATTTCCGAAGTTCTTTGATACGGAATTTGAACCATCACAATAATACAGAATATAATTAAACCAAATCCAAATTTCCGCAACCACAAAGCGAGACAATCGGCAATGGGCAGGCATATCATATTGAAGGCAACTCTTAGGCTCTGGCAAATAATTTGGCAATTTTTGGAGGCAGTTAACGTAGATTAGAACACAGCGATTCCCATCATCAACTAGAACTGAACTGAACCAACCATCATCCCAATCGAATCGGGGGACATACCCCCAATCGCAATTCAACGATAGTTCAGCAAAAGAAAAACAAAACTAAAATGAGAAAGAAAGAAAAACTAATTTTGAAACTACCTCTGGAAATGAGCGCTTGGCTTTTGTAGCGACTTTTTCATACATAATTTATATAAGCCTTTGATATATGTATATCATTATATTGTATTGTAATACGGACTAAACTAAATCGTTTATGTGAAATGTAATTTTGAATAAAATCCTAATAAATATACAAATACATATAGAAACCGACAAATAAGAGGGAACGGAACACCGCCACAGAGACGCAGAAACAACAGAGTCGGGGAGAAAGAGTGGGAAAGGGAAAGCAATAGCCATTTGGGAGGGAGGGGGTTGCCTTTTTTGTATTTGCTTAAGTTTTAGTCCACGTAGGCAATGCCTTGGGCGACAATTGACTCTTTGATAGGATCGGGATCGTCGCCCAGCTTATACCCCACGATGCACGTCACATCCACGGCCTTGCCGGTGGGATTGATAGCAGCATCACCTGATTGATAGGCGTGGCTGGACGAAATGGCTTGTGAGGTGGCATCGCGCTCTCTGTGGGCGGCAGTAGACGCACCTTGCATGGCTGGAAATAAATGTTTGTGGAGTCAGGGTTTATTGGCTATTGAATTTCCTGCAGCTTTCTCACCTTTTTGACACTCGCCTCGAAATGAAAGTCACAGACTGGCTGGCGGCTCTTGTTCTGTGCCGATATCACAATCACCGAGACACGATAGCCTGGCCGATCGCTGGTAAAGTTTAAACTGAGCTGCATGTCATCGTCGTCGAGCACCACACGCTGCTCACCAGTGGCCTGGATATTGTCTAATTCGATGCTGATCTCGCTAAGATGTTTTTGCGTGGGCAGTACTTCCATCTGCGGCTCCTGCTCAAGGGTAACGGGAGCATTGCTTAGCAAAGGAACATCATCAACGAGCTCTGCTATAGTGAGCACTTCTGCAGCTGCTACTGGTTGTGCCTGTGCCGGTGTATGTGCAACCTCGGGTGCCTTTACCTGCATCCTTTCTTTGGCCATGTCGTTTAGGGTTACCTTCTCTGGATCCCGTTTGAAGCTGCTCATCCTCTCTTGACTGGGCAATATCTTCTGGAAGAGTTCCTCGCTCAGCATATCAATTTGTGGCATTTTCCGGGCCGACCCTGGCTTTCTTGAGGAATCGGAACTGGAGCCATTGGCCAGGCCATCGGTGGCCGTGCTCTGACTAAGCACCTCAGGCTCCAGCAAGCCGCCGCTACCTGAACTGGTGTGTTGGAATGATTTTTCAGTCGATTGTTTTGACTCGCTTTCAGCCAGTGCGCTGCTGAAGATGTCACTCAGATCAGCCAGGGGATCGGCTGTGGCTGTAGCAGGAGCCGTGCAACTGGAATTACTCGTGAAAGCGTTTGGTTTTTCTCCAGATGAAGCTTCTGAATCTGCTCCGTTTTCACTACTACCGATGAGGAGATCCCCCAGCAGTTCGTTGATTAGCAATTCGTTGTTGGAACTTGTTCCTGTTGTTTTAGCTGCTTTTGATGTTGTCGTGGTCTCGGCAGGAGCAGAAGCAGGGGCAGTGGTCTTTGTTGGAGAGGGAACCAGCTGCTTATAGCGTTGCATTGTCGTCAGGAGCGCCCCATTGGCATCCAATGTTTCAGCTGCAAAGGGAGAAACAGATTGAGAGACAGATCTATCAAGACTGCGGGAACTTACCTATGAGCTGAGCATCGGAGTCGTCTAGCAGCTGTGTCATATGCTGGAAGATCGGCTTGTGCTTCTTGCAGATATTGTAGAGGTCGTTAATAGTCTCGCTAACATCCTTGTTGGAGGGATCGTAGGTGTCCAGCATTTGGTTGAGCAGCTGCATGGTCTCGAGGACCTCGTAGAGGCTTAGTCGATGCTGGGACAGCAGATCGTTGCGTCGCGCCTCCTGTGCCATGCGATACTGCAGCAGAAGATTCGCACGCTTGAAGTTCTCTTGATTGTTGCTCTTGATCAGTTTGGCGAACATGGCTTCGTCGATGGTCCCCAGCACACTCTCCCGCTTGGCCACCGCCGCCTCTGTCTGTCCATGCTCGATATCACCCTCCTTACGCAGCATGTCGTAGGCATCGCGAATTTTCTGACGCTGCGGAAACTCTGTGGTCCACAGCAGCAGGCACTCCATAATCCGCTGCTTAACCTCGTGCGGCGTTTCGGCTCCCTTGTACTTTTTAGACACCAGACGGATTAATTCGTTGAGGAAGCGAAACTTCCCCGCCTCGTCCTGGAACTCTTCGCCGCACTGAGTCATGCATTCCTCCAGCAGCTGCAAATTGTTTGTACATATCTACTGTTACTTTGGCCAACAATCTTGTTTGGTTGCCTGTCCCTGTCACTGTCTCTGTCCCGCCCTGGCAATACATTGTGATACACATACACATGTACTAAAGTTGATAGCAATTTCAAACCGAGCGCAGCCACACAAGTGCATGCACATGTGTTTGTGCGTGTACATACATGCAAGTGTATGTATTTGCGAACTTTATAGGCCCCACTCTATGTGTGTGTGTGTGTGTGGGGGCTTTTGTCTAGGCAATTTTTCACACAGCCACAGGCCACATCCCACAGCCCCTTAACCACCCACTCGACTCACCGAAATGGCTCGCGTTGCTTCGGTTACGTTTGCTGACCGCACTTTGGCCACAATCATCTCCTGAGCCTTGTGCACCAGCTGAACGTGACTGCGTACCACAATGCAGAACATTTGCACGCCCAGCTCGTCGGCCCTTTCCTTAGCCGGATTTGTTGCTCGATCTGTTGTTTGAAAAGGAGGTCGAAAGAGATTTATGGTAGATTTATGCGGGGAAGCGCGAGTTGAACAGTTTTGCATTTTCAATTACCCAGCATTTCCTCCATAATGGTCTCGTCGGTTGTCATTTTTCCAATCCGCTGGCAATGGCAATATAATATCTTATTAACTTGGGGAAATACAATATTTGCGGTGGATTTGAACAACAAACATGTTGTTGTTGCAGCTGCCTATTAATGATGACACTTTTCGGTACTATCGAATATTTGCTCTATTCAATGTGAGTGGCAACTAAATGTGTATTAGTCCTATGACATTAGACTTTGCTAGCTGACTTGACTAGCTGGAAAAATAGAGATGGTCTAATGGGAAATGCCCGCAGACAGAGCGAGAGAAGTATATGAGTCAAGTTGGCTGTCCAGTTGAGCTGTGAGCAGCGCTGCGGCAGAACTAGTCGATTGTTTTACTTAGCGGATACAATTTTTCTGATTTGATGGATGTGTTTTGCTGGAAAACATAATTTTGTGTCAGTGAGGCAGAATTTTCTCTGCCGCTACGTCAGCAGCGCAGAATAACGAAACCACACGAAGTCTTTACGCTGTACGTGTGCCGACTGCGCTGCCTCAAATTTTTTCCTATGCACAGTGCATACGACGATGCCGGCCTGTGGTCTAGAGATGGCTACGAACAATAATGTTGCATTTTGTTTTTCATGCCATCCCTCTCTTCTCTTGGCTAAGTCTAATGTCATAACACTATAAGTGAAAAATATACCTATCCGGTGACTGGCAACTATCAAGGCAAACTATCGATATATGTATTTAATACTGAATGGTAAAATGAGCACATACCATGTGATTTCACATTCATCTTGCAATGAAACATATTAGAAATTAAAATTGATTGATAACTATAGCCAAAACCAATTGAAATACGCAACAACAAGCTAACTATCGCTTAATCCGCTTCTAGAATACCTATCGATACACGGTATTGTATGCAGCCCTGGTCGTAAAATACAACCATGTAGGCAATGGCGGAAATGATTTTTGCTGGCATTGCCGCACACTGCCGTAACATGTTCTTTTTCAGGCGTTTGCCTTTGCGCTGACATCGTATCTCGATTTCTTCTGTGAAAAAGTAAGAAATTTTGTTGAAAAAACTCTGCGTATAAAGTAAATTATAATCAAAGGAACACTAAACGTGATAGCTAACTGTGAACATGGAGGGTTTTGTGAATTAAATTTTCGACATATCAATAAAACTGCATTGTTCGACAAATGAGGTTAAATACGGGCGGCTTTTTGTTTGTGTGTGTGTATGTGTGTGCGTCACACGTGTTGGTTTTTTTTTTTTTATTGGTTGCTGCACACGTCTAAAACTAAAACTATAGCGATGATTTTGAAGTCGCTGTGGTATTCAATTGGACTAAAATAACATCCATGGTTAACTATTCCTCTTGAGGATATCGCCTTGAAGATATTTACCTTAATAAAGTCAAAAATCAACAACAACAGCAGCATCAAATGAGCGCGCGTGTGTGTGTGTTTAGTCATTGGCATCCTATGCAGAACCATCGGGCTAACATTTAGCTCTCTTTGCAGCATGGCCGAAGTTGCTGAAAACGTGGTGGAATCCTTCGAGGAGCCGGCGGCACCTGTGGAAGCTGAGGCGGCCGAGACCATTCTGGAAACAAATGTGGTAGCCACCACTGAGCTGCCGGAGATCAAGCTCTTCGGACGCTGGTCGTGCGACGATGTGACTGTCAACGACATCTCGCTGCAGGATTACATCTCGGTCAAGGAGAAGTTTGCACGCTACCTTCCCCACTCGGCTGGCCGCTATGCCGCCAAGCGTTTCCGCAAGGCCCAGTGCCCCATTGTGGAGCGCCTGACCTGCTCCCTGATGATGAAGGGCCGCAATAACGGCAAGAAGCTGATGGCCTGCCGCATTGTCAAGCACTCGTTCGAGATCATTCATCTGCTGACTGGCGAGAACCCCCTGCAGGTAATTGATCGACTTTTAGATTCTCATTCTGTCCCCCCTTCCCCCTTGGCAGCGTTTCATGCTAAACTGTGTTCAGCGACTACCCACCTGAACATGGGTAGAATGAGTACGCAGAGTAACCCACAAAAAGTTTTAATATCCTAGTGCTTGAAGATAAATATTCCCTCTTCTTACTCTCTTGGAACTTAAAACTACAACTATTTGGAGTGTGCCTTTAGTCTTCCTCAACGCTAGACAGTCATTGCCAAGACTGTCGGAAGCGTATATATATTTAATGGACTTATATTGAAGTAGAGTTTTAATATCCTAGTGCCCGAAGATATAGCCCCTCTTCTTGCTCTCTTGGAACTTAAAACTACACTTTTCCGAGCTAGCGAAAATCACATTCAGTCCACCTCAATGCCAGTTGAAGGAAAACCCATCCCAGCTGAGCATCTTATCATAATGGACTCATATTGAAGGAAAATGTTTTAATATCCTAGTGCCCGAAGATCAGTAACCTCTTCTTGCTCTCTTGGAACTTAAAACAACATTTTTAAACACGTCAATAGATCCTCAAGTAAAATGGTTTATCCTCCGTCCAAAACTAAAACTGTAGCGATGATACTTCACGTCGTTGTGGTATTCAATTGGACCAAACCAAAGCCCATGATTTACTATTCCTCTTAAGGGCATTGGCTTAAAGATGCGAACCTTAATAAAGTTTAAAATCAACACCTAAGCCATACTATCGACTTACACGAATCGTTTGTCAGTCCACCTCAATGCCAGATGAAGGAAAACCCATCCCAGCTGAGCATCTAATCAAAATGGACTCAAAGGAAATGGTTTTAATATCCTAGTGCCTGAAGATATAACCTCTTCCTGCTCTCTTGGAACTTAAAACCACATCTTTGAAACATTCTTGCGATTTTCAGGCAGTCTACCTCAATGCCAGTCGAAGGAAAACCCATCCCAGCTGAGCATCTTATCATAATAGACTCATATTGAAGGAAAATGTTTTAATATCCTAGTGCCCGAAGATCAGTAACCTCTTCTTGCTCTCTTGGAACTTAAAACAACATTTGTAAACCCATCAATAGATCCTCAAGTAAAATGGTTTATCCTCCGTCCAAAACTAAAACTGCAGCGATGATACTTCACGTCGTTGTGGTATTCAATTGGACCAAACCAAAGCCCATGATTTACTATTCCTCTTAAGGGCATTGGCTTAAAGATGCGAACCTTAATAAAGTTTAAAATCAACACCTAAGCCATACTATCATCGACTTACACGAATCTTTTGTCAGTCCACCTCAATGCCAGCTGAAGGAAAACCCATCCCAGCTGAGCATCTAATCAAAATGGACTCATATTGAAGGAAAATGTTTTAATATCCTAGTGCCTGAAGATCAGTAACCTCTTCTTGCTCTCTTGGAACTTAAAACAACATTTCCCCAACTATTTTAACTGGCGACGACACTTGTTGGAGAGCATTTTATTAATTCAAGTTTTGGTCTTGTGCCTTTACAGATCTTGGTCAGCGCCATCATCAATTCGGGACCCCGTGAAGACTCTACCCGTATTGGACGTGCCGGTACCGTGCGTCGCCAGGCTGTGGATGTGTCGCCTCTGCGTCGCGTCAACCAGGCAAGTACCACCTCCTCTCCTCTGTCATGCAGCCAGCAGCAATGGCTTGTGGTTCGGTTGGCGACTGCTGGCTTATAATGCTTGGCCAGAACATACTTCTATCTTATCCGTAGCGTCACAATGTGTATTATAGCCCGACATTTGGCGTATGACCTGAAGAGACATATACATTATAAGATTTCTTGTTCGCCCAAAGCTAACTGAAACTGTTCTCCTTTTCTTTTCCATAGGCTATATGGCTGCTGTGCACAGGAGCTCGTGAGGCTGCCTTCAGGAACATCAAGACCATTGCCGAGTGCCTGGCCGATGAGCTGATCAACGCCGCCAAGGTATGCACCAGCACCACTGACCCGGGATAGGGATTTGTTGTGGTCTACTCTAATGCCAGGCATTGTAACGCCAAAATGCCTAGCCTCGCTTGTAGACCAGATTAGAAACTCTGTTCCACACTGGCCATAAACCCAGGAGATTGGCCATACGTTGGCCAATTTCCTTATTCTAGTGTTACACTCTTATCAATTAAGATTGATTCTGTTAGGTCCAATCTAATTCTGCATCATGGTTTATTTATGTAGTCTCGCTTTTGGACAATACTAATCCACACATCTTTTATTATCCTTGTGCTTGTGGCATTTTTCCCCGTCCAATGCACATGAGAAACGTAAAAGAACAAGCAAAAATATCAATATCAATAGGAATAAGAAAATATTGCAATGATTATGTAATGTATAGTCGGTCCAATCTAATTCTGCATCATGGTTTATTTATGTAGTCTCGCTTTTGGACAAAACTAAACCCCACATCTTTTATTATCCTTGTGCTTGTGGCATTTTTCCCCGTCCAATGCACACGAGAAACGTAAAAGAACAAGCAAAAATATCAATATCAATAGGAATAAGAAAATATTGCCATGATTATGTAATGTATAGTCGGTCCAATCTAATTCTGCATCATGGTTTATTTATGTAGTCTCGCTTTTGGACAAAACTAAAACCCACATCTTTTATTATCCTTGTGCTTGTGGCATTTTACCCCGTCCAATGCACACGAGAAACGTAAATGAACATTAAGCCATAACCATCAGTATATGTAGCGCTTTTGTACACTTTATACGTTGGTCCAAAAGTTAATCTGGTTTTGTTTGCTTTTTCAGGGTTCTTCCAACTCGTACGCCATCAAGAAGAAGGATGAGCTGGAGCGTGTCGCCAAGTCCAACCGTTAAGGAGGAGACAGCAACCAACAACCACACAAAAAACAAGCTACTGTGTCTGTTTTTTTTTTATACAAAATAACGTGTGTAATAATTCTACACTAAATTTACAACAAGAAAATAAACATGAAAAAATCCAACCAATAAACAGTGTAAACAGCTAATTTAGTATCCTATCCCCTTTTTTTTTAATAGTTTTTAGTGCTCAATAAATTTTAAATATGTTCGTACACGTGTGTACGTCATAGAACAAAAGGACATTGCTCCCTCGTTTCCACGGACTGGAATTATGACAATGACTAAAATCGACTGGAACTAGATAATAATCGGTCTTATTTAGGCAGCCCGATTAATGTTGGAATTGAGAAATGGTCGTGCGAGGGGATTGCAACTATGCACTCAACTATTTTTAATAAATAGAATTTAATATGGAAATTGCATATTTATTTTTTCCAAAGGAAATATCAGGCCACGGCACATAAACATACATCAAGCATTGTCAGTGTGTTGTATGTTTGCATGTGTATTGCACAGCTTTAGCGCCTTTATTGATGTATCGATAACGCGGATATCGCCAGTGGGACATCGTAATCAAATTTTTATTTCGCTTCTGTTGCTGTTACACAAACCAAATTTATAGAAAAAATACTGTATTTTATAAAAATATTATTAAAATATAAATATACACATATTAGAGCCATATATCATGATATATTACTGAATAAAACAGTCGAAGTATCGAATTAAATGTACCATCGATATATTATGTAAGCTCACCACTAAAATTCTCCCACTTGTCATCTCCTCTCCCGCTAAAAGTGCACCGACTTTCAAAAGATTCTTTAAATTCGCCGCAAATTGGGCTAGTTGCATCGTTTTGTGCTCAGAAATAATCTGCACACATCAATTGCAACCGCGGAAGTGAGTACTCGTGTTTCTGGCGGTCTTGGTAAAATGTTCAATGTGAATCCAATTTTCCCGGAGCCAGAAGTCAACGAGAATCATTCGAACGTCGGCGGAGACGACATTTTGCGCCAACGCTTTAGTCAGTAAGTATAGCCGAATTTCGATGCATTGTCAAAAAACCATTGACAAAGACTAACATGTACAATATTGTTTTGCACGCTGCTTAGGTTCCAAGAGCAAAAGTTAGTGGAAAAATTTTGCCGCGAATCGCATTTGCTGAAAATAATCGAGGGAACCGTTGCAGCATTCGTGGAGGACTACAGACGTACACGCACACCTGAAAAACTGCTGACGCCGTTGCTGCTGCGCCTCGACTTTGTCTACGCCGATCTGTTGACGCAGGCGCCATCCCTGTTGCCGCTGATTGTCGAAGAGCCCCTGCAGTTTGACCAAGCCGTCAAGTATTCGGTGTACGGCCTGGTGCGGAACCAACTGAAGGTAGCTGGCCTCAAGCCAATCGACATTGGCCAGTTGCACGCCCAGTGGCGCGTGGTGGGGCTGCCCTTCAGTCCCAGCTTGCAGTTTAATCCGGCCGCGCACTCGCTGCGCCTCGGCCTGTCCCTGGTCCAAGGCATCCTTTCTGCCTATACGCCAACTGAGACCATAGTGTAAGCGAAATCGGTGACAGTCGATACGCTGTCTCTCTCTCTCTCTCTCTCTCCCTCTTTAGCTATTTTCTCATTTCTTCTTCCGCGTGTAGCCTTCAATCTACTTGGTACTGCAGCAGCGGGTGCATGCGCAACGCCTTGCAGACCAGCTCTACAGATGGTATGTGTACTAAGAGCCCCCACGTGCCAACCCATTCCTGCCATGGTATAATCAAGGTGTCCTGTACCCCTGTATCCTTTAGCGCCATTGTGCCCCAACTGTTCGCGGCCAATGTGTGAATACCAGAAATTGAGAGTCACAGAGACCTATCGCCTGCTAGCCATTCTGCCCAGCTCCACCGTTCAGACGCCGCGCTCCGTTAACCGTCTCCATCGGCCTACCATAGTTCGGCTTAGAGGTGAGTTAGCCGAGTGCATATCCCAATCAACTGACACGATCTTTGCCCTGGTTTAGCCTATGCATACACCTGCGACCTGAAGTTGGGAGCCAAATACCTAATCACAGGGCATTTTGCCGGCTCTACGAATTACGACTTTGAGTCATGTCATTTAAAAAGCGCCTAGGGGCACGCCGCCAGGCTACGGCTGCTGTCCCACTCAATGATTATTTCAGCAGCAACGAGGAGCCAAATACATCGACTCCAGCTGCTTCCCTTGGGTAAGTGTGTGCGCCTTGAATATGAGAGGCTTTGGATTGAAACGAGTTTTCCGTTTACAGGACGATCCCATCGAATGGATTCAGTCACACCAGCAATGTCACCCCAATTTTAACCCCAACACCTCAAGACAACGATAAGCAATCAAAGTCTGAATCTGTACCTGCCACTCCGCCAGCAACTGTCTGGGACTCTGGCACTGGCACTCCAAATAAAGTGGAACAGGCAGCCCCTCGTGTCCAGGCCGAAACAGAGCCTAGCATGCACCAGTCGGTGGCCAAATGGCTAATCTCGGTGCCCACACAAATACAGACAACATCACAGCAGCAGCCTGAGCTGGAGCTTGAGGCTTCTGTGCAGGGCGAGGCTTCACACCATGAACCCATGAATCCAAATACCTCGCAGCAGGTGGACCCTCCAACGAATCTCGATATCGATGCCTTTCCTCCCTCTGCTAGTGAGCCACAGAACACAATTCACAACAGGAATCATCGCCGTCGTTTCTGGAACCTGCCACACAAGGCTGAGGCCAACGCTCAGTCGCAGCTAAGTGGGATGACAGAGGAAACGCCAGCCACTGGCACACACAATTCGGGGAAAGCACCCCAGGCCCTGGCCCATGCCACACTCGAATCTGAGGGGCAAACCTTATACATGTCTACCAATTTCCAGAGTCGACGCCGTCCTCGACGACAGAGACGTACCTTTACGGCAAAGGATTTGATTCATTTGAATACCGATCAGGATGGGATGCTGATAATGGGAAATGAGCCGCTGCAACCGCAAGCACTACCATATAATTATTATTGTAGCGCTCCAGCTCTGGCTCCAGCTCCGGCTCCAGCTCTATCGCCATATACTGCTACGGCTGCTGTCCCGAATCCGATTATTTTATCGGCTATTCCAGCCTCTGCTCCTGTAGCATTGGCCCCAGATCTAAGCATATTGCCCATAGAAGTGCTTTTGATGCCTAAACGGATCGATTTCCAAGAGAACATTTCATCAGACGTGGTTGTCTATCAGCCACAGACTGGCGAAATTTTGGCACGGGCAGATGTACCGCTGCAGGCGCAGCCACAGCCAGCTGCCATGGAGAACTGCAACCCTATGGTGAGCCAGTCGGTTTTTCGGCTGGCCAGCCTCCCGAGCACTGGTGTGGGAACGGACACGGATATAACACAGAATGCGGTTACTACTACACAGTGGGATGGCTGCAGCCTACCATCTTCCATATCAGCTCCAAGCCAGGCATCCCCATCCCCCAGTTCTTGGTGCCAAATAGAAGCGATCCCATCATATTTGTTCGCAACCCAGGAGAAGGAGGTGGCGCCTTTGTGCCCAAATATGGAACAGGAGACTTTGCATTATTCGATCAGTTCTTTGTATCAAAACCAGGAGCCAAATATTACTTCATTCAGCGACCTGCTGAAGCAGGATTTAATGGACAACAGCCAGTCGATGGACAGCCTCAAATTGGACCAGAATACAAACAATGCCCAGTCCACCCTCAGTTCTGCTACCCGGGAGGAGGAATGGGGGAAGGGATGGAACCTCAGTCAGGGGGATTTGGCCAGGGATCTAATGTACAGCCGTCCGCTGCTCAATATGGACCTGGAGGATATATCACCCAAGGAGCAACAATCGAGGAAGAAGGCCATTCACGCTATTCACAATTCCCTTCGCAATGAAGATGAAATTAAAATCGACCAAGTAGACCCAGACACACATGGCACAGGTCACAGTTCACCCAAGTCTTCGACTGTGGCACGCCATCAGCTCTTTGGCCGCCGGCCAGCCAATGAAACTCACCCAAAGCCGGACCTCAACTTTGTGCCGTCGAGCGTGAAAAAGTTGTATCAGCTTATATGCTCGCAGTACTCGGACTATGCCTTTATCTATGCCCTGAGCGCCCAGCTTAGCCAGGAGTGCGTGCCCATGGACTGTTACGTCTACTTAAAAATGGTACTGCTGGCCAGCATTGTGTCCATCGAGCCGGACGAGCTGAGGTCTCCCATCTCGTTGTGCATCATTGCCACCGACGGCGCCATGGCCGATCTTCTGATGTCCAGTGTGGGTCAGTTGGCTCCGCGCTTCATAGGTCCTCACGAGGGCGGTCTGCAGGCCTCGCACTCAGCACTGCCTGTGCGCTACACGTGGGTGTTGGCCAGTCCTCTGCTGATGGCCCAGCAGGGCGTTTACTATGCCGGCGATTGGACGCGTCTTTCCCGCGAGCATAGCGAACAGCTGGAGAAGTCCATCGAGAACGGAGCGGTGCCCGTGCCGCAGATCCAGGGCGAGCAGCCACTCGAGGCCGCCATTTGGACGCACTGGCAGCCAGAGAATGCCACCAATCAGACAGTAGCCTTTGCCAAGCTTTGCCCGTAAATTGTTTACCATAGCATAAATAATTCAATTACTCGATTACTCTTCTCTCTCTCTCTTTTTAGAATATTTGGTCTGCCCATTTATATGGGGGAGCAGGTGAGCGACAGCCTGTGGAGTTTTCTGCTCCAGCAGCACAGTGAGGACGGCCAGAAGAGCGAGCAGGATGGACTAAATGTACCTGAAGAGGATTTGCGCATTCTCCTCGGTTTGTTGCACCAGCGGAAGGTGACCTTTGGGGATGCGGCCCAATGTTTGCTGCAAAAATACTATGTGATCTCACGCAAGGAGCGACCAAGTGAGCACATCTATCTATCTATCTATCTATACTCTTCTAATTGATGAACTATTTCCCTCTCTGTTACCTTTCTCTTTCTTACAGCTGTATTCTCCAGTAAAACATATATTGTGCTGAAACAGTTCGCCGAATCATTTGCCAAGCTGGCCATGCGCCTGGAAGTCCTCGAAGCGGATGTGATCGTGGCCATTTTTCATTGCGAACACTTTGTGCAGACAATATTTGGTGCCAAGGAGTTGCCCGCACCATCAGTGGAGACATTCAGTGTGATTTCGCACATTGATCCGTACATGGACGAGTTCACACGCTGGCTGTTCAACTACCTCGATCAATATAGCGAGGAAGAGCTGGGCATTCAGGTCAAGCGCCGCAGAACCGACAGCTGGGGGGACATGGAGTAAATAGTTCCCCCCAAAGTTCCTACTCAATTTACTATTTTTTTATTTTATTTTTAACACTTAACGCGCTCGAAGCGAACAACCAACTGCGATGTTTTCTTACTCCCAATAACCAGTTGTGATTCATCACCATATTGTTGGTGCCACTAAGATTTACATTACCTTAGAAGAAAAAAGGTACAAGAAATTAAGTTGGGCAAAAGAAATGCCACTAAACGTTTTACTTTCACATACACATACACATACATACACATTCCAAATATTCAGAACACCAAATAATCAAAACTATAACAATAAATGTTATTCAATCCATTTGTATTTCAACTCATTTCATATCTAACAAATATTTATCCGAAACAAAAATAAAGCAACCTTAAATGATGGAGCCGGCCAGCAGCTGCAAAAACCCTCGCAAATCGGCCCACTGGCAAGAAGTCCCATTCTACATGATGATCTATGAATTTTGGAAGAACCCATCGGCGGGTCCGTCGGATCTGGGCTCGCTCATCGGCTACTTAGTGCTCTTTCTGATCATGTGGTATTTTATAGCATTGGTGCTGCAACTGGTGCTCTCGCTACTCTGGTGGGCTATCATTTTGGTGTTTGCCATGGCCATTCTTCGCATGGCAATATGGCAATATATAAGGCCAAATATGTGATCGAATGGTATACCAGGCGGCAATAGTTATTGCCGATGTGGTGGGCAGCAGCTTAGTCTTTGCTTTGAGTTTATTTTTTAATTAATCGATTGCAGTATTGCAATGAGAAAATTTTCATTCTGCACCAGTATGTGTTCGCCGAATCTGTTCGACTCGATTAAATAGTTACATTCTAAATTACAAATAATCAATAAATCAAATGCATTGTCCAGAACAATGCTTGGTAGAACGTCCTTGTGTCCTTGTATACATACATATGTATGTATGTAAATATTGGTTCTTGAACGTGTTATTGGCTTACTTCTAAGGAATGAGTGTCTTGTCAAGTTCCATCTTAATGTTAGTTAAGCTTTGGCCATTGGTTTGATGGATTCTCGCAGTCTCCAGTTATTACAGCAGTTTTGTTTTGTTTGCTATGCTTGATAGGTTAATCCCTAAGCTTCCCAATAAAAGCCCAAACAGACAGGGATCTTCCACACAATCCTACTGGCCGGTTCAAAAGAAGTGTTCGAAATTCAACAAAGCTTCGTAATAAAAATAATAGTTCCCCAATATATCTGGCGTTTTCCAGCAAACTTTATTACATATATGTATGTTATGTATCATGTACCGGATAAAAACAATTAGATCATTATTTCCACCAATGATTTATGCATACGCAATATAAAATATAGGAAGGTGAGAGCATATTTGCATCATATTAAAGCAAGCACACATTCACATGTTTTACAGTGCGTTTTGTTTGTGTGCAAATACAGCACGCAAAACGGAACATCGTTTTAATTTGAACTGCATTTATGGAACATAAATGCATTTGTTTCCGCGACTTTTTTTAAAAGAGTGTGCTGGTTGGTAGTGTAGTGTTGCATACACTTATCATTGCTTGTGTTGCATAAACGATATATGTACATATATCTTTAATAAAGATAAAAATCAAATATATTTGAAAAATCAGCACTTTGTTTTAGCTTGAATCTCCTGCTGAGGGCGTTTTTGCTGCTCCACCATTATGCTTGTGGTGCCGACACCACCACCACCACCACCACCACATACATATTGTATGGTCCGCATCTTGATATCCATTGAGCAGTCCTGTGACACAGCTATTTGAGTGGCCGGCAGGGCCGCCAGATCCACGCTTGATGTAATCCACGTCCCCCTCGGCTCGATTATTCTTATTCCTGCTTATTGCGACTGTAATTATCCGTGGGCTGCTGCATTGCTACGACCTGTAACGAAATAAGCTCAGTATTTGGCTTCAAAACTTCAAACGCGTATTGCTCGCGACTTTTTCAGAAATTTCCTAATTCACGCACGTGTCAATTTGATTCAAGATCATGGATAAATGCTCAGTTAATCGATCCAATAATTAACTTTGCACTTGAATTAAACTTTTCTGTTGAAAATACGTAAAAAGGGGAAATTACTTAAATCTGCTGACTGCGCAGTGCGACATGCCTATGTATGTTTGTGTGGTACTGTCTATGTGTGTGGTACATACACACAGAAATTGATATTATCACCACCATTTCCGGTCGATACGTTTTAATTGCAACTCTGCTCTTCATGGAACTTGCGGGAAGAACGTTTCATACATTCTGTGCCCAACGTATTAATCAGTAAGTATCCAAATATAATTATTATTTATCCTATGCAACGTTTTTGTTTCCTATCCAATTGCACACCAAGCAGCCTGTAGGATTTGAACTGACAATACTATCACCAGCGTTTCCTGTCGATACTTTTGCATTTCAATTCTGCTCATCATGGAACTTGCTGTCAAGTGGTAGAACTCAAAACGTCTCGAGCACTCTATGCCAACGCATAAGGCAGTCACGCAAAATTTGAATAAATAATAATTTGAATTACAAAAAATATATAAGGTGTGGAGAAACCAGAGCATCTTTCGCGGCATAAACTGCAAAAATACAAGTGCCGCGCCCGCTGTGTAACAGAATTCTGTCGCGACACACACACACTTGCCGAAAATAATAGTTTCTGCGAGGACCCTACATACATGCACGACATACAGTGCAACATTCGTAATCTCGCGAAACCCGAAAGTCAGCTTGCGCCAGTGCTACGCCGAATTGTGGGCGCAGACGCCGCCGCCATCGCTAATTGTACCGCTTATTATCGCGTATGCGCCTGCGCCTTCTAGCGGCTCGGCCCGGCCCATGAGTTGGGAGTGACGGAGACATACACGCATACACGCTACAAACTCAACTGAACCGATATTGGCCCACAGCTACGACTACGGCGTGAACTTGGGGGCAAGGTAAGAGTTTTTTTTTTGGTTTTGTCTTTTCTTCTTCATTTTGTTGAGCTACGACTTTCAGCCATGCCTCCTAAAAAGAGTCAAGGCGCACGTCGCCGTGGCACGACTTTGCCACTAAATGATTTCTTGCGCAGCGATGAGGACAAAATTGCACCAAAGCCAAAAGGGACAGAAACCAATCCGTAAGTGTTCCCTTAGATCCCTCCACCCCTAAGGCTGTAGATTTAAATGAGTTTTGCAGGCCGATGGTGAAGAATAGATCGAGTCGCTCCCGTAATAAAACCAGTAAATATAACGATGAAAAGACAAATCCGCCAAAACCAACAGATACCAATCCGTGAGTGTTCACTTGGATCCATCCCTGAGGCAGTACATTTAAATAAGATCGTATTTTATAGGCCGATGGCGACTAACGGATCCCGTCGCTCTGGTAATAGTACCCGTATGACTGACGATAAGTCATCGGCACCTTCCGATGGATCCAATCGGCCGTCAACGCCTGCACTTAAATCCATCCAGCAATCCACGTCTGCACTTGGATCCGTTCGCTCAGGTAATAGTACCTCTACAAAATACGATGAGGAGTTAGATCCACAAAAACCAACAAATACAGATATCAAATCGTGAGTGTGACCTTGGATCCATACCTTAGGGAGTACATTTAAATGAGTCTTACCTGTACAGGCCGATTGCAACTAATGATACTTTAAAGCCATCCACATCAGGAGTTGCATCCCGTGGCTGTGATAATAACGATGATAGGCAATCCACGTATTCGGCTGTAGCTGGAGCTGCCAATAGACAAGAGTTGACTGCACCAATAACCGTCTGGGTATCTGCTAATCAAGAGAGTTATCAGCCGCAAGGAGGCGCTCCTATTGGCAATTCAAACATCCAGCAGCTTCCTGGTATGGGACTGACTTCAAATATCGAGCAGCTGGCAGCACCGTTAGCACCGTTAGCACCGTTAGCACCGTTAGCACCTCAAGCTGTTGTAGGCTTATTAGACCCATCCCAGTATCTGGCGATGAGTCTATTGAACCGTCCACCTACCCGTAGAGGAAGGGGGCGACGCAACCGCAATAGACGACGTGTAAGACGCGAAGGGGCGCCACCTATGCAGGCTTTATTTCTGCCTGAGTCGATACGCCATCTGATGCCCATACCGTTCGGGCCCATACCGCAGCAGCAATACTTTAACGTACAGCAACAGTTATATAATGGGAATTTTGTGCAGCCACAGCCCATATTCACGACACAGCCACAATCGCAGCCACAATCGCAGCCACAATCGCAGCCACAATCCTTATTGGACTTACCCTACTATAACGTCCAACAGGAGTCATATAATGGGCATTCGTTGCAGCCACAATTTACAATTAATCCACAATACTTGAACGTTCAGGAACAGGCATATCATGGCGGCATTGGATATGCAGGGCAGCAACAAATTGGAGCCATATCTTGCCATGGGCACCAGCAGATACCAAACACTCAAGCTCGCACTTATCGCATCGATCGCGGAGCTACTCTACCGATCCAACCGAGGGACCGCCCTCAGGCACTTGAGCCCTGCAAGTGGGAGGGCACAAGGATCAGCGTAAGTCCTTTGTTTTTGAGCTCCTGCCAAATATTCCCCATTCTAAATAACATCCACAGATGCGACGCCGTATCCAGCGACGCAGACGTCTCCAAGCTAGTCAAGAGACCGTGGAAATGGAAAATGCTTTCGCCGAGCCGTCAGCACCGGAACCGCTCTATTGCAATTGCAACTTCCAAGACATAGCTCCAAGCTCGATTTCAGATAAATATTCGGGACCGGTTTCGTTTTCGGCTTCACATTCGCCATCGTTTATAGCTGTTCCTGCGGATGAGAATATTATTCAAATGGGCAGGTCAAAGAAAATGCCCGTCCAAATGCTTATACCACCTGGACGTATCGATATACCAGCGGACATTTCCACATCGATGGTTCTCTATAATCCGGAGACGGGAGCCATTGCGGCCCGCTTAGACTCAGAGCCATTGCCGCTGGCGCTACAGAATAATAATTGCAATGCGTCGCAGTCGGTTTTTCGGATGGCCAGCCTCCCGATCACTGGGGTGGGAACAGATGGGGATGGGGCTGGTTCTACATATTGGGTAAAGTGCAGCCCACCACTGTCCAGATGTGGCCACGCCCAGGATTGGCCTTGCCTCAGTTCCTGGTGCCACACACTGATGGCAACTTCATTCCGTACTGGCCCATTCCAGGAGAAACTGTCTCCTTTCAGCCAGCACCAGGCACAGAGTCTATTACAAATCCGAATCAATATTATTTTGCAAAACCCGGTTCTGGATTTTACGATCCGATGCCAGGACAAGATGGCCGAGATGCTTACCCCATACCGATTTCGCCTACACAAGAACGAGCTGTTCCCATTCAGCCGAGGATCGCCTGCACAGAGTCGGAATTCATTTGCATGTCGCCATATGCTGCAAGTCCAAGACCAGGAGCAGCAGATGGCCTCTCAGATGGTGGACGAGTTATCATTCAATCGAAGCTCGATCCAAACGTTCCAGAATACGTACCACTGTCCCATGTCCTGGCTAACGCTGGTCGATATAGATCTGGAGGAAACCAAAACAACCAATCGGAAGCCAATCAAGAAGGCCATGCCAACATCAATTTTCCTCAGCGACGTCCAAGGAAACAAAAGCGTTCTTCGCGCCGCCACTAATTCAATTTCAATTTGGTCGACTGGTGCTCAAGGACCACCATTGCTTACGAATCCGATCTCGATTATGCCAACATGCGTTCCCCTCATGATATATGAACTGATATATGCCCAGTGCACTGCCTCAATCATCAGTGCTCACGTAACAAGCTTTTTGCTGCCAAAATACTCGAAGATTTTACCCTCAGGGAGCGATCAAGTAAGCGGATTTATATATGTATGTTTTTGACTGATTATATATCACATCTCTCTACAGCTATCTACACAAACACATCTTCTCGCCAATCAGTTCGCCGAGCCATCTGCCAAACTGGCCATGCGCTTGGAAGTCCTTTAAACATCGATGCGTACTCCGTGTGCCACCATTATATTTTATAACAATAACAATTCAAATCAATTATTTTTGTAAAGATTGTATATGCAAATGCATATCCTTTGATTTTCTGAAATGTTGCACACAAATACTAGATACATTTTTGCGTTTTAAATGTAATTCAATAAATAAAGGTCTAAACCTCATCAGAAATAATGTGCCTTAACTATAATATTCACTTTAAAAAAACATGGTAAAATCTGGCTCTTGGGAATGGCATTTTTACATCAAAATTTAATTGAGGATTTCTCTAGGGAAATATTGAGAGCCTCCTTGCCTATTGGGGTCACAATTGGGGAAGCACACAGCATGCATAGCATCCACAGTTCTTGAGGCAAAAGATGTCTTGAGAATTTCTGATTTAAAAAAATAGCTAGATCTGAATAAACAGGTGCCATGGATACCACAACACTCAGAGAATACAAAAACAATTCGTTGTTTATCTAAAAAAAAAACAATTCTTTTTATTAACTAAATACATATTTATAGTTATTGCTTATGTTGTAAGTATGTATACTGTATATATTTATTAAAGTTTTTGTTTTTGTGTGTATTTTTGATTATCCTTTCCAGCTGCCTGAGCAAATCGTTCAAAGTTCTGTTTAGTCTTAGGCTTAGTCCTGGACAAACGGTTTGTCCCTCCTCTCGCTCTCTCTCTCTCTCTCTCGATCCTTCCAATTATACAGTTATCAAAATATATATATATATATATATATATAGGTAAATTCACAATGAAACTTCCAGTGTATAAGAGTCATATGGGGGATGGTCCCTTTGGCTATTACATTTAAATACTCTCGTTATCGTTGTCGTAGTAGTTATACAAAACGGATGATAGTGTGGGATTTTGTATTGTGTATACATATATGTATGTATGTACATACATACATATGTATGTATGGTCTCGATATCTGTATGATTAGGCTATGAAATGGCTGTGTTAGTAGCGTTGGGATTTCTTTTTTCATAATTTGTATTGTACACACATTTCTTTCTATACACACATACATATATAGAGCTATAGAAAAATATATAATATATAATATATATAGAGTTACTTAACTAGATTATGACAAATTAAAAGCAATAAAATTACATATAGTAAATACATCATCATCATATTCATATATATTTATTATATATATATATCTAGTATATTTCATATAAAAAATACATTCTTGACTTTGGTCCAGTACTGAAATCTCGGATTTCGTTAGTTCGCCAAAAGTAAAAGTTCAAAATTATTGCCCGTCCGAAGGATGTAGTATTGTTAAAGATCCAAATAGGATGAGCTTGTTTTGTTGTGTTTTGGTCCTACGTGGCTAGAGTTTTGATGTGTGGGGGTTGGGGTTCATCAGTTAGTTGAGCTTATAGTGTAGTCTGCTGTGGGCACTGGGCAACAAGTTAAAGGTTAAATTGATTGGGTACACGGTGGCTCCTAGTAATCCAGGTTTCCCTGGGCCCCAGTGATGATGGCATCTATCCAAATGCGCGCCGCTGAATCGGAGGCTGCCTGAAGGTTGTAGCTCCGCTTCTTAGTTTTCACAATGAACGTGCAATGTGGTCGTCCGCTCTTCGAGGCATTCAAATGATCCAGATACACCTCGTCGATGGTCTGCAAGGGATATTACGGATACGCGTTAGTTGGCCGTACAATTGTATAAGTATATTGTGCTCTACTCACTGCAAAGTAGGCACCGCCTCGTGGCTTTCGCTCCGATTTGTCCGAGTAGTAGATCAGGGCACTGCGCTGCCTGTCCAGGACAAACCAACGCCTTGACCACGCATGGAACGTGGCCCCCAGCTTGTGTAAATATCTATAAACAAGAATATAGGCATGAGAAAATGAGAAAACCTGTCTGCAGCTTCTGTGTGTGGCTGTTGGTTTACGCACCCGCGACAACTGTGCGCATCGACAAAAACATGCGGACAAAGATCGATCTGATGGCCAGCGGTCTCAATGTGATGCCTCAGATTGAGGTCTGGCGAGAAGATGGGCAGGTAACGGGTCAGGGGACGCTGATGCTTGGGCAGGGCACGCTTCCGTTCGCTGGCGGTGCTGCCACCGCTGCCGCTGTTCCCACTGCCACTGCCCGCCGACGCTGTGTCCTGGGAATTGCTGTTGCTGCTTGCCCTCTTGTTTTCGATTGCCGACAATTCCATGCCACCACCACTACTTCCATTGGCAAACTTGGGCGCCTCAATTGTTGCGTCACAATTGTTGGCCTCCGACAGGGGACGCGGACTGCGTGCCATCATCTGGGCTGTGGCTCCACTGCCACTGCCACTGCCACTTCCAATGCCCACCGCTATGGCATGATGCTCGAGCTCTGGCTGTGAGTGGCGTTGCTGCAATGGGAATGGGAAATATGTCAGCAGATTGAATTATCAATAGCTCAAAGGTAAGTACTATTTATATTCGTAAATATACATTTTACACATTTAGTTCCTTCTCAGGACTAACACGAGCTCCTGCTCCTATCCCAGACAGTTATAAAGTTTGAAATGTTAGCTGCTGCCACAGATCAAAACACAAAAACATATGTAGCTATAATCCCACATATCTATCTACATAATAATTTCATGATGCACATGACCTTGTCTCTGTCTACCACCATACCCAGACGAGTATTCCTGCGATTCGATTCGATTGGATTCGATTCACTCACTAGATAATACAATTCCATGCGTTGTCGTGCATTCGCATCCGTGCGACGATGCTGTACATAGGTCATCCAGACGGACATGTTGGACTATGGATTGCAGAAGCACTTGCTCCTCCACTGGGAATTGGATTCAAACTGCGCGAGTGTGCCGATTGGCGAGATCGCTGGTACTGGGTACTGCTGCTGCCTCCGCCTATGGCCATTCAAATGAGGCGCGCACGAACATTGTCCAGCAGCAGCAGCAGCAGCAGCAGCAGCAAGAAGCGGACAGACTGGCAGGCAGGCCGGCACACAGGCAGGCAGTCGAGCGGATTGAGATCGAGGTAATTATACTCGTAATGGACCAAAGATTTGTGTGGCCAATGAACGAGGGATAACAATGGCTAACGATCCAACGTGCACGGACCAATGTGTAAACAAATTTAATGCAAAACAAGGTAAAGGGTAATACGTAAACAAAAAAAAAAAAGAAGCGCGTAACAAAGTTCGTGCCAGAGAAGAGCACAAAACAGAACCAAGTTGGAGGAGAGCCTATAGACGAGATACCATTCCGACAAGAGAGTACCCGCTACGCAGATTTATTATCAAGATTATAAATTATCAGGCGCGAACCATCTCAAAAAAAAAAGTATTCCCATTCCCACCATGGAGAAATATAAATATGTAACTTTGCTTTCAAAGAAAGAAACATTTTCATTGATATGTATATACCATATATATATTTTAAATTTGTATTTAAAACAAAAAAGATTTTGAAAATTGAATTCAGAGAAGCCCAAAAGTAAATCCCAAAACTGTGTGATGTGACTGGGCTGAGCTGAATCGAAGCTACCCTCTTGGCACCACAACGAGTACCGGGTATCACAGAGAACACACACAAAAAACAACAAGTCGTCAGCAGAAAATATTAAACTTATTAATAAGTGTAGTCCATATAGAATCTGCAATTGAGAGGCTAAAGCATTTGCCGATCACCGGAATGGCGAATGCCCCGTGAGCAGTACGGAGCGGGGCGGGGCGGAGCGGTATGGTAAGGGGGCTGTTTTAAAATAAACACAAGCTAAAATAAAATAGCAAACAGAATGCCGAAGCGGAGAGCAGAAACTCGTGACTAACGAGCTGACGATAGATTGCCTCCGACTATCGCGGATGTGGCGGGGGCATACTGTACGACGTACAGCAACATTACAGCATTAAGGAATGAACGATGAAACGGACAATACGGACATATCCAAACACTGTACACACTGTCTGCCTCAGTGTTTATTTGTTAAGTGAGAGACCCCGGGTATAGTTCACCTTATACTAATAAGCCTTGATCCAAATGAACTTGAATTCATTAAGAGAGAGAGAGAGAGCGAAAAGAGAGAATAGAAATATACTTGTCGCCTCAATCAATGCAATGCTCTACAATAAGGGTTGTTCAGTGCCAGCTCCGATTTTAGAGATATCACTGGGAAATACCATTCAATGTATGGAATGACAATGGAATGATCGTTGGAAATGATCACTTTATTAGCATATTTGTTTGGTTATCTGGCTGAAGATGGTTTAGGTGTTATCCAAAATAACGAAAGAGTGGAATAACCCCTCGATCGCCACCGATCCATACACATGCGAATTGCCATTATTAATGGGGAAATCGCTGCATTAATGAAATGTTCCCGGGAATAAAAATGCAATTACAATAATTATGTGTATATTTTCGGGCAACTCTTTGCTGATGTTATTGTTTATGTACAGAGAGGAAATTACTCACAGAATGGATGAGTAGAAAGTCGGAAGGGGGAAGGGGTTGGAAAATGCGCCTTTCCCAATACAAGAATTCCCGGAAGCCACAAACAGAAAAAGAGAAACAGAAACCGATTCAAAAACAACAACAAATACTTATGTAGACTAAGAGCAGAACCCATCGTCGTGTTGTTTGGCCTAGGTCGTCAATTGTGTTCTGGGGTCGTTCAATATTTATATTTATGTATTTGTATACCCTTTCAGAGAATATTGTGAATTTTGTAATGCCAAGAAATAAGCATCTACGACGCCAAAAGCAGTCTAAAATTCTTAATCAGTCAGTCTGTTGGTCTGCCTGTTTCTACCCGATATTCTGCTTTACTCTATTGTCAAATAAATTCAGAGAATTGACCGGATATATCTGAATCTATCTAAAAGGGTTTAAGTCCTATTCCACATTTGCACATATGTATAAGGCTTTCTTCTGGCTTTCCCATTTCCATGGTTCACTTATGGACTACATAGCTCTAAATCCGAGATTTAATAATTGTTAGCAAGTTTTTGGCATCCGATCCACTGTGCGCGTCGGAGCAGCAGCAGCAGCAGCAGCAGCAGCTGTCCGTTGTTCTCTTGCTTTCTGGCTCTCTCTCTCTTCTGCACTCACCTGCTGGGATGTTGTTGTTGTGGTGGCCGAGAGACTGCTTCCGATTGACTTTCTGCTCTGACCGTTATTTTCCTTATCGTTGTTTGTCTTCTGTTCTTGCTCTTTCTGCTTCTGCTTATCCTCTGTAGCATCCTCCTCGACGCCGCTGAGCTTTTGCAGTTCCGTTTTGTCAAACAATTTTGCATCTTTGCCGCCGCTGCAGAGAACAAAAGAGAAAGAGATAAGTAAGTGCGCGATCAATGAGTAATTTTCGAGTTATTTGTCGTATAATCCCCGCGTCGTACCAGCAAGGAATCATCGCATTTATACGGTGCATTTCTCTGAATGGAATGACTCATTCCACCGCCAAACCGATTTGGATTCGTATTCGATTCGCTCGCAGCGCGCGCTCAGTTCCAACCGAAGACTGACTGACTGACTAAGCGGGTGCACACCCCACACCCCAATGAACAGTGGCCATAGACAGACACACAGACACATACTCACATGCACTCTGACACGCACACACACACACACACACACTGGGACACGAGCAGCTGATAAGCTTATCAGCTCAGCTGAAGCGAATCGTACAGCCCAGGGCGCCAAAGAGTTGCACAGGTGACGTCTTCGTCAAAAGCGGAGAGAATACATACATCACCTTGTGTGTATGTAGATGGGTGGTACCCTTTCCAGGGGGCGCACTATAGCTCGGTGCAGGCGTATGCAATGAACAGAAGACTGCAAATATGTGGCGGGTACTATTTTAGGTTCTTCAAATTAAGATCGATGGATCGAATAAATTTGTATCTAGTAAGTTCAACTAACTGCAAGGGTATCTGAAGCTTCGGCCTTCGTAAGCAGACTTTCTTTCTCGTCTAGTCTATTGATTTTGGTGTGTGTTGAGTAGAGTTTTGTTTGGTTTGGTTTTTCAATTCAAACAAATATTTAAAGTGATTTGGCAACCGGTTTGGAGACGACAGCCACCCATAAGATGGAGCAGAGTGCCAAAGTGGAGGAGGGGACGAGTGAGGCAAGGCAACATATTGTTTGGCTATTAGTAACCACATTTGATTAATTGTAGAGACTGCGACGAGTTCAATGAGCAAGCCCCCATAAGGCACTTGAGCCTACACTGGACACAACACTTTTGAGAGTCTCAAGAGAGGAGACTTTCTAAAAATAGTTAACTACCCTAACCATAAATATAGGTACAACTGTGTATGAATCTAAACATATATGAATCTGTATAGACTCCAAAAACCTAAATTAATAATCGTAAATCTGCTATAATGTATCCAATAACAAAAGTTCTGATCTATTCTTTGATTCAATCATTACTAAAATCATACAAATAAATTCAATAAATATTCAACAATAATCAACTACACCCAGATACAAAATTATGCCAATAGGAATAGACCAATTACCTATAAATTAAATATATTTACTCTATTCTATTTCACTTCAGAAACTGTTTTAATTTTATTTAACTTCTCTAAGTTTGGCTTCAAATATGGGTGTTTATTATTACTTTGCAATTTTTCTCTGAGTGTATCAATATTGCAATCAACTTTATACGAATGCTCGATAGATAAGATATTAATAATAAGTAAAATAAACAAAAATTCAAATCAAATATGTACATACTTCTGCATAATTGCAAAATGCTCAATTAAAGTAATCTCTTTTTTGTTTGTTAATTGCACTGGAATAATTACAATTGGTTGATCCTTTGGCTTTTGTTAATTTAGAACCATTTTTTAATGGGGAATTTATTTGTTGAAATCTGTCAAAATCTGTCTTTCGAATATAACATTTACTGAATATACATTTGGTGTAGATAGCTAGACAGATTAATATTATTCTTTGGTGCTGGCGAACCTAATTCTGATCTTCTTCCACTCTTAACTTTTTGAAAAAACCTAATACGAGTATAATGCATAACCTAAAGTGCCGTTACCAATCTAAAAACTAAAGCAGTTCCCTAGTATATGAGTGTTATTTGAGAAAAAGAAGAATCCTATGCTATCCACCCAAGGGTAAATGTTATATGTCACAAAAGAATTTATAGCCAGCCGAAAGCCCCAGCATAAGTTTTATACTAAACTATTTTTTAAAGTGTACAATTAAATAAATATTCTTCGATGACTATTCTTTGGAAAAAATCAAATTCGCAGAGTGCATAAAACTCTGTGGTGTAGTGTTATGTGGGAGTGGCAGCATTCCAAGTGCAATTTCGTCGCCAGCTGCTCAGCTAATTAACTCGAAACTTGTGGGGGTGGGGGGTGCTGGTGCCCCTGTCGGCCCATTCAATTAGTTGTTGGATGGAGAGAGGGTCAGGTCAACTCACTTGGCGTCTGCTTCGAGCTGGAGCTGCAGCTGCTGCTGCTGGTGCTCCAGTTGTTTCTGCTCCATCGAGTGCTGTGTGGATAGCAGATATTGAGTGCGTGCCTCTGCGTGGCATTTCTTCTTGAGGTCGTACATCTTTTGTCGCTCATGCTCAATAACCTGATGACCTGAGAGAGACAGATACGAGAGACATCAGAATACACTATGAGGTTGAACAAAAATAGAGTGCCCTCCTTTTCGTACCCTGCTGAGCTAGCAAAAGTTTCCTGTTTCGTTCAATTTCCTTGAAGCTATCAAAGATCTTGGTACTGGCTCCCTGACTGGTCGAGATTGGTGCATCATTGGCCACCTTGCATATGCGATCGATGTCATCCTGCGACGGCACGCGACGTTCCAGTGGATTAACCTCGAAGCGATCGCTTTGCAGCGACAGATTGTAGCTGATTTGCTCACAGCTGCCACTGCCGGTGCCAGTGCCACTGGCAGCGCCAACTGCATCCTCGTACAGCTGCAAGGGCAGACGCTTCGGTGTGCTGGTGGTGGCTTCGATCTTGTGGTTGTAGAACATATTCTCGTTCACGCTCTTTGACATCAGATCATCCTGGTGGAGTCGCTTGGGGCAAAGCAGTTCCGCTGATCCGAACAGAGACTGGGACATGACACCGTTAACCAGATTGCTGCTGCTGCCTGGAGAAACTGGGGGTCCCGATCCGCTCTTCTTTGGGGAGTTGGGCTGCTGCTCTTCGTCATCGGGGCCCAGCTGAATGCGCAAGGCGGCCAGCTCTGACTCTAGCGTGAGGCGTTGCTCGTGACGCTTGAGCTCCTCATGGCTGGCATGATGCTCGGATTCCTCTTCAAAGTACTGAAACTCCAGATCCTCGAACGTCTTGCGATCGCTCTCCAGAGACTCGCACACCAATTGCTGCTCCTCCTTGAGGCAGGCATTGTTCGGCTTCTGTTTGAGCATGGCCCGCAGTCTGTAAATCAATTGAATAAGTTTCTCTCGTTTTCTGTATGTTTAATTCGCTCACTTTTTCAGCTGATCCTGTTTCATTTCAATGGATTGCTTTAGCTTCGCCTGCTGATTCTCCTCCATTACGCGGGTGGCATTCCGCTGAGCCTCCAGGCGGCGTATTCGATTCTGCAGCGCCTGAAGTTGCAGTCGCGGCGACATTGGCGTCACCTGCTGCTGCTCGACCTGCTGCGGTTCCATCTGTACCAAAGGGAGAAGAGTATATTTTTTGTATATGGTTTTTTTTTCGATGTAAGCAAAACCAACCTCAGGATTATCCAGTGTGCTGCTGCTAGGTGGCGGCAGTTCAGCCAGCTCCGTTTTCAGCTGCTTTCGTCGTTGAATGAGCTCTCGGCGATGGCGCTGCTCGAGGTGTATGCTGCGTGGCGCTGGCGCCGGTTTGCGGTTGGGCTTGGGCGATTGCGACTCGGCGGTATTCAGATTCAGGGTGAGATTATTGACATTCTTGTTCGTGCGCTTGGCCGGCGGCACCAGGCGGTCCAGCTGCTGTTGCTTGCGCTCGAAGGACTTGAAGAGCTGCTCATAGTCTCGTTGCTGGTTGGGTGCTGGTGGTTTGGGTGCCAGCGGTGGCTTGACCATCGCTTGGCTTGCTCCGGCGACACTGGGTGGCGGCGGCGGCGATTGGGTGGTGGTGGCCAGGGCAAAGGCGCTGCCAAAGGACACATCCTTTTTGGGCGACATGCAGTTGGTTCGTATCTTGGTTCTGGGGCTCTGTGGCACATACTTGCCCCCGCCACTGATGTTCCCTAAATTCTCATGACTTGAACGAACCGCCGGACTGGGGCCAGCTCCTCCGCTTCCCGCTGTGGCTGCGCTTCCCGCTGCAGATGCCGGCACATGCAGCTGCCCATTGATCTCCACGCGATTGGGTCCCAGCAGACGTACATTCTCATAGCCCGAGGCGCTGCTCAGCAGCGAGAGATTGGTGGTGCTGCTACCACCGCTCCCGCCACTGGGCTGCTGTGGGAATGGTGACTTCTTGTCACGCGGCAGGGAGCCATTTGTCTTGATTCGATTCTGGACAATCGGCGATGAGGTGATGCTGGAGGTGCTCGATGTATTGTGGGCAGCAGGAGGAGGAGCAACTCCAGCAGATGTGTTTCTGTCCGCGTACTCCGTGCATATCTTAAGCATATCCTCCAGCTCAGCTCCTCCATTTCCGCTTGCATTTGCACTGCCATTTCCACTTCCATTGTTGATGTCATTGTTGACGCCATTCATGGAGTATATCTGGAAGCCGCCTGGCTTGGGATATCGATCATAGCGATCGTTGTTAACCTTGGTAAGCAGATCCGGATGCGATTGTTGCTGTGGATGCTGATGCTGCTGGTGCTGCTGGTGCTGCTGGTGCTGCTGGTGCTGCTGCTGTTGCTGCTGTTGCTCTTTGTAGATGGTCGCATTGGTGGGTACGTTCCAGTAGCCGGAGTTATTACCGACTCCTGCTCCTTTGGCATATTGATTGTTCATCTGCTTCTCGTTGCGATGGTTCTCGGCCAGATTGCGGGCAAAGCTCGCATATTTCTGACCAAGCACATCCTTGGCGGGCATATTGACGGTGACCAGGTCGGAGGTGAAGACCTTCGGGCACTCCAGCTGCTCATATCCACCAGAGGAGTGGCCTCCAGTGTGTTTGATCGGATTGATGATGCTCTCGTAGAAGGACTCTAGCTCCAGCGACTGACTCAGCTCGTGGGCCTGTCGCGCCGACTGTGTGAAGTCGATCTGTGGCATGGAAATCCGTTCGTTGGAGCCCATGGCCGAGCGCATCATCTGCGCCTCTGCGGGATTGTTGAAGCGCAAGTAATTCGAATTGCCGATGGTGATCATCGCCCCCTGGCTGAGCTTTGTCTCCTCCAGTATGGGGGCGCCGTCGATGAGCAGTCGCGCCTCGTGCTCCGGCACCAGGGTCACCTCGTTGGCGTCGCTCCTGTAGATGGTGCAGTGCAGCGGCCGGACACCGCTTCCATTCAACGAGATGCTACACGTCCCCGCCGATCCAATGGTCGTATCCCCTAAGCGAAAAGAAGACCAAACGAAAATCCGATAAGCAACAGAAGGCGAAGAAAAAATATGTAAAGTTTTTCGTCCGGAGTTCGATTTGGAAATGTGAGGTTGGGATCTCTCCATTCCATCCAAACCATTCCATTCATCAGCTCTTATCGCTCTTGCCATCTCTGTTGCGCTCGCGGTGCCGCATGTTGCCCCAAGATTAGGCACAGTGGGTGATACTCGCGAAAGCTCTTAAGATCTGAGCCTTCTCTCATGCGTGTCGAACAAAGATTCTAAAGTATTTCGATACAGAGCTCCGAGCGTATGCGTTTAATACATTTTTTGACCTATGTACATATGCATGTATTCTGAATTTAATCACTTAAAAAATTATTCACTTAATTTTGATCAATGCAATATTTTGTCATTTGTATTTTTGTATTTAAATATATTGTCATAGGCGCGGCTTTTCGTCGCACTGTAAGCTGCCAAAAAAAAATGAAACAAAAATCACCTTATCGCCGTTTACTCTGCCTTCGCTTGTGCTGGTTGTTTTCTTTTTGTGCGTTTTCTTTCGCAATTCGTTTCTTTCGGTACTTTGCTTATCGCTTTACAAGTGACCTTGCAGAGAGACAGAGAGAGAGAGAGAGAGAGCGCACGCGTGCGTGCCCGTATCTGCGCCACGCACAACAGAAAGACAGAGATAGAGAGTGGAGTAACGGTCCGTGTCCAGTGTGTGTCTTTAATTGCATTTACATTGTTAATGTGTACATACATACATATGTATGTGCATATGTTGCATGTAACTCAACTTACCAATGTGTATGTAGTGTATAGTCACGGCGGTACTTAAACGACCACCGCCCAGACTAACCAGATGCGGATCGGAGGCGGCAACACGCAGCGATGGATCCTTTTTCGTCAATGACATCTGCAAAACAAATAGATAGAAGGAAAATTAAATAATAGAAATGTCAACTGTCATTTCATACACACCGAGACAGATAGAGAGAGAGGAAGAGATAGAGAAAAAGAGCGAAGTGCATGAGCAGCTGCAGCTGGGGGATACACTGACCAGGGGTCTAGTCACTCACTCTCTCTCTTCCTTACTCTCACCCCTCTTTTAGTTCTGTGTGTGCGCTTCAGCACGTGCGCTCAAAACGGAAGAGAGGGTGAGTAAGAGAGGTGATTTGAGAGAAAGGTAGAAAGAGACCAACAGCTGGCATAGGCGAGCAGCAGTGTTGATCGTCTAGCAGTTTTATAGCTAGACAAGCAAAAACACAACAAATGTACATACATATGTACATAGGTTCATGGAGCTTCATATTCGGCTTTTGTGTGTAAAGGCTGTAGGTTAAAGCTCTAAAATCATAATTTAAGCATCTACTGGTTTGGAAACAGCTTTTCTAGCTGGTTTTTTTTTCCAAATAAACGAAGTTTTGTAATGGAATGGAATATGTTGTATGTTGGACCCGAATCATTGAGACCTAATGGTCTTATGGCTTCTAATCAATCACCAATAAACAAATAAATGAAAAATGTGGCATTTGATAACGGCACACATACATGGACACACGGGTATGGCCTGTATACTTACACTCATACAAATCCCCTCCTTGGAAGAGAGTTTGGAGATCTATAGGGGTAGGGGTACGGGGCTAGGGTCGGAGCAAACGCATTAAAAGTTTTCACTTTTATTTTTGGGTCCCGCGGAAATGGGCCCCCACTCCCCAAACACTTTTTTAGAAATGCTCCCAACGCAATCCAACCAAGACCAGACCCAGACCCACTGTCGAATTGGGGCATAAACACCCAAAAGCGGTCGAGGCAGAAGGCGACTGCGATTTACCGAGCACATCGCGATCATCATTATCATCATGCAGCGTTGGCTATTATACTCATATAGGAAGGGGAGGGAGTTTGGGAATTTTCAACAGATGCTGGTGCAGATACTTCTACTCAAACAGAGCCTCTAAGGATTGGACCTTTATATGCCAAATCGATCGGAAGGAGTAACAAAAGCTACGATAGTAGTTTTTTTTTTCTGTCTTTTTTTATCCAACGTGTGTGTGTGTATGGCACTCGTGGAAAGTATCTATGTGGAACGGACAGTGTGGACATTATTGGATGACTGGAAATGGGAGCACGTTTGATAAAGTTTTCAATCTATAAACAGGCACACCACACATGAAAGTATACATATTTATGTAAATATGTATGTACATACAGTGTACAGTGTACATACAGTGTACAGTGGTGTAAGAAGTTATTTTACTATATAAAATTATAATCAATATTATATTTATTGAATAGCCACTTTATTATTCGCCTTACGGACATCACCAGTACTCGTAGTTCTGCGAACAAAATTAATCACTACAGATAGTTTGGTCTGTAAAAAGCTTTCTTGCCACACTGTTTACTTAATTTTTATAAATCATTGAGCTGTCGTTGTTTGATGATTGTTTGTTGTTGTTGTGAGTGCAACTTTATCAGTTACAAGTGCGTGTGGGGCACCAATTGGGGATGGGGGGTCGGTCAGTCACCAAATACATACAAACAAACAAACATACATATGTGTGTACATATGATATCATTGCTTGGATGAAGTTGGGAAATAAATAAAATAATTTATTGAGCAATGGAATCGTTTTGTGGAAGTGATTTAATATTTTTTAAAAAATAGTACAGTTTCGTGTATGGCTTACAAATGTATTATTAAGGTATATAAATATACATATGTTCATATGTACATACATACATACATATATCACGAAAATAAATTAAAAAATAGGTACTAGAAAAAAGTTTTGTATTAATAAAGCAATCAAAGGATAGCCCCATGTGTAATATAAATATATTTAGCCTTATCGCCCGGCGCACTGTTGACCATTGAGCACTTTCGCTTTCCGTCTAGAGTCTAGACTCTGGATCGAGATCGTTACTCTTCTCCCCCCCTTCCCCATCAGCATATACATCCACCATCCACACTACTGCCCCATCATCAAGCGATGATTACACTAAAAATATTACGAAATTCATTTTAACCGCCTTCTTTGGCTTTTTCTTTTATTTTTTTTATTTTTATTTTCTTTCATTTTCTTACCTTTGTTTTGCTTCGCTTTTGGAAGTGCCTGGGCAGCACGTCATCCCATGAGGCGCCTAGAGCTGGAGTCTGACTAGGCACAAAAACAACATCAAAACGATCCAAAAGATGTGTAATAAATAACACAAGAAGAAAGGAAAAGAAAAAGAAACATAGCGGAGAAGAAACAAAGCGAAATGAGCTGGATACTGGGATGGATGGAAGGTGATGTGATGTGAGCAAACACGAACCGATCACAGAAATGAGCTGGCTGCTAGCACAATGGGGACAGGCCCCACCCCAATGAGTACCAAATGCGAGGGGGAAGTACTACAATCTGCAGTGCATCTCCATCCATTATATACATATGTACATCCATACATATGTATGCATGAGGTACATTAGTAGAGGAATCATCAGTGGAAGAGATGGAAACATTCTGGAGATTCCATTCCCCCGGTTTATTATCTGAAGGTATTTATTTGTTATGCAAAATTTTCAAAGATGTACATACATATGTACATACATACATATGTACATATGTAGATATCTTTACAACTGATGACTGCCATTGGGAGCGATATATCGTTTACTATCCCTTAATTTCTATTAGTTTTTTAAGACCTATTTATGTACACATGTATGTATGTGTATATGTACATAAGTTTGTATGTATGTATGTATATTTCAATTTTTATTGCGATAAGATAAAAGCAAATGAAAAAAATCATAGAAAGGGGCCAGAAATATGTACAAGTACAACTACAGCGCACCTCCATTATGTAAAGGGTCTACACTCTGCGATAACATAAAAAGACCAACAACAAAGAGCAGCACACCGGAATACCGTAACACAACATTAATCAAAATGACACGTGGACGGGGCATAATTGGGATTGGGGAGACCTGATGGGAGGAGTTGGTGGGGAGGCCCCAAGCGAACATACATACATACATGTGTACATAAGAGCTTGGATTTCCGAAACTTCCCAAACTGCAACACAACTCTTCCCATTAGTATTTCCCCTGTCTCTGGATCACTCTACCGTGGTGTGGTGGTGACTCCCATAAATGGTCTGCCTTTAGCGTCAGCTACCCCAATGATGTAAGTATATTTTGTTATTGCCAATTTCAAGTTGACTTTATTTATAGAGGCCAAACACAGCTGGTACTCGTAGAACCCCCTCTTTAGACGTCGAATATTCCCTCCTGATGATGGATCGATGGATACGATAGTATGCCTTTAAATGGGAGAAACTGAACGGAGAGGCTGAGGACGCTGTGCAAGGTGCATTAGCCCGGACCCAACTGTCAATATTAGCAATGGGCAAAGTTTGTTTTCGTTTCTGTTGGGGGGCCCAACGGGGAACAATCCAACGCACGTTTTTGGTGGCTTTTGTGGTGGGCGATAGGATCGCTAATTGAATTTTGCTGTTTGGAAAAAAGCACTGCCAACTAGAGATGGGCATGGACTGCAATTTTCCAACACGACCCAACACGGCACGAAAATTAAAATGTTCAACACGCACTAACACGCACGGCTAAAAAATTTCCGAACACGGTCCAACACGAAATATTATACTTTTTTTCATACCTTTGTTAACATCGATTTGAATTACATACATATACGTTTTTATTTACATAATTTTATATAAAAATAAAAATTTATCAAGGTTAGAGCTTAATAAGAGTGTACGGCGTTCATTTAATATTTGTCCCGAGGTGGAAAACACCCTCTCGCTTCTAGCCGAGCTGGCTGGAATATTTAATATTTTTCTAGCTAAAAGCTGTAACCCTTTCATGTTGTTCGCATTCTTCCAAAATGTTAGTACATTTGTATCCGACAATGAAACTGTTCCATAGAAAAATGTTAACTCCTTGTCTACATCTGTTTTTTCTAGTCTCATTTTTTGCTTTGATGGATATCAAGAAACTCTGCGAAAACATGGCAAGGAGATGGATAGCTTTTATCAGGGGAGTCTGTATTGTCTGAAATCGACTGCGTAGAGTCAATTAGCATCGCTTTGACAGTGGCCAACACTTGCTCCGTTTTTTCTGCTTAAAATACTGAGCTCCTTAAACTGAGGGTTACAAAAAAGACCTACATAATGCGCTGTTGACGGCTGAAAACGTTTTTCTAACGAGTTTAATGTATTACGTTTAAGCATAGACATTATATCTAAATCGATATCATCCAATTGGCAATGTTTTTTTAGTTTCTCATACCAGAGAACGTACATATGTATATGTTAAAAGATGTCTCTTTATCAGAACTTTGCTGCTCTGAGCATTCTTTAAATGGCTTCAAAAACACTAACAGTGAACTGATCACATGAAAATATATTACAGACACTCTTTTCAGCTCATTCTTTTGAAGAAGTGAGCTCTGAATTTCATTTTGCATATCGTATATGCTGCTAAGCATTATATATCGAAATATATATATATTCTGATGTCTTGTTTTAAAGTTTTTGACAATTTATTTTTTAACACTGAGTGCTTAAAATATTTTACCAGCTAGTTCTAAGACACAATCAAAAATCACAGCGAGAAGGAACGTGTGAGTCGCTTCTGGGGACGCGACTCTACTTATACCCGTACTCAGTCAGTATATACATTTTTGAGCATGATTTTTTAGAATTTTAGAATTTAAAAAAAAATTTTACATTTTACATTTTTTTGCTACATATGATATCTACATCTACATATACAATGTATATTTTACATCTAACATGTAGATTATAGATGTACCATTCAGATTCTACATCTTCTCCGCTAGGGGTTGCTCGCGCACTGAACGCGGCAGAGTGTGCGAGCGAGAAGGAAAATGAGTTGCGTTGTCTGGAACGGGAGGGGGAGGGGAAGCAACTGAAAATGAATTTCTTCATTCTGGCTATAATTATGATCCGATCTAATTCAGATTCGGCAATTTGGTAGATATGGGCATTTTCTACGATACTGCGTTTTTAGTTTTATCGTATCTTTAAAAATGTGCCTGCCACAGATTTTCGTCCTTTGTGTGGGCGGAAGGGGGCGGGGCGAAATTTTGAAATACACTTGTAGCAGTGTGATATCACATGAGTCTGGAAACCAAATTTGGTTTCTCTATCTCTTATAGTCTCTGAGATCCAGGCGCTCATCAAGACGGACAGACGGACAGACGGACATGGCTATATCGACTCGGCTATTGATGCTGATCAAGAATATATATACTTTATGGGGTCGGAAACGTTTCCTTCTCTGCGTTGCACACATCCACTTTTACCACAAATCTAATATACCCCTTAACTCTTTTTGAGTACGGGTATAAAAACGGACAGCCGGTAACACTTTAGTTTTATTGTTCGTCGTGTTGTTTCGTGCCGATTTTGCTCTGAACGAACACGCACGCACGCCCATGGACAAAATTAATTCTTTCAACACGCACACGCGGGCGCCCATTTGTCACGACGTGACACGAAGAAAACACGGCCTATTCCCACCTCTACTGCCAACCAACCAAATGTGTGTGTTGCCTGGAACCCATGTGGAGCGATGGGGGTCTTGTCTTGGTTTTGCTCTTGCTTTTAGGCTGTATGACACCACAAATGAAAGTGTGAGAGGCCAAAACTAATTTAAGTGTTGGAAAATGCAACAAAAAATTAACTTAAAACAGTTACGGATCATTGATTTGCTAAAAGTCCCATAGCCAAACGGAAACAGTACTTTCGAACGACAAAAACAGAGATCATCCGTCACGAACGATTCCTCGGTGTCATCACTGGATTCAAAAAGTCATTCACCCGTCAACGTGGAAAATAGCATAGCAATACAAGGATGGGATTGGGATTTATTGGAGACTTCTTCGGCCTTCCTTCTTGAGTAGAAATTCAGGCAGATGTCATACGTACACAGCAGTTATCAGTACAGAACGAACGTGACCTGGACAATGGACTGGTAATGCTTAGGGAATGCGAGACACCTCCCTCCTCCCCTCCTTTTTGCAATGTGTAGCGTGTACCTTATCTTATGTAAATGCAAAAATGCACTTATATTTACCGCGACAAGACCTTCCCGGGGCATCAAATGCTCGAAGTATTTGTGAGGGGAAAACAAAATAAAAAACAAAATGTGGAACACATTGAAAAATGGCTTGTACTCGTACCTGGGGCATACATTTGGGGCACAATTACGAGCAAATTTTCGCTCAAACAGCCCAGACCACAGACATAATTATGTATGCTAACCGAAATAAACATTATTATTTTTTGGCAAATTGTGAATTAAATTAGATCCACAAAGCGTGGCCAAAATACACAGCAACACAGACAGAAAGGAGAGATACTCTTTCCATACGATATTCGAGATCTTTGCGGATCCGCATGTAGATATATGTATATGTATATGTCTGCCATATATTTTAGCTTCGAAATGGAAGCTCAGACTCAGACTTAGACTCATCTGAGGAAAATGATCTCTGCGTTGGATCAAAACCAGAATACCGTACCATCGAAGGGTATAAAAGACAGATATGAAAGGAAAGACAAACAACACACAAAAATGTATGTATAATTTGTGACAAAATCGCTGGCGATTTTATTCGTTGTGATGTGGGGCGTATGAAAGACAAGGTCAGTCTTGGACATCTACTGTATGCACATGCGGCCCTCCCTCCACAGTGTGGCACAGTTACGTGCTTCAGGTGTGGTGTGGTGTGGTGTAGCTGGTGGGCGTGTGCCTGCCATGCATAACAAAATGCAACCCACTTTTGGCACCACTGCACCTTGACGCATGGCACCGGCATCGGCATAGGCACCACGCTGGCCTGGCAGCGGGCGATGCGCTCAATAATGTGTGCAAATTATCATGGGTTTATTTACCTGATATACACATAAAACAAACAAAAAATTAAAAGAGTCGACAATTGTTGAAGGGGGTGGCATGCCACTTACTACACTTACTACAGTGGTCGCTGATTAACAAGGAAATTCCTAAATTTTAATTCGTATAGATATTTATATTCTAAGTTATTGATTTTTGTTTTGGTCATTATTTACAAACCTTAAACAAAACAAAAACTTAAATATTAATAATAAAAAAAACCTTTTTGGAAACAAACTTTTTTTGGGAAGCAAAGAGTTTTACTATCTGCAGAACGATTGACCACTGTATTTGGTAGAGTTCCTACTTTTTATTTTTTTTTACATGTCTGTTGGGTGTCCATTAACATGTTCAACTTTACCCACACTCCATCATATTTTCACTCCCTTCCCACCAAAAAAACACACATGTGTATGTTCATACACACACACACACGCTTGAAGCGAACCATGGCTAACGGTAAATTGTGGGCGCCACTTGAAACTGTCAAAAGGCCACCAACATTAGATCCAACATCAGCCTCCATAGAGATGGGTGAGTGAGAAAAGAGAGCCGTGAAGCGTGGAACGCGGATCATGCAAGTCACGAACCAAATTTGACGGGGAAGGGGAGGGAGGCCTCTCAAGGGTGAGCGAGGGTGTTTCTCTCTACACTGAGGGAAACTCGAAATATTTTCGTTGAAGTCAACTTTCTTCTAATATTATCCAAAAATATATGAAACATACATATTTAACCCCAAAAGGTTGTGTTCATTTGTATCTACGATTAAAATGTCGCAATGTTTTTTTTCGAGTGTACTGTACGCACTTTTTCATCTTTCACATTTCTACAATTATTAATATGTTTAAAGCTAACAAACTGAGGCGGCAACAGGCAGTACGCCAACACAGATATGTACGTGGCGTTGAAGGGTGTTTGGGTATGAGTGTGGGGTTAGGCGCTGTGTGTCAAGTGGCTTGTTAATTATGCTCATCGCTTGAAGAGAATTACCCAAAAATGGGGAGAAGCACGAAAGCCGTAGAGATGTAGAGTCGAAAAATCGAATTAACACACAATTTCCAACAATTCTCAGCTGCTTGACTCAATTCCTCCCATTCCACAGATCCAATTCCATTCCCATTTCCAATTGAGTTCAATTGAAGTAAGCAATGGGACAATGGCACATCACTTATGGATCGTTTTGGGAGGCAAGGGAGCAAGGAGGCAGGGCGATAATGCGCGAGCAGAGGTGCAATGCAAATGCAAGCAAATGCGTGATGTCATCCCAGATCCCCCACAAGGGCACACACATCGAACAACCGTCCAGAGCAATTGCATTTTGCATGCCATCAAAGCAGAGAGAGGAGACAAATCGCACCACAATCACAGCAGCCCCCTTCCAACAATGTACCCCACCCTTCCCGAGGTCATTGCCAACTTTTCACTGACTTTACCAAATCTTACGTTTGAATCGCATATCGCACGGCTCGGATTAATGGACATTAAAGGACATTAACACTTAGAGCAGATTTATTTTGTCAGACAACAACTGGTCTGAAAAGCGTAATGCTGGACTCGAGACGCACAAGCGAATGCTGCAAAAGAGAATACATAGTAAAAAAAGAACATACATGTGGTGTGCATGACGAGAAAATTTTATGATAGACTCTAAATAAATCTTCAAAGCCTAATGGAGATATCTATATGGAATAATAATGGATACGCTAAGGGTATTTCCAGCAGCGACATTTATGAGACAAGTTTCTCTTTCTTATGGCTGTCATTGCTGCGACAATATGTGTGTGTGTGTTGGAGGGGGGTGTCTACGCGGTAAAGCAATGCAAAAGTAAAGTTAAATAAAGTAAAGTGGAAACAAAAACTTGATTTGACTCTGGGGATGACTTCATTAATGGAACACGCAACGACAGACAAAGCATACATACATACATATGTATGTATGTATGCGTCCGTATGTACGATATTGTAAAAAACATATAAATAATAATTACGAAAAAACCCCCACATTACAATAATTAATGTAATTAATGTCTCATACAAATTTAAAGACCAAACTTGTGAGATTCTGAATGGGAATAGATCCATCCAATCTTTGACCTAAAGAGAAAGTAACCATTTTGAGAGCTCTATCAATATCAATCGACATACATATGTATGTATGAATCTATTTATTTGTTTTTGTAGCAAATTTCGAAGTAGGCGGCGGAATTCGACCTCCGGCATTGGCTAATGTTAGCAGGCACTTGATTTAGTTTATTGATTCAATTAAATTCAACTCGGCGAAATGCGTTTAATTAAAGGCCAGATGAAGGCCAACTTAGTCCCACGCATTGTGCGTACCGTACACCCCCTCCTTTCCACCACGGAGCAGGAACTGGAGTCGGAGCCGGCCGGTTTGGTTTGTTGAACTCTTTGCCACAACAATAAGGGCAGCAGCGAGCAAAGTTCTTATGCCGCATTGTACTTGTTCAAAGAAGAATGCGGAAGAGGGCATATTGTGTTCATGTTTGGGTACGTAACACAGCCAAAGGGAAGGGCTTTTTTTCTACTATAAATTGTCTCAGGGAAAGAACATTAGCTTAACGAAACTGAAAGGTAAAAAGCTGAAAGGCAGTCCACATATTCACAGATGTGATGCTCCTCCTATATACCTACTTTTTTATGTACCTAAAACCCGCTTTATAGGGTATCTGGTAGTCGCATTATTCTTTTTGTTTTTGCACAGAACGGAACACAACGAAACGAAACGGAGTGGAGTGTTCCATGTTAGTAGGTTCTTTCATGCGTTTGGATATACTGACGGATGGATGGATGGATGGCCGGAAAACGGAAGCGCCTGTTTTGGTATTGTTTATTATTGTCTGCATTTTATGCTGCGCTGCGCTGTTGCTGCTGCTGCTGTCCATTGTAGAAATTATGAATGTGCGTTTATGGTTATGTGAATGTGGATGGGTTAGGGGAATGTGGAATGTAGAATCGGCCATCCAAGTGGAGATATAGGACAAACACACACGCACAGCCAGAGATAGAGAGAAACAGTAAAATGAGAGCGACAAAGGTGTCGTCGTTCGACTATCGCCACAAGTCATGCAGACACACGATCGTACACCCCAATACATTCCCATGCATACATACAGACACACATATGTCATTCATCATTCACACACACACACACAGCGGCAGCTTTAAAGATCAGTAGCGACGGTGACAAAGTGCGTCCGGTTTACACAAAAAAAAGTGTCGGATGTATGTAAATCTGCAAAGCGCTGGAGGAGTAGGAGAGTCGAGAGAGACAGCGACCGCTCATCGAAATGCAGCCCATTCGTATGTTCTGCGATGTAGGGGGTTGGGGGAGAAAACAATATTGGCAATGCTGGCGCACCCCCCTTTTTACCGTGAAAACGAAACATGTGCAGCGGGATAGTCAGCTGCACCATCGTAAAATATTAAAAAAAAAGAGGGGGAGCAGAGCAAGTGTGAAATGCGGGAAAAACTCATAAAAGAACAAAGCACACACACAACACACCATAATGCAGGCCGGGCCGGGGCAGGGGAATTGGAAATGCAAATGAGCCAGGTTCTCCCTTCCACAGTGGGCACCATGGGCAAGGCACGCACAGTGGGTCGCATTTTACATTTACATTTTACCGTTATATAGTAAATCCAATAAGCAAAACTCATTTTTTTGGACTGAAAAAATATTCCGATAAGAAATATATATTTTAGTTAGAATGTTGCAATTCAACAGATTTCCTTATCTTGATAATTCAAAGAATATATAATATATCAAAAAACATCTGGAAAAAAGTCATAAACACACTTCTGGCCAGGCTGCTGCCGTTTGTTTTCTTTTTGTTTGTTCATTTATTTCTACAGTAAGTCCACTTGCTGAAATCCGAAGACTCGACTTTAATTTGAGACTTTTTGGCAGACTCATGAAACGGAATTCAAGGGAATTCCTGTGTATGTAAGTATGTACTCGGTATCCCATTGTTTTCGCAACTGAAATTTGATGATGGAAGAGCTATTCAGAAAGCCCCATCCGTCATGCGCTTGAGGCATTTAATGGTCTGCAATAATTTAAGTTCCAGGGAATGCCCACCCAGAGAGTGGATGAATATGATGTGGAAATGGAAATGGAAAGATGGGCTGGTCTGGAGTCAAATTGAACAAAGGGTCCAAATATAAAGAAACAGGCGGTGATACATAGATTCTGTTTCATCTTCATTTCGCCTGGTCAACAAACTATTTGCTCTGACTGTGTCATGTCCACAGACACATCTGCTTGTGCAATGTGGTCTCGTCTCTCCTGTTGTCATTATTTTCCTATGCTGCGGATGGTCGTTTTCTTTTGGCAATAAAAGTCTTCTCCGTTTTCAATCAAACAATGTTGATGTTTATACGAGCTGATGTTGGATATGGAAAACGACAATATTGAGTGGTGTTATGGCAAGGCGCCTCTCTCTCTACTCCTCCTCCTCCTTTACTCTACTCACACACATATCAAGGAGAAATATCAAATGAAATCGAATATATGTACATATTTTCACGTGTGGGCTGGAGACTCATTTCTTTGGTTAAAGTCTGTTGCCCACAACTAACAAAACAAAAGCAATACACATTTTTTAACTGTATAAGTAAGCGGATACCATTTACTCCGAGAGCCGGCTAAAACAACAAACTAATTTAAGGCAATAGCAACTATCGGTTTTGGAAGAAAAATACCAAGAAAAGGGAACGCTACACACGATATGCCGACTATTAGACTATTAGAATATCCTGTAATCCAAAAAAGAAACAAACCCTTGTGATCAAATGATTGTTATGACTTCTGTATGTCATTCATAAACGTCGAACGTGACAAATTGAAAAATTTTCGCGCTTCTTACATGAATAGTATACCCTGTAAAACATACGTACAATTTAATGGGAGCAGAGAGGAGCAGCGAGGCAGACCCACAAACCCACCTAAAAAAATATCATTTTGCAAGCAAACAAAAAATAAATACGATAAACATTAAAATACATAGAAATCGTTCGGTTTAAGAATTTTTATGGACCATATATAAATATTAATAGCTAGAGACAGAGAGGGTCGGTCTATTGCATAACCAAAATCGAGCATTTATTTAAGCTTGAACTTGGATTTACTTTGCTTTGGTTTTCTTTCTCTACCCTGCCCTTTCCGCTCACGTTGATCTCAGACACGTTCCACACACAGCAGAGCAGAGCAATTATACTCATACATAAGTAAATATGTATATAAATATGTATGTATGTATTTATATTTTGATTATTGCCGCGGGAGAACATTTGAAATCGAAATCCCGCATTTGAAATTTCGCTGAAGAGAACTGAACAAGTTCTCGAGTAAATAAGTAAATATGTATCTTGGTTTGCTTTTTTCGTTGTAGGCATTATATGGTATTTGACTTGTTATTTGTGTATTTAAGCTTGCCTTGCCGTGTTGTTCTTGGCGTTTGGCCTTCCCCTTTTGTGTTGCCAATTTATACAATTTTTATAATTCAGATGTACATATTACGGATCGCCAGTTCCACAGCATATTTTTTTTTTGTGGAACGGACACGAACGTAATGTAACTTAAGGTAGGCGTAGTAGTGGTGATTGTAAAGCCATTTGTATAACTATCTTTATGAGTGTCCCCAGGAGTCTTAAGCAGTGAGTGATTTGAGTGATTTTAATGTAAATTATATTGGTTTGAGGAAAGTTTCTTGTTCAATTGATTCTATATGGAACTCCAATGTGGGATGTTCAATTGAAACTTTATGGGGATTCCAATGACATCTCTATGTGAAATAGTTCTGCTTGAGTGGATAGGAGTGCATCTCCTTGCGGCAAAGGTTAATCCCCGGTTCACAGTTAGTTGCAGCCACACCCAAAAAAAAACAGCAACGGCACAACAACAGCAAAGAGAGAAACAAAGACAGAGCAGGGAGAGAGAGAGCAAAAGTAACTGCAACTGAACTTTCGCAGCTGCGTCTTCTACCGTTTTGCCCATCCATAATCCTTCTCGCGCTCCCTCTATCAGCCCCCCTCCCCCCACCCATCGAACAGATGTAAAGACAAGAGACGTGCTCAAGACGTCGACTGCTACAGCGACTGACCCACTCCCTTGAGAACTGTCTGCCAATCCCTCTCTCGCTCTCTCTCTGTGCCTCCCAGGGGCCTTGGGTCTCCTCTCCAGCTTGCTCCTCCTTTTGTTCCCCTCTTTCACCGTTCCACACAAGCTATGGTGGTGTCGTCTCACCTCCACCCCTCCCCTTCCACACGGCAGCGTCTGGGCTGCTTTTTATGGAAACCGGCTAAATTCCATTTGATTTGGAAGTCAAGACAGAGCCAAAGCTGTAGCTGATGCCAAAGCCAAGCCGAAAGCCTTCTCTCGCCTTGCCTTTTTTCTGCCTTTCTTTCTTATTTTTCTTTTCTCACCGCTTTTCACTAAAGCGTCGCGACGCTGCTTCTGAGGCTACGACTGGCTGCTGCTCGAGTTTCAGCAGTGCTGCTTCTGTTCGAGTTCCATGGCAGTGTCGGCGGGGCAGCACTGCAACTTCTCCAAGTTGGCAGCTGTCAAGGGCGTTTGAGTTTCGTTTCTTGTTGTGGCGGGTGTACGGGTGGTGCACGGGGCGGAGGGGGTAGGAGATTGGAAAGGGACAGTGAAAATACCGTTGTAAATTCAATTTAAAAAAATTAAAATTATTTTAATCAACGCGGGAATTGATGTCACGATATTTATCTTTAAATGATAGGCGCATACCATACCTTCTTCCTACGGTTTATAGCCGCCGCTTCCGTCCTCAACTGTTGCTGCTGTGACACTGCTGCAGGCTGCCCTGCCTATTTTTTTTTTGTTGCTTGGTTCTTTAATTGTTGCTACAATGGAAATTTCAAATGCAATCAGTACAAAAATTGTTTATAAATTTGCATTCAACAATAAAAAAAAAAGCCGCGCGCAAACAACCGGACACACACACACACACACACACGATCGCAGGCAAGAAACGAGTTTATTTGCTGCACCAAAAGGAAACCGCAAAACACGCAGAATGAAAGCAACAAGGTGGACGAATAGCATCCAAACGCACTTAGAATTCAAGTTGACAGCCCCGGCATGTTAACATAAAAAATAGCGTAAAAACAAAAAAAACACAACTCAAAACAAACTGAAATTGTGCATGGGAATAAATGTAAATAAACAAACACACGGATAGACGAACGAAACACTTTAGGCCTCCAGTTAGTAGAGGTGTCAAACCATCGAGGGCACTATCGATAGTATCGATATTTTGCTGCTAGCCTCTACTATCGATGGTTTTGAGACTATCATGATAGTATCGAGCTACAGTCGTTGCGCTTTTAATATGTTTGGATTGTCTGCTATAAGATACGAAGACACATTTGTAAACAAATCATCGACAGGTGGCATCTAATTTTTACAATGGACAAGTTCCTAAAGGGTTTCAATAGTTTTTTAATAATTATTAGAGCTATCACGATAGTATCGATTGTTTTTTCAAAACATTCAACGTTGATATTTCTCGATTTTGATATTCCGTTTAATATTACTAGCTAGCTGGGACTCTCAGCCCTAAACAAATAATTTTATCCAATTCCTCAATGAATTTTGTTTAGGATTGGCTAGTTCTTAGAAGTCCTTTTTATTGGACTATTTGCATATTAAGGTTCAAACAAAAACAACATAAAACGAATGTGTCGTCGTTTTGTGGCGTTACCAGACTCGTGCAATTCGTAGTTGCTGCGGGCTGCCATACCGTGATATTTTGTGATATGAAATTCGTCAATTTTGATATTCAGTTTAATATTACTATATAGATGGCCCTCTCAGCACTAAAAGAATAGTTTTATTCAATTCCTCAATTAATATTGTTTAGGATTGGCTAGTTTTCAGAACTATTTTTCATTGGATTGTTTACATATTAAGGTTCAAACAAAAGCGGCCAAAGCATAAAACGTAAATGTTGACTAAATGTGACGTCAGTGTTGCTGGTCAACCAAGTTTCTTGTATGCGTATGTACTTTTGTATACCTTATTTCTTTTAATTCATGCTAATTTTGTTGTTCCAAGCTTCAATGAAACATTATTTATGATTTTATCCTAGATTGACATGTTTTTTACCTATTAATGCATATGTTTTGTTTTATATATACATATGTATATACATTTATCCCGGTTCTGATACCTATTATTGGTACCCGGGAGCTACAAAATTTCGTTGATGTCTGATGTCTGACTAGTTTCGGCATTAATTGGAGCCTGAAATTACAAACAATATCTCAAGTCAATAATATCCATTTCCCAAGGTATTCAGACTTGTTTCTCATTCCGTGCCAAAGTTGCACAACAATGCTGATACTTCATTTTCCCATGTTGCTGAAATTTTTCCCATACAAATCAAATGTATCAGACGGGAACGCGTATGGAATGACGCAACAATGAATCTTCATTCCATACGCGTTCCCGTTAAGAACATGTCGCTCACACCACGAAAATGAGGGGAGAGTCACCACAAAAACACTCTCTTCACCGCTGAAAAGAGAGCAAATTTTGAAAACCCACCACGAATTGAGAGCGAATAATATCGATATTTTTGTGCGCTAAATGAGATTGGCGGTCATTTTCAAATGTACACATATGGAAAAATAAATATTTCATTTGATTTGTTTTATCGAGTGGAACTGGAATCTCAGAAACCGAGAAAAAAATAGCTTAGCCCCGCTCTATTTAATAAGGTTAGTAACCAGTAAATATCAACAACAAAAAATTAATAATTAATAATTATTTGAGCTCGATACTATCACGATAGTATCGATTGTTTTTTTAAAAACATTCAAAACTATCGATGGCTCAACTATCAATCGTTTGACAGCTCTACCAGTTAGGATTGTTGATATTTGATCGATATATCGATATAGGAGATATTTTTATTTTTGATACGATAGTATCTGTACGATATTTTTGTCGCCAAATATGTCAAGAATCGATATTTTTTGAAAATATCGACCTTTACACTGCGCGCAACAGCTTCTGCTCGAATAAGATAAAAAAAACTTGTATATAATAATGGACAACCCCTCCGTAGCGTGCAACCTTTGCGGTAAAGTTGTGAAGACAAGTGGAAACACATTAAACTTTAGCGCTCATACAAGAACCAGGCATTATCCCATCGTTGCACAGAATTCTGGCGCCAAAAATGTGAATGTGAACATATGCAAAATCCAATATTGTTCTGATGTTAGATATAATTTGGTGTTTTAACAGGCAGCTAATGTTCAGTGCGATATTGAGTCCGGCTCAGCTGTGTCGTTGCACGAAAAACCGAACAGGGCTAAGAGAGATGGCATCTGCTGTCAAGTTTTTTGTAGAGAACAAATACAGGTTACTGCATGAAAATTTAAAACAACACGTCTTTCAAAGTCGCTGAAAAAACAATAATGGAATAAATAAACTGAAAACAATTTTTTTAATATTTTTCCGATATATCGATATATTGATATTTTAAAATTGATATATTCAATATGACGTTATTTAAATTTTAGCAAATTTGATATATAAAATATCGATATTTTTTCAGAAATTCACAATCCTACCAAAGACAATATAAGTATAAGATGCGTAACGCCATACAAAATTTCTGCACACGAATTTTCGGGGCTGGCTCTAGAGCTGGCTCCAGGCTCTCTTGAAATTTTTTAGAGAGAGAGAGCGCTCTAGAGCCAGCCGCTCTCTTGTATGCATACAGCATACGAAGGCACACGAAGTTGGTTCTTTGCCGATGCGATAGCCGAGCCAAGTCGTCGCGACGACTGTATGTGTGCACATGCATACGTTTTTTACAGCGCTGTCGAAATATACCCTTCACTTTATAAGTGTAAGTTAATTTTGCAAGACGCTTACCACCCCAATATTAAAAAACTGTTATATTGTATATGTATATCCCTCCAACGATAATTTATTTTAAGATGGTACATTCGATAATGATGATCGGATATACATATATAAAAATACATAATATATTTAATACATGAAATTCCATGAATCACATTGGAATAATTGCCATTAGGGTATTCAGGATGCGACGTATTCAACGTCGGTATATAATTTCGTTTCTCAACTCATAAAAAGGTTTCCGTCTCGAAAATCGTCCGCTTAGCACAAGTACGCACACATACGCACTTGCTGTTCTGTGTGTACTTACACATGCAAGCGGATTCTATTTTTAGATTCGTACGCTCTCAAATTTGTGCGAGCGAGATGGCGCGAATTTCGTCGCTGGCCGAAAAATTGTCTTGCATATGGCAATTGAAATGTATGAGCGTTCCGCATCTTATACTTATATTGTCTTTGATCCTACCCTCCAGTGTCACAGTGTATCTATCAACTCAACATACCGTCTGACCCCCAAAAATATACCCAAATATACATTTTCATTGTCATAACAAAACATAAATATACCGACGAAAATTATATTCCTCAATTTGAATATTCGATTTAATATTACTAGCTAGTTAGGACTCTCACTACAGAAAATATAATTTTATAATTTTATTGATGAATCATTTTGTCTTCACGGTGGTAGGCACGGGAGGCTTCGCCATCTGCTGCTGCTGATAGTCAGACACACCGTGAAGACAAACTGTTTTGAAAGCAATATTTGTTTTAAATTTATGAAAATTAATAAAAATATTATATTATAATATCCATATAATTGCCCTTTATATAATGCTGCATTTATTAGATTCTATTTGTCTTCATTATTAAAATATTTCATTTGATTTTTTGTTCTCTTATTGCAATGATTGCTTCGTGTTTGCTGGCAAAATATATCAAATTGATATCTTTTTCGAGGTTGGTCGAAACATACCAAAAAAACAAGCAAATACTTTTGATACTTTTCCAGTATATACCGACCTTTTTGTTTTTCGATCTGAGTACTGCCTTCGGTACAGAGCCTAGAAAACAGTTTTTGCCGTAAAAAATTTCTTATCGGTTTCATACGAATATCAACCCTGATTCTGTTCGCGAGATGTTTTTTTCGATCTGAGTACTAAGCTTTTATAGCCTTTTTACACTGGGCGCGTCTGCTATCGATATCGGAATAGACGCAATGAAGCAGAAAAGGCGTTTACATTGTCAGACGTGCGTCTTGAATTTGGATTTGGGTGCTTGATGACAAGGAAAGAAACACAAATTTTTGAAAATCAACATAATTATGCAAGACGGCAGGAAAATGGACGAAAGAGAAATGATTCTCATATTTATATATTATTTTCAGACATTTCATTGTAGAGTGGGAGTTCTTCTTCAAATTATGAAAACCACCGAAGTTCGTCTCCAGCAGTGTCTTAATGGCATCAGGGGGTCAGACAAATTTCTTATGATAATAATACAATCAGTTTCAGGTATTTTATTTAATGATTTGACGTATATTTTCACCTTTTTGCACAATAATACATTTTTAGCGCCAAAATTTGATTTTTGATCTACAAGTTTTTTTTGTGGTTATTAGTGGTGATAGTTGCGCTGATAGGCAGAAAAGAGCAAAAATGAGCAAAAGCAATCGAATATATCGAATAGACGCACATGAATTAGAAACTGACGCAACTTTCTGCCACCACTAGGGCCCTATGCTTAACCTATGTAAAAAAAACTGCGTCTCCGGCAAGACGCAAAGAAGCATGACGCAGCCCCAATGTAAACAGCCTATTAAACAAAACCAAGCAGCGGTCTGAGCAGTGTAACCGTTCGGAATGCAGCGCACACCTCTGGTCACACCACTGGCCGCTACTAGAATAGATGACATATTTTTGCTAGCAAACAGTTCTTGGATTTAAGTACTTGGCTTTAGGCATATGTAGCTCTGCAAATGTGTGTGTACGTATATCACACAAAAATGTATAATAGTATGCCTTTTAAATTAATTAATTAATGGTAAGAATTCTTACCCAGTCGGACTTCATTACTTCCTTGGCAGACTTTGTAGAACCGATTCGACAAATAATGGTTCTTTCATACTTATTTTTTCACCGAAAAAGATGAAATGAAATCCGAACCGCTTCCCAATCGCTCGTTTTTTTACGAAGCGATCTATTTATTCTTTATGCATGCAAATGGAAGCGGGAAATTCACGCATCGAAAACGTTCGAACGTCCGTAAAGATCCCAGCTGCGACAAATTCGCACATTTTTACGAACTGTATGGTTAGTGTGGCTGCTTTATATTACTAAAAATAGTATGTTTTTCCAAATGCTCGCCAGTTAAAACGTTTCACAATACTAACCATAAATGGCGCATTTCGCTTAAAATTTACGCACGATGCCTCCGAAGCGGCGCAAGAAAGCGACTGTAAGTTTGGTAAATTGTCTATTTGAGGACACCCAACATTCGCTTATTTTCAGCAAACGGCCACAGCTGTGCCTCATCCTGAGGCGGCAGCTCTGAATCCCTCGCAGCCAGTACTCTACATCGAACACTGCCGCTCCTGACGCGTCTTCCGCCGTCGGGCCGAAGAGCTGCACGCGGCTCTACTAGAGCGCGGTCTTCACCAGCTGCAGCTTCAGCTGAACGTCGAAGGTACGTCTCGTCGTGGTGCGTTCGAGCTGCACTTGGCCAGGCAGCCAACAACGGAGGCGAGTGAGCAGCAGTCGCTTTGGTCTGGTCTAAAGCGAACTCCGCGTGCCCAAAAGTTTCCGCCTGTAGAGGATGTGTTCGGGTGGATTGTCGAGATCCTTGGCCAAGTGGCAGAAGAGCAACAGCCGGGGCCGACAGAGAACGAGAAGCCCAAGGAGGAGGAACCCGCACCCAAGCCCAAATTAAAGCAGGAAGAGTCCTCGCAGCAGACTCAAAAGCGCAAGCGCTCTGCCAAGACCACTCTGACGGAGCCGGCAAATGTCTCCAATGGAGAGCAGGAGGCATCCGCCAGCCAAGCCAAGCGAAGGAAGTGAATCTTAATGACTTTTGGCAATAGAGCTCCATGAACGATGATCGGCAAATCCATTCCGGAACCGATTATTGTGAAGCCCTCGAATTCGCATTGCCTTTGCCAGAATTATCATAGTCGCCACTACCAGATTCTGTTCCCCCGCCAGCAAACACAAACAGCTAAACACACACGTAAAATTGTTATTAAAAAATATATTAAAACATCTTAGAAACCTAATTCTCTCTTGCCATTTTTGTAAATCTTTTCCGATCCAGATCCCGATCCGATCCAATCTTTATGCCTCACTTTTATTTTTATTCGAATATGCATGAATTAATTTGTCTTTGATTATCAAAATTTGCACAATTTGATTTCGTTCCGTCGCTTTTTATGCATTTTATTTTCACTTTCGTTTAAATTGGTTTTCTTTCCTTTTTGTTTAGCTCTTAAGTGTTATGATCCTAGAGAAAAATTTTGGTTTACGAAATCGAGTTGTCGTTAAGCTATATATACTAGAGTATACCCTACCATACCATTGCCTAAAATACATTACATATCATCATATATCAATTTTCAATTCTCATTTTGTCTCCGTTTCAACTAAGGTTTCAAATTTGAATATGATTGAAAGTTGAGCGAAAATAAAACAAGGCAAAAAGGCTCAAAAGGGACAGAGAACCCGAGATAGTGAGTGAGGATTGGTAATGGTACTATGTTGTAGTCCGTGGTGAAAGAGAGACTCTCTCTAGTACTACGTGTGAGGAGGACGACACATACTATATAATTATATAATGTAAAGTGGGACAAACGGACAGACAGACATACATACATATGTATGGTATGCATGCATAAATGTATATGTGTATATGCATATGCATATGTAGGAAAACAAACAGTCAATTGGCTATGGGAACGTAAAGTTAAAAGAGACGACGAAACATTGGAATTGTATTTGCTACGCCCCGTCTCTGTTTCTGTCACTGTCACTGTCACTGGCTCTGGTCCTGGCTTTTCATTTGGATCTTTCGGTTTTTTTGGGTTTGGGTTTCTTGTGAAGAGATGAGATATGCTGCTGCTGGGCCCAAGGCTGGGGACTCATCAGATCGCATAAGGAACTAATGAGCTACGGACTTAAACTAGATTTAAATTAGGTGCGAAAAAAAATATGTAGATTAGGCGAGAGATATCAATATAGAAAACAATGCAGAAAACAGATACATCAACGTGTTAAAAATACACAAAAATAGTTGGGTTGAAGAGCTAGGAAGAAGGATTGTAAGGATTAGGAACAGGGCATGGGATAGGTATGGGGAGCTCTTATTGATCATCATTCGTTCATTCGTTACAGATATTTGCGATAATTGCGCAGATGCGCATTTCCATCCTCGACGACGCCGCCGACGCCCACTGCCGCAGCGGCACTCTCGAAGGATGGCGGCTCAATGACCATGCCCGGGCTGTGCGGATCACATGAACTGTGGGGCAGGCCAGAGCCCGAGCCGCCCATGGAGGAGCCACCGCTTCCTTTGGTCCGTCGCCGGCCGCGAGTGCCCACTCCCCGGGAACGTCGGCCACCGGCGCCGCCACTGCCCCCGCTGCCACCACCGTTGTTGCCGATGCCACTGCTGGAAGTGGGCGTGCTGCCACCGCCACCGCCATTGCTTCCAGGGACACTGTCGCCCAACTCTATGGCCTCCAGGGAGGCATCCAGAGCGGCATCTGTGGTGGTGATGCGAGTACGCATCACGGCACTGCGTCGTCGGGCACTGGAGCCGCCGCTAGAGCCACCGCCGCCGCCACCGCCACCTACACAGTCACCGCCAGCCGCATTGGATGTGCCCCGCTTGCCGGGGCGACGCTTGCGCCTCTTCTTATTACCATAGCGCGGATCGTAGTCGTACTCGTCGTCTGCCGGTGACTTTGGCTCTTCCAGCGAGTCGACATCGTTCATATCCATGTCATCGTAGAACCATTCCTTGGGCAGATCATCCTTGGACTGCGTTGACGGCTGCTGCTGGTGTTGTTGTTGGTGGTGTTGGTGCTGCTGCTGTTGGCTATCCTTGCTGTCGGAGGTGTCGCCACCGGCTGCACCCAGGGAGCTAGACTCCTCCAGGCTGAAGGCTCCATTGAAGTCGTGCGTGGTGTCGCTGTGCAGTGCCGCTAAGACCGAAGGCGTCGTTGTGCCTGCCCCTGTTAGCATGTTGAGACTGAGGGAGGAGGAGCTGCTGCCGCCGCCGCTGCCACCCAGGCTGCTCAGGCCAATGCCGAGATTAACGCCGCCAATGCCGCTGGCCACCAGCGCTTCATGTTCCTTGCGCAGCGCCTGGAAGGGTCGCTCGGGAAACCGACTAAAACAAGGAGGGAGAGGGAGAAGAATGAGCAACCTAATGGGGCATCTGGAAGAGTTGGGTTGGGGCTGCGGAGCGGCCAAGACTCACCTGTACATCTTGGTCAAGTATTGGCGGCGACTCTTTCGCCACCTGGCCGCCGGATACGTGTAGATCTGTCCCTGCCGGAAGCCCGGCATCCGTTGCCGCTTGTCCATGAAGAGCTGTGAGTGGTTCTGGGCAACACCCGTTTGTGGATCCAGGAACGGCAGCCGGAGGCGCCGCTCGATGCACAGGCGTGTGTTGAAATTGGCACTGTACTCGATCGTCTCCCGGTAGCTGACATCCTTCAGGAAGTTCTCGATTTTCGCCAGATTGGGCATCGACACGATCTGTATGTTGACCGCCGAGGACATGGTACTGGGGGGCACCTCCTGATCAGGAGGAGGATCCGGATCTGCGCGGCGTGATTAATCGGTGCTTAATCTTCTGCCAAGTTCAAACTTGCGTCTCGGACCCTTGGACTAATCCATCATCCCAGTGGCTGTTGCTGTTCTGCTGCTTCTGCTGACGACAGCTTGGATTTTTTGTATTTTGTTTCTTATCTCGTTCGCCTTTTTTTTCTTCTCTTCTCTTGTGTTTTTATGTGTGTTTTCACAACGCTTTCACTGTGTGTTCCCGCAGAGCGTTATCTGGATGATTTTGGGTGGCATTTTACGTGTTTATGTGGTGGGGCAGAGAGTGCCGCATGACTTTCTTATTTGTTTTTATTAAAAAAAGCAAATTATTGCTGCGTAGAGGTGTCAAACCAAAGAGGGCACTATCGATAGTATCGATATTTTGCTGATATCCTCTACTATCGATGGTTTTGAGACTATCATGATAGTATCGAGCTACAGTCGTTGCGCTTTTGATATGTTTGGATTGGCTGCTATAAAATACGAAGACAAATGTGTAAACAAATCGACAGGTGGCATCTAATTTTCCTAAAAGGTTTCAATGGTTTTTTTTTATTATTATTTGAGCCCGATACTGTTACCATAGTATCGATTGTTTTTTTCAAAACATTCAACGTTGATATTCCTCGATTTTGATATTCCCTTTAATATTACTAGCTAGTTGGCCCTCTCAGCCCTAAAAAAATAATTTTAACCGATAGATACATAAATTTTCTACAAGACTGGTAAGTTTTCAGAAGTCCTTTTTATTTCTTACATATCTTACATATTACATATTCTTACATATTAAGGTTCGAACAAAAACAACATAAAACGAATGTGACGTCGTTTTTGTGGCGTTGCCAGACTCGTGCAATTCGTAGTTGCTGCGGGCCGCCATACCATGATATTTTATGATACGAAATTCGTCAATTTTGATATTCAATTTAATATTACTAGATAGTTGGCCCTCTCAGCCCTAAAAAAATAATTTTATCCAATTCCTCAATGAATTTTGTTCAGGATTGGCTAATTTTCAAACAAACGGTTCAAACAAAAACGGCCAAAGTATAAAACGTAAATGTTGCCTAAATGTGACGTCAGTGTTGCTGGTCAACCAAGTTTCTTCTATGCGTATGTACTTTTGTATACCTTATTTCTTTTAATTGATGTTACATGTTTTGTTCCAAGCTCCATTGAAACATTATTAATGATTTTATCCTAGATTGACATGTTTTTTTATCTATTAATGCAAATGTTTGTGTTTTATATATACATTTATCCCGGTTCTGATACCTATTATTGGAACCCGTGAGCTTCAAAATTTCGTTAATATCTTTAAAACAGAGACTGAGTAGTTTCTGCATTAATTGGAGCCTGAAATTACAACTAATATCTCAAGTCCATGATATCCATCCATATCCATATCCATATCGAGTGTGACTGGAACCATATGCCGTAAATATACAGAGAAAAAAATAGCTTAACTCCGCTCTATTTAATCAGGTTAGTAACCAGTAAATTTCAACAAAAAATAACAATTTTGAACAATCTTTGTATTATTTCGCTTAAAAAATAGCATTTAATAGCATGTTTTAGTAATAATTATTTGAGCCCGATACTATTACGATAGTATCGATTTTTTCTTCAAAACATTCAAAACTATCGATGACTTAACTAACAGATATACCGAAATACCTGTTAATGCTACTTGTCACGAGTACTTTAGAGGAGCAGTCTTATCGACATCAACAAAAGCAGTTGTGACTTGTGCCGGCGTAGCTCGTGCCATCGTTTTTCGTCGCCCAAGACTCTGGTCTTTGGATGAGAAATAAAATAATAACATAATAACTAAATAATGAGCTAAAATATATTATATTTTGTTTTGTCCCTTTTGACCCTTGTTTTGTCAACTCTCTGCCCTATAATGCCTTAGTGTATTAATGCATTAACTTGCCGTCTGCCAACACTGAAAATTTGAATTTATTTACAAATAAATAAAAAATATTACACTGGACTTTTTTAGCCGAATTATTGTTGCTTTGTTTTCCTCTTAACAGTTTTTCCTTTTCCCCTGGCCTGCATGGGGGGCTTCTGTTCCGGCGTGGCACGATATGTCCCGTGCAATTTGTCCAACCATCCGATCACACCATAATTATAGTTGAATCTGCGGAGGATATGGGAAAGATATGAGACAAGATCTTCGGTACAATATATAGGGGCAACACTTACTTGGCATGGTGATAGTCGTGGAAGCGGACCGACCCTCCCGACCAGGGAAAACTGTATCCGGTATGATCGCTCATCGAGTTGACAATGGCCAAGGCAAAGATCAGCCAAGCCAAGGCGATATGGGTGCCCAGAAGGGCTATGGAGAGTGCCACCGGGAGCACGTTGGCCAACACATGCTCCAGGGGATGGGCATACAGCGTGATCGCCGCTATCGGGGCCGTCCACTCGTGATGCTTCTTGTGCACGTACTTGTACACTGCCTTGTGGTGCAGCAGGCGATGTGCGTAGTAGAACATGATCTCCTCCAGCACCACAAACGCCACCAAATCCCGTGCCGACCGCTTGAATGTCGGCAGCTCCCGAACATCCTGGCTGTTCTTGTTCTTGTAGGCCAGTTCAAACATACCCCAGGAAGTAGCCAGATTGACAATCGTCAGATTGAACAGCACCACCTTGATGGCACGCCAAAGCTTGGCCAGATCCACGGGCTCGTTCTGGCCCGGCTGGATCTTGTATTTGCGTATGAACCGCGGCAAATTTGTGATATCCATAATGGTGAAGAGCGCCGCATACAGCCAGTAGACGGAGAATATGGTCACAGTGCTGCCCAGCACCCACAGCCGCCAGGGATCATCGCCGATCACGTCGAGCAGCGACAGCCAGCGGTCCTGCATAAGCTCCCCAGCCTGTGTCCAGCTCACTAGTAGGGCCTCCATTGTGCTGTTGGTCTAGTCTTCAACTGAGTCTCCGTCCAAGTAGTCGCGGATATAGCCTCAGCCTTTCGAGACTCGCGCCATCTGTGCGCTACATTTGGTGAGCTCGCTTAGCTGGCCCCTGCCTCTTGGCACACACCTATGTGGCACCATGAAGCCGATTAGGTCTGATGTGTGCGGAAATATATTTACTATATTAACTTGTTTGTTCGCTTTGTGTCCACCCGGTGGCAGGTCATTCCGGGGATCTGATCTGCCTGACCTGATTCGCCAGTTCTTTGGCACTCTCCAATCGCTAAACGAGTATGGGGGCCTATTGCAGGCTGATTAGCATTGCGTACAAATTTAGAAATCAGCAAAGCTTATCGGTTGCTGGTTGCCTGCTCTTTCTAGCTTTCTAAGCCAGATACGAGTAGATTATTGTCAATCATTAGGCACTATTTTCATAAGATTAGGCTTCTTTTTGTTTGTTCTTTTTCTTTTTCTTTTTGTTTGTTTTTGTTATTATTAATTCTATTTGCTATTTGCTGTGTTGGGCTCTGCAAATCTAACCGATTCAAAGTTCAATGCGACGATTCTGATGTATTCTTTGGTCCCTGATGTCCCTTGACCATGTCTTATCTGGAGCTACATACTCGTACGCGTATATGGTTTCCCGATAGCGGCCACCTGGCCACCATCCAATTGCTGGATGGATATCCACATGGAAATTCACAAATGGCAGCTGTAAATCTTGTCTTGGTTATCGTCGTTGCAATGGATAGTCGCTGCTGGTCCGATCCGATTCTTATTAAATTCAATTTGATCAAATAGCAGTTTTCAATGATAAGGCGCAGTTTTAAAAGGAAGGGAAGATATCCAGAGATGTACGCGCACGTATTTAAATCTTGTCAGATATTTACTTTATTATTGTAATAACAATTTCATCCGCCAGTTTCGGGGGAAATCTAAGCTACTCGAATTTCTGCATTTTTACACTTCCCTTAGTCGAACTACATATATGGATTTACAACTAATTTCCAAAATATGCATATTTATTGGTGCTATCGTTTCTTTTCTGTATTTATATCCTTTACAAGTGCGAACCTTTACAAGGTTGGGGAGTGCTGATCCTCATCGGCATGGATGTAGCGGCAGGCGATGCCAATCCTGGGACTATCAACCGGTATAAGGGACTGTGGGACTCGGCACTGACGTTCCTGGGCTTACCCGATCTGCTGCAGAATGTGCCACTACTTACTGCGAAAACTCCTGGCCGAGCTATCCGACTGCGGCACCAACATGCTGATCATCGACAACCTCGCCCCGTGCGACCATGGAATTGTAACCATCGACAATCGCTTGATCCGCGATGGCTTGGAGCACCGATCAGTGCTGGTGGTGTACATCATTAACCTGGATGTGGACCAATACTGGCGCCAGTTTGACTTACTGCCGCAGGAGCTGCATCCTCTGCGCAGCTCTGACCAAAGCCAGTTGCGTCGGCTGCAAGGGGATCCGTGAGATTGTCCGCAAGCAGGGCCGATCAGGTACTGACGAAACAGAAACAGTTTAACTATGTGTACAAATGTATATGTAAATTTATTGCTTGTTTGTTGTGGACGTGATGAGCATTGTTTGTTGAGTTTGAGAAAAGAGAACAGTTGGAGTAATATTATGGGGCTAATGCTCCTTCACATTACACCGTGAAATATTGATTTCGAAAGTTTCATTGTGGCCAAAACTCCACTGCCGATGAAGTCCTCAGCGGCAGGCCCTCCGCTCCGATACATGAAATGGTGTTGGCTGACCGTATAGTGAAGGTTCGCCGAGCTAGCAGATGCCACAAGGATTAGTACTGAGCGCACGCTCCATTTTCTGGGCGAGATTCTGCATATAAAAATGTTATCCTGCATTTGCTGACTCAGGACGAAATACACGAACGCGAGCGCACTTCGAAAGAGTGTTAGGCCAGGCTCCAATTGCTTCCCCCCATCCACCTTATTCCCCAAAATATTAAATAAATTAAATAAAATGTTTTAAAAACAGTAAAAATGACGACCGTGCTAGGAAAGGAAAGGAATATCGGATATGCATCATTCAGACTTCGATCCGGCACATGCATAGCGTTAGTATCTAACGCAGATTTTCTTTCTCATCTGCTCCATCTGTGAGGGCCAGAACAAAGTCTGGAGTAGACACCAGAAATCGCCACATGAGTGGAAGGATGGAATTGTGTTAAATTGTGTTGGGTTCCCATAATTGACAGACAAAGATTTTGTTTTGTTATTTTTGTTGTGGAATTCCTTCGTTTATTGTATTTATTCTCATCTTTGTATATTTCCCTTAAAATGGTTTGTTTTCGTTTTCTTTACAACAATTCACTTGCTTTTTGGAGATTTATGTATGCATTGAACGCTTTTCAGTTCGCTTTACTTGTTAATTAATTATGTAAATATACGGGGTATATGCACGTACATACATACATTTCGTATGTGCATACACATGCACACATGTTGAAACTGGATTCATGATGAATAAGCTAAGCTAAGTGAAATGATTGATGAAAGAGACCCGAAACCGAAAGCGCCAAACGAAACTGAAGTGCCAAATGGATGGACAATGAATTGTAAAATTCCTTCCCCTTAATCTACTTCTATATATGTATATGTATTTATGTTGCATTATTATGCATACTGTAATGTATCTATGTATCTGTATATATCTAATGCTTAAGCAGATTTTTAAATATTGCCTTGTTCATTGGATTGTTCTATGTCTGGTAGATTCGTTTCGCTGCTTATTTATTTGATTTTTGATTATTGGGTATTTGATTTTCTCATCTTTTGTGTGTGCGTCGTGTCGTATCTGTCTTCTCTTGGCTGTAGTTTATTTAATTGAAAAGGCACTGCTGCATTCAAACGAGTCCTTTGCGCCCCAACACCCTACTGTTCGCTTAGTTTAGTCTTTTGTTATTTGTGTTATTATTTGATCTCTCTTCAATATCCACCCGAATGTCTGCACAGTTTTACATACTCTCATACCTCAAAGCAATTAGCATGCAGAAGGATTTCGTCAAGCAGTCCCCTTTGAGTACAATATCTTCCCGTTTTTTGTTTGCTTGTGTTCCGATTTGAACGAGTTCTTAAAATGTAATTACAAAACTTGTTTAGGCGTTACATTTTTGTGTGTCTTTCTGTAGGATCGGCTGAATGAATCCGAGAGGAGATCTAGACCATACACACACAGTACAGTAATCCCTTTTAAATCTTTTGTGCAACATTTTACAAGTAGTACATACATACGAGTATAAAAAACAGAAAATAAAAATAAAAACTAGTATTTTAAGATACATTAGTAGTAATAGTAAAAGTAAAACAAAAAGATTTATTTCTTAATTTCTAAAACAAGGTATTTTGTTTTTGTTTTGTTTTTTGAGTTGTTTTGAGTTGTGAATAAATTGAGGGTTTTGTTGTAAAATTCAAGACACTTGAATTCGAAGACATTTCTCGAACATATGGGTACATACTCGTATTTGGTTTCTTGAAAAATACATTATTTTCTGAGAAACTTACAGAAAAACGCATGTACGATCGATGTTTAAGGATCCTTAAATGTAACCCACATAAATTCTCGACTCTACTGCCACCCGATAGCTCCCTTCCCTCCCCTTACAGGTTTCCCCACCACAGTTTGAACTGTTTTCAGACTAAAAGCGTGCTCCAACCCACACCTTCAGTGCCGCCATAGGCTCCAGGAAAATCCCCGAAGCGCCTTTCCACTGAGACTCCACATCCGAATCTGTATCTGTATCTATATCTAAATCTGAATCGTTTAAAAGCTTAATACTATGGGGGATAACCGAACCTTGAGCTACAACAAACTACAAAGACTGCATCTTCTGCATCCTACTATTATTCTTACTATTATTCAATCTGGCCATTGCGCCGGCGCTGTCCATGCTGATGGTGACGATGTTGCGGCTGACGATTTCTCTGTCGTCGATGATCATGGGCATCTGCTTCTGTTTCTGTCTCCGTCTCGGTGTCCAAGTCCTCGTTGTCATCGTCGATGGCATCCTCGTCGTGCTCGTTGAGCAACAGCGGACTATCGTCGCCTAGCCGATTGGGGGGCAGGGCGCTGCCCGGCGTAGTGGGTGCCGAGCGTGTGATCCAGCCTTTGCGGGCCACGCGCCCTCGGTTCACAAAGAAGCTGGCGCCACTTACCACGCTGCTGACGGGGCTCTTGAGCAAACAGCGCTGTGCCGTCCCCATTCCCGCTCCCATGGCGGCCATCGGTATGTACAAGGCCTTGTTGGGAGGGGGCGGCGCCTTGTTCGAGCCAAAGAACTTTTTACTCTTGCCAGAGGCGGAAACTCCACTGGAGCCAGAGGCAGAGGAAGAGACAGAGACAGAGACCGACATCGCTGTGGGCTGTGGGACCTGCGAGGATGAGGGCGTGGATAGTGTGTGCTGTAGCCGTGGCTTCGCTCCCATTCCCATTCCCGTTGCCGCTCCGCTTAACAGGAGATGTTCGTAGCTGACGCCTGCCTGCAATTGACGAATTTGGTCGAGAATTTCGCGTACCTCCCCGGTTGGACTGGTGGCCTGTGGCGGTGAGCCCGGTGTCCCGATATTGGCGAGACTGCTAACGCCCGACGCCGTGCTGGCAGTGCCCCCTGGCCCCACGCCTGAGGTGGGGCCCCGGTCTCCCATATCGACCGTGGCATGCTGGCAGCAGTTCTCCAGGCTGTGTAGAGGATTAGGCTGAATGCAGCCATTGCTGAAGATCACCGGTGTGCCGCCACTGCCACCTCCGACTGCCAGGCTGCACAGCGAAGCGGCCTGTGTGGCGGCTACACTATCAAGGCTGGGGCCTCCTCCGAGCCCCATTCCGCCGCCTGCTGCTCCGCCAGGGCCTGCCACACAGCTGTTGTTCACGAAGATATCACTGAGGCTGCTGCTGCTGTTGGCCATGTAACGGAAGTGCTGGTCGCTCTGCGACTGTAGGTAGCCCACACCAGCACCACTGACGAGGCCACTGACCCCGTCCTCGTGGGAGCCATGCAGCCGCGTGCTGTACATGGCTGCTCCACCACCGCCAGGGGCACTGCCCAGGGCCACCGTAGCATAATGCTGGGCGTGCGCTTGGGCGTGAGCCCGTGACTGGCACTGGGACTGCGACTGCGACTGCGACTGAATAGCCCCAGTCTGACGTGGCAGGTACATCTCCGGCTCGACCAACTGTGAGGCGGAGCGTGGCAGACCATACTGGTGGGCCACTGCTGCGGTAAGCGGCGGCTGTAGCGCTACCGGATGATCCGAATTGCGGGTGCCATGGGCCACATGGGCATGCGCCAGGTATTGGTGCAGACCCAACTCCGGGCTGGCTGCCCGGGAATATGGCGGTGGAACCATGGTGTTCGCCTCGTTCGCATTGCAGATGAAGCTAGAGCTAAGCGAGTCCACAGTGCTGGCGGCGCTCAAAGAGCCCGCCGGACGCACAATGTAGTTCCGGAAGTACTGGACCATGAGGTAACTGGAGCTGCCATTGCCGTTTCCGTTGCCCTTGCCGTTGCCATTGTCGCTGTTGCAGGTGAAGACAAGCGGGTAGAGATCCGGCTTGGACGTGACCTGCAAGAAGTATCCAATGGAGATGTAGTATTCGTAGTACATATTTCATTCTCAGACTCAGCTCACCTCTGTGTATGGTGGAGGAGGGTGGTGGAACGAATTGCAGCGACTGTACTGCGGAGGGGCATAGCAGGACCCGGCCGAGTCGCCCTCGGACTGGGTGTGGTGCTCGTTGAAGCCCCAGCCGCACAGAGTGCGGCGCTTCTTCCACAACGAGTAGGCACAGAGTATGGCCAGGATGATGGCGACCACAACGCACCTGCAACGATATATCAGCACATTATGCATATATGTACATACATATGTATTTGTTTATAAGGATTGACTGCTCCGCTAGGCTCGGCTCGGTTCGGCCAGGCTCTGCTCTGCTCACTGCTCTGTCTGCAGCTGGCGCGACTGGATGAAGAAGCCCATGGCCACGGTCGTGTCCGTGTCCGTGTTCGTGTCATGCAACGGCTATAATCGAATTCCAACTAAATTTTGTGGGGGCCTTTTCTGTCTTTTTGGCTGTGACTCGAGATTGGATTATGTGAGCAAAAGAGCTCGCTGTGGCCCAGCGGGGTTCGAATTAGGTTGCATCAGAAAACAGCACACAGTTCTGTGCTCTGTGTGTCTCATTAGTTGGCGTTGCCATTTCCGTACCCCCTTCTCTCTGGGGAGGGGTAGGGGGAGTGAGCCCGCTGTCTTGCATAAGCCTCTCGACTTGACTTGACGCAAGGCGGCACTGGGCGACGCCGCTTTTGCTGCCAATAATAATAATATCTCGCATGCCACACAACACCAATCGGCCAGAACAGAACCTCTGTCCCCCCCTAGCCACCCTACAAGAGACGCGCACCACACGGCGAGGCCAGCTCCATGTGCACAGGCCTCATGGGAGCAGGAGCAGCAGCAGGAGCAGCAGCAGGAGCAGGATCCGTGGCATGACCATGCTGGCAATTCCACAAAAACAACAGAAGAGAGCAACAACAGAGCAGCATGGAGGAAACGGGCGCAGGACTTACCAGAAAAACCAGTGGCTGATGAAGAAGAGATTAAGGACGTGCTCCGAGGGCGGGGGCAGCGGTCGGGGTCCGCCCTGGTAGGTGGGACAGCAGCCCTGAGTGCAGCAATCGCGGGGCAGTGAACAGATGTGCCCGCCCTCGCACAAAAAGCGAGCCGTCACCTGTAAATTATAGAAATAAGTTTTCTGTCCAGACAGGGTGGAACGGATGGGAACTGTTAAATACGAAAAGCAAGCAACAGCAAATGCAGGTACACGTGTATGCATAGATATGTACATATACATGTGTACTACATATGTACATATGTACATATGTAAATTGGAAATGAATATATCATTGTCAATATCGCCGTTGGGTTTGGACAACAAATAAATTCCATCTATTAAGAATAAGGAGAGATATACATAAAGTGTATTTATGTACATGTGCACATACATACATACACATACACATACATACAAATGTAGTGTTTTCATCTTTAGGGTGACCTGCAGTGTAGTTGTTGCCTGCCTTTGTCCTTCTGTGAAGGAAAGCATTCAAAACGTATGTACATGATGTACATAAGAACACCTGAACATACATACATACATATGAACATACACTTACAGCATAAATAAATGAATAATCAAAATAATTCATAAGTATGTAGAGTGTGAAACACAAATAAAATCCAAGCCACATTGTACAAGTCAACCAACTTACATGCAGGGGGAGAAAGCCGACCGCCAGGAGGACCAACTGCAGCACCAGCAACGGGCATGGACATGTATATGAGGAGGAGGAGGAGGAGGAGAGCAGCGAAGTGTAAAGCCACATGGTACACCCAGCTCTGTCGCTGTCGCTGCTTCTGTCGCTGCCCGGACTGGCGCCAAATGTCCGCTCAATGCGATGTGGTGGAGGAGGGATGATGATGGAGGTAGGTGGTAGGGTAGGTGGCAGCAGCCTCCGTTCTGTTCTCCGTTTAGCCCCTTGTGTGATTTGTTTCTTTGTTTTGCTTTAGTGTCTGCTTTCTCTCTGCTGCTGCTGCTGCTTCTCTGCTGCTAATATTTGTGTCACATCACATTTTGTTGTTGTTTTTCTTGTTTTTGTTTTGGTTTAGTTGTCGCTGCTCCTGCTGCTGATGCCTCGCACAATGCACACGCACACAACCAGTTCACTCACTATCTTGCACAGACACATTTACACGCGCGGTGCTACATAGCAGGGCGTTTTGTTTTGTCCTTGAGAGACGACAATGCAATTTACCGTTGTATGCTTTTCTGCTTCGCGCTTAGTTTTACTTCACTATTTGATTTCCGTTCTGTTTTCTGGTATTCTGTGAATATGATGCAAAAGTATCTACTTACAAACATATGTACACATTTCTGTATGTATGTACATATATGTACTGATTATTGCCTATACCCAAATATCTGCATTCATATGTACATATGTACAATGTATTTACACAACCTGAGGCATATACCATACACAAATACATACTATGTACATAAATACATATGTACCGTAACGACGCCACGAAAATTTTCTCTTCGTGTGACGCCACTTTTATTATTCATGTACATATTGCACATACATATGTACATATGTATGTATGTATATGTTCGTACACACAATTACATAGTTTCTGTATTTTCATTATTTTAATCTTGTCACTTTTTGGGGAAATCATTCGCAAATTTTGACATTTGTCAGCACAATACTTCATTGCAATTGTTGTTACCCCGAAAATATCCCGCTCCTCACCATCGAGGCATACACAACAACAGAAGCAGGAGCTGGGACAGAGACTGTGAGGGATATTTAGAGCAGGAGCATCAGAGGAATTTAGAGTTGTCCGGACCGAACGAACATCCAACGTAACGTGGGAGCGAGAAACTGAACAAACGGCCAGACAACGGTATAGTTAGCACTGTAATAGGATTCCAGCAGCACCGCACGAGCGCCTGTAAGCAGGCAATGCGATTGTCGGCCAGCCTGGCAACCCCCTAGTAACAGCTGTTCTACCAGCCCACCGCGTTGAAAAGAACGTATAAATAATCGTACACAAAATTGAAATAAATTCCGTTTAAGAGATTTAAGAGAAAGAAAATTCTTTCAAAATAAAGAAAATGGATGTTTTAAGCTACTGAAATAAAGAAGTCGTGACCAACATGGAAAAAGCCGTTCGTTTTATTTCACTGTCCTGCCTTGAGTTTCTTGGAGACTGTGGCAGCCTGCGACAAAGAGCGCCATCGATTGGGAGAGATGTGCATCTGAGTGAGAGCCACAGATGAGCTCACCAGTCGATCAGTGGAAGCCGGGCGAGTGGGTCAATAAGTGAAATAAATAAAAGCATTTGTGCATAAGTGCCAAGTAGATGGCATACCAATATTTAACGGTCGGTGCGGTATGGAAAAAGCTAGAATATTATCACTAGGTGAAATGGGAATAGGCGGAGGGCAAAAAAAATTTTGAAACATTACTAGCTGTAAGACAAATCAATCTGAGATAGAGGGAGAGAGTGAGAGGCACTAATACATAGGCTCCGATATCAGGCGTCAACGTATAATTACATACGTATCACATATATTGAATCTGTTACATAAATCATAAGCTTACATACATATATACGTATGTACATATGTACTGAGTTCGGGGTATGAGTAAAGTCGCCGCCCACTAGTTTTTTGTTGGTAGTACTGCCATCTCTTTTCGAATCATGGTAGGACTTTTGATCATTTGCTCTTAGCCTAGGAAGTGTTTTCCAGGAACCTTACTAATTCGCGTCTCTAACAAGGTCCAGTCTAATCAATTTTATGAAGCATATTCAGTAAAATAAAATATAAAATACATTATAAAAAAAGTGTACATTAAGTCTAAGATCTAAAGACTACTTGGCTTTGAAGAAGGATGCAATGCTCTTAGTACCCTTGGCTCCTTTGGCCAGAGCCTTTTCTTTGGCCGTCATGCCACGCTCCTTAAGCGGTTCCAGAGTGGGCGGTGATATTTTACACTCCTTGCCATCTTCGCAGTCCAGCAGACCAGTGATCTTTAGCTTTGATGCCACATCGCTGTCATGGCTATTCAGTTTGATTTTTTTGCTGTTGCTTGCCTCCTGTCCCACCTTTGACTTTCGCTTCTGAGCGGCAGTTTTCTCTTCGACAATAGCCTGGATCTCGCTGGTTATATGCAGATAGCCGATCAGCTGATCGTGTAGGTCAGCATCCAGATAGCGGCCAACAATGTCACAGGCCATACGCGTGAAGTCCATCTCGTTGACAACAGTGTCCCCTGCCAGCTTTTCGCTCCGAACAAAGTTCTGTGACTGTGCACTGTGGCCGCAGTGGATCTGCTTTTTCTTTAGCATCTCCGCCACTTGTCGTGTCTTTATGGCCAGCCAGGCGAGCGTCCGCTCCTGATTGTATTTGTAGAATGTCAAATCTCCAGACACCTTAACATCGGCAACACACCTAAGACCGTCCGAGCTAACAAACTGCGTAAGGAAGCGACTCGTGTTGGCTTCATTCACAGCGATATTATCCAGCGACATTGCTCCTGGCGGGGTTTAGATAAAAAGTAGGGTTTAGATACATATGTATAATTGGCAAGTGCAGGCTATCCAGAAAATCTAGCACCTACTTACTCTGCGCACAGTGTTTCCTCAAGTGGTGTATCGCCAGCAGCGTGGCATCCAAGGGCATGGTCATATAGACTCTGCCATTGGAGCAAATCTCGCTGTTGATTAGCCAGCTGCGCCGCGGCTCCGCATACTCCAGCAGCTCCATAATTTGGCCATTTGGGTGCGTTACAAACAATGCATCTTTTCCCTTGCCAGGATGGTAGAAGCTATCCAAACGCAGCCGCTGATCATCATCCGGTAGCAACTTTTCGGATATGTAGAGCACTTTCTTCAATGCAGTCGCGGTGGACTGCATACCTGCGTCTGGATCTGGCTTTGGTTTCGATGATCGCGTTGTCTTCTTACTCATTTTAAAATAACTAAATTGATTCGTGGGATTGCAGTCGATTGCAAGGGTTTAAGTGGAGGTAAAAAGCGTTTCCCTAAAGAATATAAAAATATCCGAAACACGATAAGCTGGCCCAGGCTCTTGGTTCCCACTGTGAGAATGTGTGATGATGTGATTGCCTTGATGTTCCACGATTTTTATATGCGGCTTGGGATTATTAGCTATCTAGCACTCTCAGCACTGATCATATAATTTTATTCGATAAGTTAATAAATTTTCCACAAGATTTACCAATTTTAAGTACTCATTTATATTTGATTATTTATAAAATAAGGTTTTATCATCCAGATATCAAACAAAATGTAAAAACAATTTCTCTCCCGCATTTGTTGGTGACACTAACATCGAGAAACATCGTTGTTAGCACCGATATCATCGATGTTTGGGTACTAGTTTAGTCACATCGATAACTTTGTCTTTAGTTGTTTTAACAACACTCACGGCACATCTGTTTCAAAACCAAATCCAAAGTTCCATATGATTAATGGTGAAATAAATATTTTTGTTTTATGAAGCAATGGATATAGCCACAAGCATTAAGTTTCGTGATGTCTGCGAGCTGTTCGAAAAGGTCAAGGCAGCAAAGAAGGTTCAGGACAAGGAGGATGTGCTGCTAAGCTACTACGAGTCGTTCTGCCGACATCGGGAGGCATTTCGTCAGGCGGCTGGCCTAGACGATCCGAGGGAGAATGGCTCCAGCAGCTTTCACTCGGTCCTGCGTCTCCTGTTGCCCAGTGCGGACACTGCAAGGGACAACTACGGCCTGCAAATAACTGCTCTGGGCCGTCTCTACACCAGAGTGCTGCAGCTGACAAGAGACTGTGGGTGATCAGATCAGAATATCGGCATTATAACGTTATTATAACTTTTCGCACCTGCAGCTCGCGATGCCATAATGCTGCAGCATCGAAGCGGAACCTCATATCGTGACTACGGAGATGTGGTCTATGCCGTGCTCGTGTCCCGTTGCTTTAATCCACCCAGCGATCTGCGTCTAAGCACTATCCACGAAATGCTAGATACAATTGCCAATGAGGATACAACAGGTGGGTGCAGGAAAATGGCCGGGCTTGTTATGGCTTGTACGCATCTAATAATGTTCGTAATATTCGTGTTCCGCACAGTTAAGGAGCAAGAACTGATACGTTTCACAGAACAAGCCTCGGCCAAGGAGCAGAAGTGGCTAATCCGAATTCTCCTAAAGTCCCTGGGACTGGGAATAGGCGAGCAGCGCATTTTTGGAGTTCTGCATCCGAATGCTAAGGACATTTACCAGCGCTGCTCAGATTTGAGTCACGTCTGCAATATAGTGGCCGATAAGGTATCTGACCTGGAAGTAAGCGACAAAGAGATCAAAAGCAAAACCAAGATTAAACCATCGACTGTTAACCTCAACGCAGTCATTAGACCCTTCTATCAGATCCGTCCCATGCTTTGCGAGCGTTTTCCCGGCGACATTCAGGAGCTAATGCAATCCGATGTTCTGTATTTGGAGACCAAAATGGATGGTGAGCGTTTCCAGCTGCATATTGATCGCGGTCGCTTCATGTACCTTTCCCGCAACGGAGTGGACTATACTAACAATTTTGGCGATGGCTTTAGCCGGGGAACGTTGACGCCACAACTGCGTGGCCTCTTGCCGCTCGGCCTGCAGTCGATTATCCTTGATGGCGAGATGATGGTGTGGGACACAAACCAAAAGAGGTACCGCGAAAAGGGCGAAAACACGGATGTAAAAAATTTAAAGCCCGATCGAAGCTGGCGGCCCTGCTTTGTGGTTTACGATCTGCTGTACTTCAATGGCCAGAGTCTGCTCGATTTGACGTACATCCAGCGATCCTACAAGCTCCAGAAGTTAATTGGCGAACAGCAGGGAGTGCTGCAGCTGATGCGCGGCACCAAGGTTGGATCAATCAGTGAATTCAACGAGCTTTTTCAGCGAGCCCTCGACTCCAATGCCGAAGGCATAGTTCTGAAAAAGCAGAGTTCCATCTACCAGCCGGGAGTTCGCGTCGGCGGGGGATGGTACAAGGATAAGGCAGATGTGAGTCCACCAGCTGTCATATTCACTCTAACCGTATGCAGAGAATATAGTTTTTTTATACCCGTACTCAAAAAAGAGTTAAGGGGTATATTAGATTTGTGGTAAAAGTGGATGTGTGTAACGCAGAGAAGGAAACGTTTCCGACCCCATAAAGTATATATATTCTTGATCAGCATCAATAGCCGAGTCGATATAGCTATGTCTGTCTGTCCGTCTGTCTGTCTATCTGTCTGTCTGTCTGTCTGTCTCGATGAGCGCCTAGATCTCAGAGACTATAAGAGCTAGGGCAACCAAATTTGGTTTCCAGACTCATGTGATATCCCACTGCTACAAGTGTATTTCAAAATTTCGCCCCGCCCCCTTCCGCCCCCACAAAGAACGAAAATCTGTGGCAGGCACAATTTTAAAGATACGATAAAACTAAAAACGCAGTATCGTAGAGAATGCCCATATCTACCAGACTGCTGAATCTGAATCAGATCGGCTTATAATTATAGCCAGAATGACGAAATTAATTTTCAGTTGCTTCCCCTGCCCCCTCCTGCCCACGACAACGCAACTCATTTTCCTTCTCGCTCGCACACTCTGCAGCGTTCAGTGCGCGAGCAACCCCTAGCGGAGAAGATGTAGAATCTGAATGGTACATCTATAATCTACATGTTAGATGTAAAATATACATTGTAGATGTAGATAACAGATGTAGCAAAAAAATGTAAAATTTAAAATTTTTTTTAAATTCTAAAATTCTAAAAAATCATATGCTCAAAAATGTAAATACTGACTGAGTACGGGTATAAGTAGAGTTACGTCTTTAGAAGCGACTCACACGTTCCTTCTCGTTTTACTTGAAATCAACAGTACATCAAGGGTCTCATCACCGAGTTTGATGTTCTCATCATTGGCGGCTTCTACAATCGCAAGCGCACGTTTATCGATTCGTTTCTGCTGGGCGTTCTCCAGCCAATGGCTAACGGCGACAGCCGTCATGAGGTTTACAGCATTGGCTGCGTTACCAACAACACGAGACAGGCAGTGGTGCTGAATCATACTCTAAAGCCACACTGGCACGATGCCACCAAGGAGCCGCCGCCACTATGGTATCATTACATGGCCAGCGTGAAGATTGGCTCCCCGGATCTGTGGATCGATCCACACAATTCGATTATATTGCAGGTAAAGGCGGCGGACCTGACGCCCAATAGTGCCTTCTACACGCGCAAAGCTTTGCACTTTCCACGCATCGAACTGAAGCGGGATGATAAGGCCTGGAATGAATGCATGACGCTACAGGAGTTTAACCAATTGTGTGAGGTAATGTGCCAAGCACTCGTAAATACATACCATAATGGTGCCAGTTCTCACTATTACATCGAATTTTTCATTCCAGGGCTCTGGACCGATTAAAAAGCTAAACAAGCGTCACCTGTGCTTGGATGATTTGACTACGAAACGAAAACGTCAACGCATGACGCCCGCAGAGCGCAGTCGTCTAGGCCTGGCCATATACGAGAAGCGCTACGATGTGGGTACGAGTTCCAGTTGCTCGAAACTTTTCCAGGGCCTTAGTTTCTGCATCTTGAGTGGTGCGCCAGGCCATACCAAGCACAAACTGCAGGAACTGGCAGCCAAGAATGGCGGCTGTATTGTGGAGAATCCGCTGCCCAACGATCCGAAATGCTTCTGTATCGCAGGCGATCAGACGTTCCTGGTAAAGCGACTAATGCAGCTCCAACCGCGCACCAGCGATATTGTGCGCATGGAGTGGCTGGTACGCGTCTGCCAGAAGCAAGAACTCGAGCTACGTCCAAAAGATTTGCTGTCTGCAACCGAGCCACTACAGGATGATTTGGCCGAATGGTTTGACAAATTAGGGGACAGCTACACAAAGGACTTTGCGAGCGTTGACGAACTGCTGGAACTACTACAGGACATTGGCAACGATGAGCTTGACGTCAACCATGTCTCACAGTCCGAAATGAATGCCTTCGAAGACGAGTTGCTGGGCCAGGTCACACAGAACATATTCCATGGCCTGCATGCCTACTTCTACGATCCAAAGAGCGACGAACTGGGCAAAGTTTTGTTCCTGCAGAATGGCGGCACGCTTGCAAGCGAATCAGACCCCCATATAAACATTGCATTCGTATGCATGTCCTCTGATATAGACGATAATCAATACGAATCGTGGCTGCAGAATCATATCAGTTCGCATTCAGGCGAAGTCCTTAACTCTGCATGGATCCATCAATCGCACCGTGAACGCCGCCTTTTGACAATGAGTTGTTTTTCCTGCAAATAGACATTTTTAAATTGTGGTGTACATATGTATATAAAGTCGTTATTAAACATTTTAAGCGAAAAAATGATGTTGGTGGTGGGTTAATGTATCGGTTCTTAAGTCAATGCAATTTATATTATAGTCCTTAATAGAGCTCCGCATGAAACCAAAGTAAACGCAAAAATCATTGGCCATTGCCAGATGACGAACACTCCATGTAAGGGCCATTAGTTTTTTGTATGGGGTGTTGTCGGAAAGGTCACTAGTACAACACCACTACCACATGATGAGTTTATCAAGCACTTGTTTAAGCTGTTCGTGTTTTCCACTCGCGGCAATCAATCACCAAAACTTTCCACACCATCTCACCACAGTGCAGCACCATCAAGTTGCTGGTTATGCTGCCCTAGCGATGTCAATCGTATTGATTATTGCATACATTATCCGGAACAAGTATCACACAGATTGCAATCATGGATAGATAGCCTTCAAAAATTAACCTAGAAGAACCGTGCGGATCATCATCCAATATCAAAATTACACGCCGACTTGACGTCCATTTGGGCGATGTTTGAACACCAATTCAACGGCCGTGAGAATTTTCACTCACAGAATTACGCACATTTATCGCATAAATAACGAACATGAAATTAACGGGTAGCCTCACCACACAGCACTGTAGCTGAGTCAATAATAACCGCATTTGCAGAAAATTCTGCTGACATTGCGATCGTTCCTCCTAGGTCAAAAATACTGGTGCAATTGCTGCCCATAACAATTTCCAAATTGCACACCATAAAATAATATTATAGTATTCTAATTTTAAATTAACTTCGAAATTACTGTGAATAGTTTTTATACCCATACTACAAAATCTGAAATTTTTTTTAAATGCTTAAAAAAGATTCTGTCGTAGAAAAAAAATGATCATTAAGCGTTTTTTAAAGCCCCAAATCGATAAAAAAAAAGGTTGGTTTGGTTCGAAGCGAAAAAATGGTTTTGAGTAGTGCAATGATCCGATCTTAACCAGATTCGGCAAACTGGTATATATGGACATTTTCTACGATACTGCGTTGGGTTTTTTCGTATCTTAAATATTGTGAATGCCACAGATTTTCGTCCTTTGTTTCAAGCTGAGTCGCTATGTATTTGCTATGTCTTAATATCCTGGTGCATTAACTGGCACGAGTTAAATTTACAGTGCTATTACTTTTACCCCATTCTATGTATGTAGTATTTTGTTTTGACAAAACTCCCAATTCAAACAAGCTGTTCCTTTTTTTTCTTTTTTTAAAATATTTAGTATTTTTATTTCACATAAAAAGAGATAACGAGCAGATAAACGTTTGTTAGGGGAGGGGGAGGTTATATTTGAAATTGACACCTTATATACATATGTATGTATGTATTTATGAGGGCTATTTTTACATTCTTCCTTCATCAATTGATACGTTTTAGATGTCAGTTACATTTGTTGCTCTTTTCTTTAAGATTTTCAGTTTTCTCTGTTTCGGATTCAGCTTTTGCCCTGTGGGGCAATAAGGACATACAAAAATACACTCATTTTTATTTATTATAAAGTTATATACTCTTATATAAATTATGTATATGTGTATAACATTTAACATTAACAATTCTTAACCGCTGGCTCTCCATATTTCTCTCTCGTTCTTAGTGCTGCCTTCTCCTTCTCCGTCTCATTCATTTTTATTCGGTGTAAAATCTAATGAGGAATATGCAATCTCTGAGATTGTTTAACACATTTATGGACTCCCTTAACATATATGTATGTAGATTACGTATCTCAATTAAGTTGTTCAAAGTGAATCCAATTTTCTATTTCGAATAGGATTAACAAACAAATTCTTCAATAGTAGCAGGTGTTTCATTCTTTTTGTTTTCAGTTTGCTTCATTGTTCAAATATTCTTGGGAGTGGGCGGAAATTCGTGCTCGTTATAGATAGAATAAATATATGGGTATACATGTATTTATATTTTTTATATATGTATATAAATAAGGGTATACAAATGCACATTTCGTTCGATTTTTATTTTAGGGTTCGGGTAACACATGTTGAATAAGACTAACTGCTTCAATTAAATGTTCGGTTCGTGTTCTTTCTACTTTCTGTTCTTGTATGGTAATACAAAAGCAATAATTTGCATTTATAGCACATGAAATACATACATACACGTACGTGATATATTTTAGACAATCTAGGATAACACTGAAATCTGGCGCTCCTCATATCATATATCAACATTAATAGTACTCGTAATATTAATAGTTGTATTATTATAATAATAGTAATAACATAAGTTTAATTTTTCTTTGTGTTTGTGTTTTCGTCCATAAATGTAATTAAAGAATAAAAAAAAAAAATTCCCATAAACAAATAGTTGCGTTTTCATTAAATCGTTAAAAAAGTCTTTTGGAATTTCTCGCATATTCTTCGTATTTGTAACTTAAATTGTATGTATATAAATATAAATAACTGTTTAATCATTAGTTCATTCTTCCATTCTTGGATTTAATTTAGTATCTGTCCCAAAAACAATAATCCTAGCGTAAGCTCCAAAAAATGTATATTGTATGCATGCAAATTCTTTTTAAATAAAAAAAAAAAAATAAATTTAAAATTCAGACTTAATGAAAAATGTGTGTTTTACATCAACAAAAGGAGATTAATAGTGGATGTTTTCACAAGGCAAATGCGATGGGCTGTAAGAGGAGAAGCCTCTGGTAATATCTTCGTCCCAATCCAAATACAAGGTTCGAACTCAATGGGCCTAAGCTGATACTTTTGCTCAGAGATTTGGGTCTCTATCGTTGGCTGATATCTACTGTTGCCTTTGCTCTACAATTTTTTGGTGATCTTTTCTTGCTGACCTTCTTGTTTCTGTATGCAATATTTCGTTTTTGGACTCCTATTGATCCTTCTTCCAGTTCTTTTATTTCGTAGGTATATGGCAGTTGTAAATCATTGTTTCTATTTAACTTTTTGATATGATTTGATTTCATTTTCTTAACTAACACAAAATATATGCAAACAAATGTGTATATATGCTATATGTGCTACAGCTTAAAAACGCCATAATTATTTTGTGTGTGTGTGTGTGTGTGTGTGTGTGTGTGTGTGTGTGTGGGTGTCTCTGTTTTAATTTCTGATGGGGGAGGCAAAAGACATCTTTTATTCGCTGTCGCTTGGTCAAAGTTGGTCCACACTGAAACCTTGAATCCGTATCCACAGGTTTAAATCCTTAGTATTAAGTCTGTGTATTAATATATTAATTTTTAATAATAAAAACAAGTCCACGTAATTTAATTTGTTGATCTCAAGCCGTTTACACTGCAAAAAAAAAATAAGGGTAGTAGAATTGTAATCAAAATTTTATAAAAGACGAAATGAGAGTGTTGATTTGATTAGTTATTCGCAAATAACGATATGACGCAATTTTCATATATTTTTTTCCAAATTTTTCATCAGTTAATGGATGCAATATTAATAACCTATCCAGGCATCATGTACACAGGCATTAATACCTATATGTAGAGGTTATCACCGGTTTTGACACCGATAGAAGGAATCGTGGAAATTCCACATCGAAATTTCAATTTGAAGATTTCATATAGGCAGTTGTATGAAGAATCAAGGGATTTTATGCAGGAATCTCTAACATTCCATTGATTGGGCATGCCAGCGACTTGTCTTGTGCCAAGGAATTTATTCAAAATGCACAGAATTGTTTCCTAGTAATTAAATCGGATGCATCCAATAAAAGTAGAAGTTGAGAAATAAGTTCAAAGAAATTGAAAGTGATAAAAGAATTCATTAAAAATGGCACTCTCCAACACTCCCAACAAGCCCATACTCACGCTGATCGAAGGTGCTTGGATTTATGTAGCTGATCAGGTCCTGATCAGACATCGTGGTCAGCTCCTGGGGTATGGGGGGCTGGACAGCCACGGCCGCAGCAGCAGCGACGGCTCCGACAGCCGCTGGCAAAATGCTTCCCGCCGTGGAGGGTGCCGAGGCCTGTTGGGTCATCACGGCTCCATTGGTGGTGACCGCGGCGGTGGCCACGGACTTCTGCAGCGCATTCTCGCTGGCCAATGCAACGATCAGAGATTCTTGTGGTGAGGTCGCTACAACCGGCAAGTGGGCGTGGCCGTGCGAGTGAGCATGGCCGTGACCGTGGCCATGACTGTGGCTGTGGCTGTGACTGTGACTGTGACTATGACTGTGGCTATGACTATGGCTATGGCCGTGACCGTGACCTGAAAGCGACTGAAAGCTGGCAGCCTCCGCGGCCACGGCTGCAGCAGCTGCGGCTGCCGTCTCCGGTGGGGTTGAGTGACTCAGAAGGAGATTGACCAACGGATCCTCGCCAGCCTCAACGACATTGTTAGCCACTGAAACGCCAGACTGCGGCGAACGTGTATGCGAGTGTGTATGCGAATGGGTGTGGGTACGGGTGTGCTGGTGATGGTAGTTGTGCTGCTCCTGCTCCTGGGTGGTGATGAAGTCAGCGGCCGCCTTGATGATCATGTTGCTAACCGCTGTCGAAGTGGCTGTGGCAGCCACTTCCGGCTGCAAGGCAGCCGGTGTCGGTGGAAGGGTATCTACTACCCCACCAGCTGACGTCGGCGGACTCATCATTATGTTCTTCAGCGCTAGGGCAGCCACGGCTGCATCTTGCTGCGTCGGCTCCGGCTGCATGGCTATATCGTTCAATATGGAGTTGGCCATGGTCACTTGGTGGGGCGCTAGTATGTTGGGCACCACCGCAGTGGCTGCCCCGTTGGCCGAACAAAGTATGGTAGATGGCGAGACGGCGGGGTTCATGATGATATCGGTGGAGAGGCCTGCGCCTACATCGACGGGAGACGAAGCGAGGCCGGCGGCACCGGCCAGAGCAGCGGCCGGCTCCGAGTTTAGTATGATGTCCTGGGTGAGCGGCGAGCTGTTTGGGGAGGACTCGCTGCCGCTCAACGAGCTGCTCGAGTTGGTCGATCCGAGCGACAGACTCCGCTCGAGCACACCGTTGGGTGGGCCTCCTGTTTGGTGGTTGCCGTGGCTCAGCACGCCCACCTTCGACTGCAGAATGTCGGTCAGAGCGTGATCGATCACCGCCACACTGGTAAAGAGTGCTGGCTCTGTGGTTCCATTGCTGGTGACCACCGATGTGGACTTTGTCAGCTCGTCGATGAACTTGTGCACGCTCGCTGCTGCCGCCGCTGTAGCCTGCTGCTGCTGTGGCTGCTGCTGCTGCTGTTGCTGTTGCTGCTGCTGTTGCTGCTGCTGCTGTTGCTGCTGCTGATGCTGCTGATGCTGTTGCACCACGTGCTTGACAATCTCGTTCTTTACGGCCAGCTCCACAGCCACCGCCACAGCAGCGGAGTCAATATCAACGCCTGTGACGGGGAACCCGGGCAAACTGCTAGACTGATCGAACATGATCGTGTCGAGGCTGGACTTGCGGGCAAAGTGCGTCTGATGGTGGTACTGCATGCCGTTGGGGCTATCCGGGGTGGGCTCCGCTGTGAGTGGACTGTGCGTACTGCTGTCGTCGAGTAGCTCGCTCTTCAAGGCCTCGGCACTGGCCACGGCCACCGCATTGAGGTGGACGAGCTGCTGATCCGTGATCATGGGTGAGGCGCTGGGCAGCGACGAGCGGCGCACAACGCCCATCGGTATCTGTGTGGTGATCGGTGGGGGCATCATGCCCGAGTCTATCTCGTGCTTGGTCTCCACCACCCCCTCGCCACTGGAGGCTGGTCCCGAACCGGATCCAGATGCCTGCGGATTTGTCGACCAGTTCGACCCGCTGGTCGATGGCGCTGCTGTGGTGTCCATAAAGTTGTTCACATCTACAAAATATATGGGAGTGGAGAGTTTTAGTTTGCAACGTTTTGGTGGCACTTCAATAGGGGAGCATGGTCGGGACGGGTTCTCAAATAAAAAAAACTAGCAAAATTAACAAAAACAAATAAAAAAAAAGTTACAAATTAAAAGAATAAAATACGAGAGCGAGTGGGGGTGGGTTTTAAGGTAAGGGGTAAGCGCTTTGGATGGAGTATATATATTTATAGAGAGGCAGAGAGTCTGATAGTTTAGGTGGATCCATCATGGGTGGAGCAGTAAAGTCCGGGAACATTTTATGGCAACTACAACTTGGTCACTAAGGTAAACTTAAGCTAGGAATCGCTCCCGGACTCGACCGCCCAATCGAGACGATTCGGGGCTCTGGGTGGGGTCAGGGTCAAGGGGTCTTGTTGTGTTTGGTTTTGGTTCAAATATTGTTAATCTTTACATGCTAGTTTTGCTTATTTAATGCTTATTTTATGCTTATTTTATATGAATATTTATTAACTAATAGTTTGTATTGCCTGGAACATGACCTGGGAATGCTAAACGAGTCACACATCCAATCATTCAGAGGGGGACGAAGAGGAGAGCTTCTGAAAAAAATGTCCCATAGTCCCATAGCAGAAAAAACACCAAGACAACTCAAGTCTAGATATAAAACGATCAAGTGATCGAAACCATCCGCAAGACACAATACATATCAAGGATCAGCAGACATATCCATCCACACTCAATTCATACAGCCGGCAGAATAGTCGGTCAATCAGGTATCGTCGTATCTTCATTTTACAATGACTCCATCAATCAATCACTGGAATCAGACACAGGGAAAACCTTCTCTCAGTCGCACAAAGCAGATCAACGAGTAGCCCCACACACACGCACACACACACACACACACACACACACACACACACACACACACACACACACACACACACACACACACACACACACACACACACACACACACACACACACACACACACACACACACACACACACACAGAATCACTCAATGAATTCCTGATCCCATAGTCTTTCAATCACACACACACAGGCACGCCAAGCAATTTCCATCTCTACTTAAAATATCAACTTAGTGCTAGTCCTAAAACTATTATTAAGGTTCAAGTTTTGACTTAAATATTAATATATTTATGTAGGTATAGGATAAGTGCTGAGTGTGGATTAGTACTGGAGGAGTCCCTCTCTGGTGAACTCTGTTACCCATGAACCTCACACTGCATATATGTATATGTGTATGTATGTATCTAGACTATAGACTATGTTCCACTCCTTGTCAGCCTCCATGGCTGATACTTTTGCTGGCGGGATGCATGGTCGAAAGCTGCTTGCATTCTCTAGGCGTAATGTTGGGGCTCTGAAGTCGAGCGATGCTTAAAATTCCACTCGTTCTAGACGAGTCCCATCACTACCAACCCTTCGATAGGTTCTTTCAAAACAAGTATCCGCGCTTGTGTCACCTCATGGGTTCCACTGAAATTTGGCTTAACATTAGCATGATTATATTTGCTATTTGGAGGGCAACTGAAACGGAACTGCAAAATGGATGATAGTACTCGTAATTGCTAGAATCGTTCTTCAAGAGATTTGTCGTTTGTTAGTACAGTAGGTAGGTACAGTTACATATGTATGTATGTATGTATGTATGTATGTATGTATGTATGTATGTATGTATGTATGTATGTATGTAAGTATGTATGAATCGATATTAATGGAACATTTTTCAATACGAGTAAGTAAACGAATGTGTATCGGCTTAGGTATGAGTATTTGATCAAGCGAGACATGAATTTTCCCCGTTTAAATTATAAACTCAATGTGAAGGAAAAACTATAGCTGTTCAAACTGTTGGAAATGATATCGGAGTACAATGATCTTTAGATCTCAGGACAGGACAAACGCAGAAGTCTTCATTTATGTATGCGTTTTGTTAGCTTCATAAATGTGGGTAATATGTATGTATGTATGTATGTATGTATGCATATTGAAAAATGTTTATGTGTAATTCTTATAGGTTTTATGTATGTACGTAAATATGCATGAATGTGAGGAGGTGTAAGGTGGGTGGTTTCATTAAGACTATATCGAGTTAATTTTAATGGTATGTGTGTGTGGGGGGCGGGGTAATGTGTTTTTTCAATAATAGATATATAGAAAATGTAGTACGAAATGGCAAAAAAAAATTTGTTCTTTAGTCAAGTGGTAAAATTTTTTTTATGGTGTTTTTTTTTTTTTGTTTGTTTTAACCAGTACCCTAGGCATCCTTGAAGTTGCTGTTGTTGTAGTTGAGGTTAGAGTTGAGAAGTGGTCGCTGTCGCTCGCCATGGTTCGGTCTGAGGTGCTTTGTGTTCCACTTTCCACTGATGATCGTCTCGGGGAATGCGCCACGGTGTCGCTTGTGTGTATGTGTGGCTGAGTGTGTATGGGTGTGTTCGTGTTTTTTTCAGCGTTGGTCTATCCCATAGATTGAGTGTTACGCATTCACTCGGATCAGTCGAGGATCGTGGATCGTATGCATCCAGCGCTGCTTTCCAGGCAAGCTTTCTCAGCTCTTTTTCAGATTGTTTTCCTTAGCTGGGCTTTGCTTTGTTTTTTGCTATAGTTATATGTGTATATATAGAGATACAGGATATATCGGTGTCTATATATTTATTTTATATCGACCTTCGGTTAATTACTTAATTTTGATTTAATTTTGGCTTTGGCTTTGGTTTTGGTTTTGCATTTTATAGCACTCAAAATGTATACATATTTGACTATATAGTTAGATTGAGCACCTAAATTGCTAAGAGAAGGGGAAGGAGGAAGAATATAAAGTAAAAATATTTATATGCATATTTTTTTTTGTCGGTGGGGGGGGGGGGGGGGTGGTGGGGTTGGGAGGGCAGTTTATTTGTTGTTGTGGAGGGGAAAGATCTTTTAAGTGTTGCAAAAAATTTATATTATATTCGGAGGTTTCCTGTCCTGGATTTTCGTTTTTTTTTTGGCTGAATTGATAAAGGTTGTTCTGCTTTTGTTGGAGGCTGCCTCGATCTTCATCATCTTCTTCTTCTGTTATTTATCGTCCTGGTATTCTGATCTTCTGATCTGCTGTTTCTTGTGTGTGTTCAATATCGGTTTGTTGCATGACTTTATCTTAGGGTTCGCCCTTGTCTTTGGCGGGTCGTTTTTCTTTGAGAGGTTTCTTGGTGACAACATGATCAAGAAAACTCTGCACCTCATTCACTCACTCACAGCAAGTCCTGGGATCACTCACACCCCCAGACGCACTCAAGCACCCAGCACACACTCTCCATAAGACGCACACTCAGTTACACACACCCACACGCACGGCCAAGCAAGTAGATAATTAACTCAGAAGACCCAGAAGGAAAGGTTATCGTTAGTTATAGAAAAACGTAGCAACAAATTTTCAGGCGTCAACTCAAATATGGAACCAATTTCAATGTACGAGTACGTGTACGAGTATAGTACGAGTATATACCACCGGTAAGGTAAGGGTTCTCCGAATTACTTCTATCCATCAGTATTTATATATGGATGTACTACAATGCCCTGGGATCGTTTCCAATGAAAATTATACATTCATTCAGCAGAGTTGTTTCGATCAGTTTCCAAGAGAATTCCGATTTTTTGTCCTTCCTTAATCAGGGAGTCGCGGAGTTAGCGGCAGAGAGACAAACGGAGGCGGGGAGAGAAGGAGAGCGATAGAGGAACGGGGATTTGGAGGTATTCTTTCTCCGAAGGCTTCAATCGCCAGTCATTGCACGACCTTGTTTGTGACTTATTCATTTATGATTGTTTTGTATAGTTGGTAATTGTTGATCGTACTTATAAATTAAATTATATATTATTTAATTTTATTTTATATTACCGTTGGTTTCGTTGTTCGTTTCATTTCCCACTTACAGATTATGTGAAATTTATTTTTATTTGGTTATAGATCTTTTCATGCGTTACTCTGTGTAAAAAAAACTATAAGATCGAATATGAAAGGAAAAAAGGATAAGAAAGTTGTCAGGCAGGAGTTGTTCGGGGTTAATAGAGATTGCATTCATTTAGTATTGAATGGTATAAATATAATGCGGTGTGCGGCATCGTTGGTTAATCTTCAGGCAAAATGTATGAGGGAATAGAAAAACAGTTCAAAGGCTAAATTTTTGTTTTGTCAAGTGATTAAAGCTACCCTCGACTGGTACTTGATGTGCACATAAATAGTATATTAGCTTTAGCTACGAGGTTGAAAATCAAAGACCTCCACCTCTTCCTTTAAATATTTTCAGCATTTACGTTCTCACCTTAGAGTCGGTCTTGAAAAGATTGGGAAACAAAGAAGATAAAAGAAGGCAATAGTGAATTTAGATTTTATTTGAAATACATTTGTGGGTGTTTAGATTCCCGAAACTTCCCCATTAAGGTCAAGAATATTTGTTCTTTCGTTTGGATGTGTGTACTTGTGGCACATTCGCCAGAGGTGATAATTGTTAAATATGTACCTACATATGTTAAGTTAATGTCGCAAGCGGGAGGGTGGGTGAAAACGCACATAAAAATGCAGACAGAGGGTGATAGGGAAAGATAGGGAAAGATGAGCAGAGAGACATTGTGTGTGAGAGAGAGAGAGAGAGAGAGAGGAGAGGGGAAAAAGAAGAACAGAATAACGCATGAAGATATATGTATGATTGGCTTTATCGATCGATTATCGAATTATGTTTTCCTCAATTATTTTCTACGGATTGTTCCTAATTTATCTAATATATATATACATATATCATATACATGTATGTATGTGAAAGCAGCCTCGAATTTAGTTTTTGAAAGTGAAATACTGAAAAAGAAATATTTTGAAAATAAAAAAAGTTTTTTTTACGTTTTTCTATTTGCAAAATTGGAGCTGTTATAGGAGGGGTAAACTACATGCATATATATATATATATATATATATATGTATATTTATAACTGAAAGTGTGCACAGTACGACTACATATGGTATGTACTTGTACTAGGATCTGCCTAGGACTGGCGGCTAGTCTACCTCACAGTATATTAGTTTCTTGTTTTCTGGCCTCGAATGCGGTGTATGTGTGGTGTCATGTTCGATTCGCGACTCGATTGTATCGTACGCTGCTGCCCGTCGCCAGGGTGGACCGGAGCCGGGCAGCACCGACATCAGCCTCGGTGGCTGGCAGTCGGGGGTGGGGGAGGGGCAATACTTAGTCAACAAATAGATACCTTGGTCGTGAATTGTGCTACTTAACGTGCTGGCAGCCGCTAGTGTCGAATACTGGCCCTTCGGCGTGTAGGTGAAGGTGTGCGGCTCGCTCTTCTTGCCGCTCGATATGATCGACACCTGGACGCTGACCGGCTTGATCACGTTCTGGTGAAGATACGGTGGCACTGTGCATATGAGATGCGTCTGCAGAGAAAGAGAGAAATGAGAGAGTTAATTGTTGTTACATATGTATGTCATGCACACATCTACAAATCGGAATATTTCTTCGTAGCACCGCCCACCCATACAAAGCCGAAGACCTCTCAGCTTCGGCTGGGAGTTCCCGCGTTCGACTCTCTTCGGGTCGAGCTGCGTCATAAGCCAGCGCAGTAGCGCAGTCGAATTTGTGCGTGTAAAAAAAAAGCATGTTTCATACGCGTACTCGAAGAGTTAACTCCCGCCGGCCCAACAAAGGACGAAAATCTGGTGGATCCACAATTTTGAAGATATAGATGTAGCTGATAAAATATTCAAAAATTCAACATTAATCACGGCCTCACATACATAAATGTATGCTGACTGAGTAGGGGAATAAAAGTAGAGTCGCGGTCACTGGGACTGATCCCTGATAGGTACAAACATATGTATGTATGTATGTATGTATGTATGTATGTATGTATGTATGTATGTATGTTCGCAATAAATTTAGCCCTAAATAAGTTTTAGTAGGAACCGTTGATAGTGGGAAGTCGGTTTTCCGAGTGGATTATAAGTATAGTATTAAGTTGTGCTCTAATCCCATTAAAGAAGCCCTCACATGCACAGCTCTAACTGTCTTATTCTCACGCTAGGGAACTATTGTGCCACCGGCCGACGGACAAGAGACCTCTTCACCCACCTGGTGTAAATATTCCTTGTCGGGCATCACGCTCTGTTCCCATAGAGCGGCTGTGCCGCCAATCAGCTGCTGTCGCACAGCGATCTCGGTCGCGGGGTCGTCGCCGTTGACGCTGTCGTAGGTCTCCTGAAACACCACGTGGGTGTCCTTAAGAAAATTCTTGCCGATGATGAAGAGCTCGAGGCCGCCATCGACGGGGCACGAATTGAGCGACTTCTTGCCTATTTCCGGCACACCTGGGGGTTGAGCTGGGACAGGAAAGAGAGGAATCCATTTTTTTAATTAGCTATGGCAACGAAGGGGTTGCTGAGTGGGAAATACTTACTGCAAATTATGGGATTGGAGCAGACCTGGAGGGTCTCGGTGGTGCCATCATCACGGGTCAGCTGAGTGCGGAACACCATCCGGCAGCGAGTCGATTTCTTCTTGTTCTTCTGTGTCAAGTGCTCGGGAAAGCGGTGCTCCACATCGACATTGCGTTCCTGTACAGAAAGTAAACCAATGCCAAATGAAAGCACGAAGAGATTCATGAGAAACCCATTGTACCTATGACATTAACGGGCATGATCCTTGATCCGCTCAACTGCCAATGCCGATTACATAGTGGAAACCCACATCCCCGTCACCCCACTCACCTTCAAAATGCCAACGCAATCGCAGGTGATGGTCATGTCCGTCTCTGGCTTGAAATCTATCTCGATGACCATGGTTCCGTCGACCTTCTTCTCGTTGCACTGGGTCGAGTTCTTGCCAGCCACCTTGCAAGCCTGATAGAACATATGTGGCGCCACACGGCCAATGTCCGTTCCAATAAAGACCTGCAGCACGGCGCCCTTGTCGTAGCCTGTCAGCCGGACAATGGGGAACCCGTTGCCGCTGCGATCCTTGACCGCCCCGCGACTGCCCTCGGTCTGGTAGCGGGCCCGGTGCTGTTGCTCCGGCTGTGAGACGATCTCTAGTTGCACGTGGCCGTCGTTCGAGCTGGCAACGCTGTTTAGCGGCGTCGTGGGCTGACGCTTGTTAGCTACCCTTGTGACAGTCCGGGCCGAAATAAATCTGACGAATCGAAAGGAAATAGATAGAGAGGAGAGAGAGAGAGAGAGAGAGAGAGAGAGAGCAAAGAACATGAATAATATGACGCAGAAACTAAGATGCAGAGATGCACGATTGCTTGAGTTTTTCCATTTTTCATTTTTCATTTAAAGGGGAACATTTCCATTCGTAAAGATCAAATGTATGTGGCAGGCATTTCCCGGTCTCTGTGCTGCTAGCGTTTATTTGTCTAAGGATCGTTAAATATCTTGTATCTTGTACTTGAACTTTGGCCAGTTCCCACATACATATATACACATGGATATGTATATTTACTATAAGCATGATGGAGCATTTTTGCTGAATGATTTACGGACAATAGGCCGTAAGACCAGGCCTGCCTACATGTGTTTGCCAAAGGGATGTTTAGCCATGGGGCGAGATACATATGTATGTAAGATGCGAATGGGAATAAATCGAGTAAAATTTATGTGTACGAGAAAATGCCAATGATATACGATTTTATTTTATTTTATTAATTACAATACACGCACACACACACACCCGAACACATAAATTCGCAAAACCAAAAACATAAAAAGCCAAAAAGGAATTTATCGATATTCAAAATTTCATGGCAGCTGAGTTTTTGTTTCTTCTTTGCTTTTTGTTTAGATAAATCTTTGTGTTTGTTCACTTTTAATTCGTTTTCTTATTTTTAATCGTTTGTTTGTTACAATTGTTAAAAAATAATGCTTTTGTTTTTTTTAACACACACAGAAGCACGGAGAGAGAGAGAGAGAGAGTGGAAGCATGCATACAGGAATAATGCCGGAACATATTTTTACCTACTATAATTAAAAAAAAAAACTACGTTTTTAGGAATTTAATTTTAAAGGGATGCTACTAATTTTGGTATTGGTATTTGTTCATATTTCCGAAGTGTTTTGACGTGACTACTCCCATCTACAGCTGTTAATCTAATCTATTATTGAACTATACGAGTATTCCGGCAAAGGGGAATTTCTGAAATGTTGGATTTAATTTCTGGCAAGGATATGGTACTCAGTGGAAACAGCAATTCCGCTGCTTTGTTCCGATTTCGAATAAAACAGTTTCAGTCGCGAATGTAAAAATGTGTTGCTGGTAAAACTATTCACCATTTGTTTGTAAGCTAATGAATAATATACAAATCCATATTTGTTTGATAATACAGATCACAGCATGAGCATGCTTTAGAATAGAGTTTTTTAGCGTTTGTCTTTGCTTTTGCGTTTCTGTGGTTAGGTGCTAAGCATTAGGAAGAGTTTTTTGTAATGTTCTTACATTCTGAATGTTCCTTAACAACAGATTTATACGAGTATGGTGGTACCAATTTTATTCCAAGTTTTTAAATTGTTTTCCAAAATTATTGCAGGACAATTTTGTGAGAGTAAGAAGAGGAAATATTTGTAAATGATAAATCTTTCTAGTATGTGTGCCTCTTTAGTGATAAGATTTGGAGTTTTCATTCATAAATTTAATTCCAAAAAAAGTATATGAGAAAAGATTTCGATATTGTATTTGCTTTTCTGCTTTGGATTGATCTTTAAAGAAAACTCCGCTTACTTTGTCTCATGGCCGTTGCGTGGCAGCACACTAGTCATGGCAGGCGGAGGCCGTGCGGCCGCCACAGGAGCCGCTTCTCCAGATGAGAAAGAGACCCCGTTGGCCGCATTGGCTATCTTGCGAATGAACTCGTCTTCGCTACAGGCGTCGTCGTTGTCCAGCTCCAGCTGGTTGCACTCGAGCTTCTTGCGCTTGATATGCTTGCCCCCGCTCCGAGCCACGTTCCGCTGGTGCTGATGCTGATGCTGCTGTTGCACGCCCATTCCAGGATACTGAAATTGCTGTTGCAGTTGCTGCTGCTGTTGTTGCGGAAGGGGCTGCTGATGCTGGACATTAAAGGCTGACACAGCGGCTGCCACAGCTGCCTCGGTGGCCTGGAAGACGCCACCAAATGGATCCGAGCTGTTGCGAGAGGTCCCGTTGTGATTGCCGAGGCCAGTGTCCGCATCCGGGCTGGGCGTCGTCGAGCAAGAAAGGGAAGTTGAGGCCGTCGATTCCTCCGAGTTAGAGTTGGCCAGATCCAAGTCGTCCAGAAAGGCGTTCAGCATTTTCTTGGTGTGCCGCGATCTATACATACACATATACATATTTACATTTATATATATACATAGCTTCACAGCAACACACACACCCATTGAGAGCGCACAATATTTCAAATTATCGATTTCGATTCAAGTTTCTCCATATATGTACATACATACATACATACATATGTATGCATATAATTCTGTTAATTGTTTCCCCAACAAGTTAGCCCCATACTAAAAGATACTCGGTATCTATTTCTGCCTTAAGATACTACAAGATCAAACATTTACTCTCGTACACCCGTACAAATCTATGCACATATTAATGTATGTACATATATGTACATTCTGTACTCGCCCAGAGACCAAAGCAAAACAAATCGAAATTGACAGCCGCTGCAGCGGCTTTGGCATAGGCAATAAATGTCTGGATGCAATGAACTGAACTCAATTCGAAGAACACTGAACTGAATCTGTCTAATCGGAACCAGCAAACAGTCGTCAACAGTCAAGAGTGCACCATATGTATTCTGTGGGAATGGATCGTTATTAGATACCGCGGCAAGGGCGGCCACTCTACTTTTTATACTTTTTTGATATATGCATCCTGATATCCTTGATATCGGGGCCGATGACTGCCATATGCTCTCTCTCTCTTAGTCTTTTGGTATGGTTCGCTAAGGGATGAATTGATCTCTCAATTGATGATCTATCAATTTCGCTAGCACTTGTCATGAAAAATGGGGAAAAAACATACATTTTACTTGGGTTATCCTATCCACATAATGACCCATTTGATTCGATTCTTTACATATTTGATCTGTTTCCATTTTTCTGCTACTGACTCTCTACCTTCTCACACCAACACCAGGCGTTACTGCACAATGCATGAGAAAGAGGGTGTGAACGAGAGAGAAGAAAAGGGGTAGCATAGATAGGGATACAAATATACCTAGGCCCTCCGATGTCTAATTGGAAATGGACAAATTCTTGTTCGCGTAACAAATAAACAAACAAACAAACAAAGTAAACAAATAAAAGGTGCGTGCTTCCTTGTCAAGCATGGTGGATTCATCCAAAATATAGTCAAATAAGTCAAAATATAGTCAATGAGGTGTGTAAAAACAAATGTACATATATGGCGACATTAGTACGTATACCACTGGACTCTTTGAGTGGCATGTAATGCCATAATTCCTTCGTACTCGTAACATAATTAAAACACGTTCCAGCCCAAATCGGGGGCAACCGAATGCAGCGCCCGAGCTGATTATAATCAGCAGAGCAGAGCAACAGTGCGTAAAAGCATTCCCATCGATCAGCCAACAATTCCAATCCCAAGAAAACAACCAAAAGTCATTTCCCAAGGCAATGTCCAACGAATGTTTTGTGCCGCCGGGAGAAAAATATATTTTCATGGAACTCTGCCCAAATATATGCAAATTAAATTAAGCGCCAAAGAATGTGCAAATCAATCGGATAAACAAACGAATGCAGGCAGCCCCCGTCCCATCGTACCCAAATTTTCAGTACGCTAGAGTCTGGATACACACACACAACGCCTTCCCGTTGAATGCATTGTTCTTGGATGATCGTTCCTGTTTCTCTGTATCGTGCGTATACCAGTTATTTGATTATAATGGAATACCCGTAATTTGGACAAAATTCGCTATATTTTCGCCCAAGAGAGATGATCTGTATATGCTACGCGCACGGCGAATTTTCCTGTAAGTTTTACAATTTAATTCTTTTTCTCATTCAAACTGGAGCTTAGCCTCCCGATGATCACACTGCTCTACCGATTGTTCCTGCAATTAACTAATGCAATACCAAAGAAGCCAATACAAATGACAACGTTTTTGTTTTGTTTTGAAATGATCAACAGATAGGAGGGGCAACCCCAAAGCAGCCACTTGTCCCCCGTCGACTGCCCGTAGTTGCAGATTCCACACTGCAATTCGCAATTGGAATAGAGTTCATAAAACTGATAAGCTGATAAGATAATAAAGCAATTACAGACAGGCATGCAATTACAGCAGCTACAAAAAGAAGACAAAAGCAAAACCGAGACACTGAGCAAACACAAACACACTCTGGAAACCAGCCGAATATCAAATAGAAAAAACATTAAGTCGAAATCTAAATCCGATCCGATTCGAGTCGTATCAAACTGAAAACACATTCACCATGACCTACAAATACCTGAGGGGAAAGACCTGTCCAAGTGCAAGTCAAAATCGGAGAAGGCCTTGGGGCTGCGCGGTAGATGCCCAAAGATTACATTAGAAAAAGAGTATTCCTACCGCTGTTGCTGCTCAAGCTGGAGGAGTGTACCCGATTTTCCTTAAACCTCTACTGATTTTATGTACTATTCCAGAAGTAATCTACACAAAGACATAGTACATATAAATATGTAAATATATGTACATACAAACGCACATATGTGTATATATTTTTCAATCAAAGATTGAATCCTATGGATGGTACTTCGTTGGTGCGAATTTTTGATGTAAAATGTATGTAAAATGATATAAATATAAACTAAAAGTTGTACCTGTGCCGCGACTCCCAATGTCAAGACTGGGTTCGTGTTTCATTTGTGTACGCTTAAAACTAATATTTCATGAGCTCTCCGTGCTGATATCGGAGCTCTATCGAATGATTTCTGCAGCTTGTAAACAATAATAGTGAATAGGAAAGCGAACGGCTACATCGGATTACGTTTATTTAGTTTTGTTTGTAATTTAAATTGAACAGTGCAGGGTAAAATAAGTTATTCCAACTTACACTTCAACGTCATAATTCCAAAGCAATAAATATCAGCTGATTTGGGATGTGGACTTGGACGTGAAACGTAGTAAGAACATATTACTACCTTTTGAGTAGGCTTGATAGTGGCAGTCACTGGTTACTATGAATTCGACTGAGTGACTGATTGAGAAAAATAGTGGCTACACCTAATAGCTATTAGGCTGTGTGGAAAAATCCTAAACGTGTTACAGGGACAAGAAACTACTAGTCTCCAGATGATACCTTTCAGGTTAATCCAATGCTTTTAAACTTGCTAGCTAACGTTTATGTGAACAGTTTGATAATTGGACGGAAAAATTAGATGCATAATCCAATTTTCTAAAATGACAGCTGGAAAAGGTCAATAACAGCTGATTTCAAATTGATAGGTGATGCAAGTTGTTTACGGGTCTATGATATCAGTGCTAACAACGGCTTCAATTTATGATTATATTGGTATTGGGTATTACGAGCTTGTAAGTTCACAAAAGGTACTAAACAACACTAGACTTCATTTGACTACTGCACTCAAGTCTGTATATATGTACATTAGGCTGGGCCAAAATTTTACCAAAAAATTAGTTTTTTGTTTTTCCAAGGGGACACCCCCCAATTCTGTTCTTTGTTATTCAATAAAATTAAAAAATTTTTTTCAAATTTTTAGTTTAAAGTTTGGGGGTTGCTACTTCGAAAAGAAAATACACTTTTTTAGTTAAATATACATTAACAAAAATTTAATTCGTCGGGTTTTTCAAATAATATTGAAACTTAGAAACTATTTCATATTCATAATAAGGTATTTTTAATTTTTTATTTTAGTTACTGTTAAAAATTTAACGATTGGTGAAAATCAAGAAATTCAGCTTAGGTTGATATATTTAGTTAACTTGTTCTCAAAAACTTGAGCTGGTTTTCTACTGCCAATAACTGATTAATCACGATATGAATGGTTTCAATATATATACAATAGATTTCACCAATTATCTAACTCATTCAGCAAAACAAATTTGTTTGAATTTTCTTGATTACAATTTTTTGTAAAATTCGGTAGCAACCTCTAAAAAATTAAAAAAAAAATAAAAAATAAAAACATGTAAATTACTATTAAATCCAAGGTAACAAAAACAGGGGGTGTACCGTTTAAATTTCGAAAAAAAAAAATTTTTGGCCCAGCCTAATGTACATATGTGTATGGTTATGGTTATGGACTATCATAGTTTCAATAGGTTGCTCTTATTTATTGGCTCTTGGTTTTCGCCAAGGAGGATCCTAACGCATTACGAAAAACAGGTTAAACTAAAGTTGGCTTTTGAATTGAGTTCGCTTTTGAATAACCTTTTCTTGAACTTGTGAAATTATGGATACTCGATAGAATAAAAAAAAACGAGAAGGAACGTTGTGAGTAGCTGCTGTGGACGCGACTCTACTTTAATACCAGTACTCAGTCAGTATATAAATATGTGAGATATATGTGGAAAATTAAAATATTTTCTATTTTACATTTTTTTGCTACATCTGTCATCTACATATACTTCTACAATATAGATTCTACATCTACAATGTAGATTATACATCTTAAATGTAGATTTTATATCTTAAATGTATATTATACATCTACAATCTAGATTCTAGATTCTACGTTTTTATGGCGGCGGAAGGGGGCAGGTAAAAATTTGGATATACACTTGTAACAGTGTGATATCACATGAGTCTGGAAACAACATATGGTTGCTCTAGCTTTAATAGTCGCTAAGATCTAGGCGCTGATCAAGACGGACGGACAGACATGGCTGTATCGACTTGGCTATTGATGCTGATCAAGGATTTATGGGGTAGGAAACGGTTCCTTCTCTGCGTCGCACACATCCACTTTTACCACAAATCTATTATACCCCTTAACTCTTACAGTACGGGTATAAAAAACATCTCCTATAGTCATTTAATGCATATACTTCAGCCTCACTTACATGAAAGACATGGTGTTAAAACTATGATTCGATTCAACTCAGCAGATCTGCTATGCTCCGAGGGCCGAGCTGTACTGAGGGAAGTGCGACTTTCTAGCGAGCATGAGGTACAACAAATTCTAAGAATCTGGCGAAACAATATCCATACTTCATTAATAAGCCTGGATACTCTACTATTCGCAGCCCCATTTCCCTTCCCATTCCAATCTGGCTTTTTCTCTTGCACGATAGGCGAGCGGCCATTGGAGCCGTAGAACAAGCCCCTTTGCTCATGTTTCTTTCTATTCCTGCTAAGTAGTTTTGTAGACAATAAAAAGCCCTTAACTGCATAGAGTATAAAAATACGAGTAGTATGTATATGTACTTTGCAGCGGAGGGCAAGACCGGGGCAAAATACAACAAAATATACACAGTGGGTGATTGCCTTTTGGGTTTGTGAATGCAAAATCAAAATACACGTAAGTTCGTGGACATAAGCGTATGGTTTAACTTTATTTACTAATCCTAATCAAAGTTGGCCAATCGGATTAAATTAAAAACATGAATAAAACGTTTTAAACGAATTTCTTTTGGCAGCTTTTATTTGACCATCCATTTGACTATGGACTATGAATCTAGACGGCTATTATTATTTTATTGCTATTTCTGTCGATGTGGGCTTAAGTTCTGTATGGAAACTAACAATACTCGAACAAGAAATAGTAAAAGGAGCATTCTGCAATTTCTGTGTTGTGTGTGTGTGTGTGGGTTATGTGAGCAACAAATTCATTCACTCCAATCGAAATTAAGAGTCGAACACAACATAATGAAGTCATGAACAGGCAATTATCTCGAATTTTACTTGAGCATGAACCAATGGAGAGAATGGGGCAATGTGAGATAGAAACAGGGATAAGAGAGAGAGAGAGAGAAAGACTGGGAGATCACGACTCACCTTGATACAGGTATCGCCCGAATTAAATGCTGCTGCGGTGAATGTTGCTGTTGGTGTTGCTGCTGCTGCTGCTGTTGGTGCTGCTGATGCTGTTGGTGATGCTGCTGCAACGTGTTACTTGCCACTGCAGCTGCAGCTGCCGCCGCCGCAGCAGCCACCGTGTTCGTAAGGGAGCTGTTCACCAGCAGATTCGTCCGCTGGACCATGCCAATGCCTCCTCCATTCGCACTACCCGGATCGGCTACTCCTGGCCCCGATGAGGATCGCAGCTCCGTGTGCTGGTCGAAGCCCAGCCCACTGTCGTTAGAGTTGTCGCAAGGCGGCGGATGAGGACGTTGTGGTATTCGCTTCCCGGGAACTATCTTGCCAGGACCCGCCTGCAAAGCAACAAACGATAGAGAGATAATCAACCCAAGTGCTCCTTCGCAGATTAGTTCCTATAGTTTCATCGAGTTCCTCATTCTGTACCATTTCAAAACTGTTGGCCTATACCACGTTAAAAAGGGGGATAATAGCTTTCATAAAACTTCAACTGAAAATGTATGTTCTAAAAAAATTATAAAACCAAAAGTGTGAGCATGCTTGAAAAGTTTTAAAAAAAAAAAAAAAATACTGACTTTATTCATCCCTCAGCTTATTTGTACCAACTTTCTTTAACATTTTTGTTTGTTTCTATTTTACTTTTAAACTAAAAATTAGTATTTGCCGTGGCTGTTCGTCTCTGTGTAATATATCGGTATATCGGTATCTATGCATCTATGCATCTATGTATGTATGTTGCTTCCTTCTCTGCAAATATCTGGTCCAATTCATAATACCGTCTACAGGCGAAGAGATTTTAATACCGTCTGCAGTTCGATGGTTCCATGTTAACCATTATGATACGACTAATCCTAAACAGTTTTGATTCTCCATGTAAAAAGACACAAGAAAGAACAGGCATTCAACAGACAGACAGAAGGGGTATGGCTATACCGACTCCCGGGATGAGAGTATTTTCGTTCTCTGTTTCACAGCTTACCCTAGTTATGGTATGCAGTTTGCCTGGCAAGCCCTTTCCGGGCTGTCTTTTCGAGGGTATCCGAAATCCCTTGCGATGTATTCGGGCACTCATTGTGGAATTGGTTGACATGGTCATCCGCATGCCTATGGAAAGTGATTAAGAGAAACATATCAATTAAAAACAAATCTGTATTTGATGTCAAAACATAAATTTATAATTAAGATTTACATATATGTACATATGGGCAGTTCCGCCAAAAGGTCCACCAGGCCAAAAATCATAAAAAGTCAATAAAAACCGATTTCCATATAATTTTTATCCGGATATTTTTTTCTAAATTTATGGAAAGGTAACTAATTTACTTTATTGACATATAATTTCATTAACTTTCATCCAAAATCTATGAAAATAAGCAAAAGTTCACGTTTTTTGTATTTTCTGGTATTTTTATAGACATTTTTCTTTTACTATTATCTCCTAGGAAGAAAATGATTATTGATAAAAGTTTCTCCTTAAAGTCTTTCTAACATATTAAACTAAAAATCATTATCAGAGTGTTTGTCCAACCTCGGCTAACAGTATATTTTTAGGCTTTTATAATCGCGGAATTTGGTAACGTCACGCCAGTAACGTTCGCCAGATGCCTCCGCGGATTTTTAACAAAAAAAGAGGACAAGTTTTTACATTTAATAAGTTTGAAAATTAACTCTCAATACTTCATTTATTAGCACAAAAAATGTTAAACAGATAGCCCTATCCAATTCGCAGAGTTTTTCCATTTTGTACCCAAACCTCGAAAACCACTTCTGTTTTATGTAACGCACTTTTAGGTCATACTTTGGCTTATATCTTTAAAACCGTACGCTCGATTATTTCCATTTTTTTTGTGAATATAGGTCTAACTAAAGTATATTCAACGAGGATAATCTTTTTCCCAAATTTCAGATTTTTGACTATTTTTTTCAACATTTTGTCGTACGAATGTAACGTAACGCCAGATAGGAACTGCCCATATATAGGTAGTATGTGTACATAAGTAGTATAATTATTTATTTCCAAACATAATATTAAAGATGATATCTTTCGTATCTGATATATTCAGATTTATCTTCCCGTGTCTCCGTAGACCTACAACCAATCTCATCAAGCTCTATATTTCCATATACTATATACATATATATAACTTTGTTCAGTGATATGTGTACAATGGAAGGGTGTCCCAGAGCACTGCAGCGCGGGGACAGAACGAGCATTGCATTGTCTGGTGCTCCGTTCCGATCTATTCCATTCCGTTCCGTTCCATTCGTGAGCTAAGTTACTGCCATGGAAACTGATAATGCTACGGCGGCGGCGGCGGCGGGATGGGTTCGGGTGCATTGAACTTCTTCTCAGTGCAGAACCTCACAGACTCATAGTCCGTATATGTACATATGCATGTATGTAGATCAGAGCATAGAATATTCCCTATTGTTGCTGTGGTTTCTGATTTTGTTACTGTTACTTTTGTTGCTGGAATATCACTCATTGTTGCCGCTCGCACGATCTCAATTGATGCACAATTTCAATTTTAACTGCGTTTGCATTCGTTTTACTTCGCATTCTGAGACCCCAGATTCATAAGAAGTTCTATATAAATATATTTTTATGTGTACGTGTACATATGTATATATATTATCATACAGCCACAACCACAATAGCACCCGAGAGCAGAGCTGATAAAAGTGCCAGGGAGGCCGGCGGTCCACACAAATCCCAGTAAAAACGGAACAAACCCGACTAACATGAACAATCTCCAGCTCCGACACTGCACTCCCCTGCCTGATTCCTGAGCCGCTTTGTCTTCTTTAATCTTTCACCATATTTTATATTGTATTTTGCGAACGTTTCTTTATTTATCCATTCAATAAACACACAAAAATACACAAAAAACATTTGGTTTTTCGGTGAGCATTTAATAAAAACGCAAATCATTGGCAAAGACAATTTGATCATTTTTTAAAAAGAGAATTTCCAAAGTTCTAGAATCGTTACAATGCAACGTTGTTGTTCGGTTGTTCGATAACTTAGCCAAAATAATATATGTCAATGTACATATGTATGCATGTACTTTACGTCTATGCATGTGTTTGAATGTCCCTTGTCTTGGGAAAGAAGAATAAAATAATTATGGCAGCATTTACAAGATATGAACATAACTTCTTAACAAGTTTGCGCCCAATTAAACAAATAACCATGGAAATGCGACACTTCGTTTGTACGAGTAGGAAACAAACATACACCCACCGAAAAAAGACCTGACAATCGAATAGGTACACTTATTTATATTATCAAATGTACTTACATATATGTAAGTAAATATATACCAATAGATTTGCCCGAGAGTACGAATTTAAAACATATATACTATATATAAAAATTAAATCATGTATAAATTTCACATTTGAATTAAATATAGTTCCAATTTGGATTAATTACACTACTCAACCAAGTTGATCTTTTTGTTAACGCTTCGAGCCGAACCGACTTTTTGCAGCTACTTATAAAGTGATCCTGATTGACATAATTCAACGACGCTTAGTTAATGCACCTATACACAAAAAATACAAAGACACAGGATATAATATTATTTCGACCTGTCTTAAGTTTTTAAAGTCAAAATTTTGAAAAAAAAAAAAACCTTCCAAAATTGATAAATTTTTGATTTGAAAGCTTGATATTTCCCAGACGGTAAACTGAAGCTACCAAACATTCCGGTTCACTTTATGAGCTTTTCAGAATGACAACGTTTATTACAAGACTTAAATTATGTGAAAAAGCGAGGCGTTAAAAAAAAAAATCGCAAAAAAAACATTTTTTTTTAATTCTTTGAAAATTTTCTGCAATAGAAATAAAAATGTCATTTATCCTTTTTAAAGCATCAAATCTAAAAAAAAAAACGAGAAGGAACGCGTGAGTCGCTTCTGGGGACGCGACTCTGTTATCTACATCTAACATGTAGATTCTACATGTACCATTTAGATTGTACATCTCCTCCGCTAGGGGTTGCTCTCGCACTGAACGCGGTAGAGTGTGCGAGCGAGAACGAGAATGAGTAGCGTGTCTCTGGCAGGGGGAGGCGGCGGAAGCAACTGAAAATTAAATTTATTCATTCTGGCTATAATTATAACCCGCTCTGGTTCAGATTCGGCAATCTGGTAGATATGGTCATTCTCTACGATACTGCGTTTTTAGTTTTATCGAATCTTTAAAAGTGTGCCTGCCACAGATTTTCGTCCTTTGTGGTGGCGGAAGGGGGCGGGGCGAAATTTTGAAATACACTTGTAGCAGTGTGATATCACATGAGTCTGGAAACCAAATTTGGTTGCCCTAGCTCTTATAGTCTCTGAAATCTAGGCGCTCATCAAGACGAACAGACGGACCTGGCTATATCGACTCGGCAATTGATGCTGATCAAGAATATATATACTTTATGGGGTCGGAAACGTTTCCTTCTCTGCGTTACACACATCCACTTTTACCACAAATCTAATATACCCCTTAGCTCTTTTTTGAGTACGGGTATAAAAAGTTTTGGCTTGAAGCGGAAAAGTTGTGAAGACTTATGTAGACATGGGTGTGGTTTTTTTTTTTTTACTATGACATTTTTCTCTTAGTGTACATTGATTTCTGTGACGTCATTTGCGCCCACAAAAAGTGAGAACGTTTTATGACACAATCAAACCGACCCATAACCAACCCACCCGATTTGATCCGACCCAAAATGATCCGATTCACACCCTTTCAGCCGCCTGCCTAACCTTGAGTGGCAACCAAATAAACCAATATTTGTCTTTGGACTTGCGGAACGTGCCTACCTACCGAGCCCAAAGAAACGAGCCTTAGAGGAAGCCAGGGAGGAAGTAAGGCAGGGGATCGACTGCGATAAGATCTAACAGTGGGAGAGCAGAGGATAAGCTGCATTGTCATGGCAGATATGCACACATTTGCACTGTAAGATACAAGTCGATGGATAGAAAGATAATTAGAAGATACTCAAGAGATATTGTAATCTACCATATGATTTCCATCATCAATCAGCCACTTCCATTATCACTTAGCGAGAGATACAACTACTGTTACTATCGCCATGCCACAAAACACAAGATGTAAGAGGCAAAAATAGTGGGAAATGAGTCTCATTCAATTTCACATTCCTCCCATTCACCCTTCATTCAACCTATTTTGGTGGATGGCTACTGGGCACTGGGCTGTACCGTAGCTTAACACAGGTGTGGAACAGACAAGCGATCGAGACTCGTATTACGGAGTTATGGAGGGACAGTTGTTTCTGGAGTTCGGAGATCTATATTTAAACGCAGACTCCAATACAAAATAACAGACTGGAAGAAATGAAGCGAAACAGATTGTCAATAAAGTAAAACAACGCAAATATGCGAGATATTATAAAATTAAGTGTATTGAACCTACAATAATCATGCACGATAGTCCAAATATCAAAATTGTTCTTTGTTTTCGCATTAGAAACATATTTTCTATCTTCAGTTTACAGATTTTCTGTGTGAGGGCTGAACTATTGGGATTGAATAGACTAATCCATTACATTAATTAAACTGTTCTCGAACCACTTTCGAACTTTTCTGCTGGTATGTTGTCCTGTATGTATGTAATGTATTCAACTAAAGGGCAAAATACAAATAAAAATTTGAATTTTCCAAATTAAAAATGTGTATAATTTTCTGTAAATAAAATTAAGCCAAAAAGAACATTTGTATATCCTGAACATTTGAAAATTACACTTTTTTAAATAGGCCTAACCCTAATGTACATATGTACATACATATATCGTTTTTGTACTGGTGGGGGGGAGGGTCGCCCGATTCGTACTTGGCCATTGTTCCTACTTGGGTTGGTTTTGTTTGGTTGTTGGGTTGTTGGGTTGTTTTTCTTCTGTCGCGACTGCCGAGTAATCTTATCGCATTGGGCAAACCTGGCAACTGGCGAATACTGTCGTTAACGAAACCAAATCTAGCGTTGGGAAAAACTTGAATCACCAGCGACAACTGGGCGCCGCCTCTTTGGTAATTGACGCCCTCCATTTCTAGATTTGCGTACGTTATACATATACATATGTATGTACATATAT